TCCAAACTATCCAATTTAACTATCCGTATTACCTATTCTGCCGCAGAAATAAATCTTGGAATAATCCTGAACTTCTGCAATTCTAACGATCTCTGCTACTGACGACTTCTTAAACAAACAATGACGAACACACTTTTTCCTTTTTTTTGTTAATTTCTTTTGTTTGTGCTTGTAATAGTCTTTCTCTTTGTAAACCCAGGCTAGCCAATTGCAAATTACCTTTGTAATAGTGAAATTTTTAATTGTAGTTTTAATTGAATTGAAAATGAAAAGTTTCCATTATTATGATAATGAAAACATTTAAATTTTATATTCTTCTACTTACAATAGTAGCCTCACTTTACAGGTTGTTACTATCGGCTAGCCTGGTGACAAGTCTACTAATTTTACAAAAGTTATAACACTTAAATAAAATCATATGAGTGCAAAGAATCTTTAGAAGGAGAGCAGTTCAGGGTTTGTCCAAGTCTTATTGCGCATACAGAATATATAATAGGATGTGCGTATAATTATTGTTGACAGTTTTTTAATCATAAAATTACAGGTGTTGGTAGTCAAGTTTTCCTTCGTCACGAATATCTATGAAAGAATCACAGGAATTACCAAAGATACCGAGACAGCTGATAGATAGATTAAGAAAGCTCACTTTTTGAACTTAGGGCGCAGTTCCTTTAGCAGGGAACGGTACTTCTCAGCTTTACGCGAAGCTTCATTATCCAGGTTGGTCGCGAACCCAACAGTTAATGCGATGACATACAGACAGTTGGAAGCAGTTTTGATAAGCATGTCGGGACGGAACGAATCGCCAGTTATGATACATAGTGATAAATAAGTGGGAATGTCAGCATATATGAATATATCTCGGCTACAATGAAAGGATGATGCAATAAAGTGCAGGGCAGAGTCGTATCCAGCTACGACATGAAGAAGTGATTCATGTAGAATGAGTTGTTCCATGTGGCTAGTGTGTGTTGTTAAGGTACCTTATCGTAATGTTGAAGATTTTTTTGGAAGTTTACTTTGAGCTGCAGACCAGAGTGAGGTTAACTTTGTATAGGAATGCTCGAGCGGGAATGAAATAATGAAGCCTTGAGATGGTAACTGGGTTTTGAGTTTTTCAGTGTGTTCGTCCCTTGTAAATTTTAGTATCGCCTTAGTGTTCTTGTATGAGTCGAACTGTATATTAGGTCCATAATTGGTGTTCATTCATAGGGACTTGATGTTTCCATTGGGCGAGGATTTGAGTGAGTTTCAAAGAACAGTCTGGCACTGTTGAAATTTTACGGAAAGAAGCAGAAGTTCAAGACCAAAGTGTTTACAAGAAAGAACTATGCCATTCAGTGTCGAAGATATTGGAAGCTCGAGCCACTGTCGAACGAATTTTGTGACAAGCTGATCTAAGTTTTAATAAACCCACGTTTTGGAGAGATTAGCAACTGTGAGATCCCAAGAGAGCTTTGAAAGGATGAATTGATTAAACAGTGGAATTTTGTTCCGCGGGTGAATTTTCAAGGAGTCGGTTACTTTGAGCACCTCTCGGAGAGAAGAGGACAAGTTATCTTTGTGTTACTGGTTCTTCATGTCATAATTGAAGAAACAACCCAGGTATTTGAAAGATTCGCCGTGTTTCACAAAAGGGACAGGATCGTTTTTAATGAAGATTTTAAGCTGAAACTGTGCAGATCCAGTTGCAAATGACTACCATTAGACTACCATTATAGGCCTGGAAACATACCTAAAAATGAAAAGTGATGAATTGTTGATTCAAGTTTGACACTACAAGAAGAGTAAGAAACTATATTCGGTACAAAATGAAGCAAATAGGTTTAAAAAAGACATTCAAGTGCAAGATACTGAAGCAGGGGGGAAAAATCAGCTAAAAAATGCGCAAGGCACACTAAAGAATGCGCCATGAAAAGAATTATTAAAAACATTAGCGAGAACTGGAAGGCAAAGCCGATGCATGGGCAATATCCTAAAAGAGTAAACAAATCAGATATAGATAAAGAAAGCACTCATAAATAGCTGAAAAGTTCTTGTCTGAAGGGGGAAACAGAAGGATTTATTATTGCTGCACAGGATCAAAGCCTTGCCACAAACAACTACCGGAATATGATCATTAAGGACGGAACAAACCCAAAGTGGAGACTGTGTCACGAATATGATGAAACCGTAGAGCACATCACATCAGGATGTCCTGTTCTGGCAAAAAGGAAATACCTTGAACAACACGACAAAGCATTAATCTACATGCATTGGAAGATATGTAAATATTACAATTTTAAGGTGTCCTTTAGATGGTATGAGCATAAACTAAGCACTATCGTTGAAGGGAAAAATGCGGTGATATTGTGGGATATGCCAATCCATACTGACAAGGAGATTACTGCAAATATACCTGAAATCGTGATCAAAGACAAGAATGAAAACAAATGGATTTTTATTGACACGTCTGTCCCACCTGAGCGAAATGTGTCAAGCAAAGAAACAGCAAAGTTATCAAAATACAAAGATCTTGAGATAGAAGTTACAAAATTTTGGTAGATGAAAGCAATTGTTATTCTCGTCAACTGTTATAGCCCTTGGACTCATCTGAAAATGTATGAATGAACATGCATCAGAGATTCCTGGTAAGACCAGCATCGAAGAAGTCCAAAAGATATAGTCTTGCTAGGAACATCACATATCTTTAGGGGAGCTCTACTCTATCTTTTACCTTAGACCATAGTTTGGTCTTGGCCTCTTAATAGAACAATGCAAAAGCAAACTGAAGAAAATAATAACAATAAAAAACCCCTTTTTTCGAAGTTAGCTTGAGATATTGCACTAGGGCAATCATCGCCAATCATCATTAATACACATGTTATTGATAATAATAGCTTTCTAACAGTTAGCCCGCTACGTGGGCTGCCCAAAGCCCCCGCGCAGATTAGCCTTGGCAAGACACGAACAATGCTTACATCGATGACAAAATGAACCACCACGATCAATGCGCCTGCGCAGGAAGGGGGAGTCTTTACCCTCTTTTCCCCTAAGGCTCCCCCTTCCTAGCGATTGTGCCACTTCCTAGGAGTGCGACTGATTTTGTTACTTTATTTCGTAGGAACTTTACTTACATTTCCCATCATGTGACCCCTGCGCAGGCGCATCGAGAGTCGGTACATCGGATTTTCGATTTCAAAAAACATACAAGCTCGTCAACATCGATAAAGTACAGGACAAGGTAATATGGTGATAGAAAAAATATCTTCATTGAAAAAAGAGGCACATACAATGATGATTTTTGGCTCATCTACGTAAAGTTTGTTTTGTAGCTTTAATTCATAATCTAAGCTGCCAAATGAGTGCTACAAAATTTACCCAAACTCATAATTTTAACTAAATTCGAAACACGTAGCACAATTCTAGGAAGATATATTTCAACGTATGTATTCTATGAAAGAAAACCCAAAACAAAACTTGTCAAAAATCGTTAAGGATTTGCCGAATCAATAAAACCCACGAGGCCAGGAACGATCAGAAATTGAACTTTTGCATCAAATGAGCTTTCTTTCCTGAATGGTAGCATTAGCAACATAGATGCAAATTTGGCCTGCCAGTAGGCCAGTTGGCAACCCTGATGCAAATAGCCTGAAACGAAAAACAGTGAAATGTTGAACACCTTGTGAAAGACATTAAGGCAAATGCTCTGTTCTCTGCCCCTTGCAACTGATATCGCTATTGAAAAATGTCATTCCTGAAACTTTCACCGAGGGGAAAAAATTACAAGTTCCGGAAATATAGAACTTGATTTTCGAACTTTATTTAGGAAAATTGCAAGAATCTGACATAAATCATTTTCCATAAATGTAACAGTTGCAACTGCAACAACCGGAACTGTATGGATCCGCCCTTGCAGCATTCACTTTACTCACTTTTAAAGCGCTAGAAAAAGCTTTTGAAAAAATGAACAAAAGGAGCAAAGCGTTTGCAAGGAAAATGGCCTCGTTGAGAAAGGCCCAGTGAGGGAGGTCACGTCGCGAATTCGGAGCAAGGGAAGCGAGCAAACGGAAATTTGAGACCTTTTACACAAAACAAAAACCCCCGAGGAACCGAACTACCGAATTTCAGCCCAAGGGGTGCAGCAGGTTTTGTGGAGTTCGTGCAAGAATTTTCGAGGTTATCGGACTCATGGAGCGAGGAATGGAGATTTCGAGGAATGGAGCGAGCTCATTTGCATATCCGCACATAAGCAATATTGTAGAGATAGCTCCCCTACGAAGCAATTTTCATTTTGAAAACTCAGTATTACTTTAATATCAAAATGTTCTTGCGGAATAACGGTATTCGAAACCCCCAAAGACCCCCTCTTAATTACCACACGATTTGCCGCCCCCTCCCCCCATCGCCATGTCTTTCAAAACATGACACACACACCAACCCGAATGGACAAATGGAATAATGGCAACAAGACAAAAACACCATTGAAAATCATCGAAAATCACTTAGATTAACTGAAAAAACAAGAGAAGGAAACCAAGTAAGTTGCTTAACATTCATCTAGCCTTGAAGAAAGTACAGTGTATGAGAAACCATACTTTTTTTTCTAAGTCTTCCATTAATAAGTTCCACATTTTTAAACTTCCCCCGCCTATGCAGCACATATTGCACTGGTTCATTTCCATGAGGCGAATTTCGCAGCGAAATAACCGGTGAAGGTATCGACACTGATCTGTGAGGTGTCGGGTGCAGTTTTGATTTTTGATTTCAAAAAGAGTCCTAATTTTTCCGGGACGAAATATTTCGCAGCAGCTAAAAAGCAATCAAAACATGGTAAATGTGTTTGACCCGTGTCCTAAATACTTATGTTATGTCGGCGACTTAAGATTTGGGGAAAATCACAACATAATTTTGCAGCTAAAATTGCGAAAAGTAATGCCTTGGATGGACAGGTCAACAAATATACAACGGGAGGTGCGCTGGCGCGCGCTTTTTCAATTCCCAAAAAGAGGCAGAATCAAGAAGGTACCGTCAGTTCATGTTTTATTAGTAAGACTAGAGGTTTCAATTTTGTTTTACTCTCAGGAGAAATGAAGAGAGCAACAATAGTTATCGATGGAAAAAAGGACAGCTTAGAGACTTGTATTGCATTCGTCAACAGTGTTGTCGCTGAGAACAGATTTTTAACTTTGGAGTGCTGTCACGACGAAAGTGTAGAATCTGATCGATATTTTGATTCTCCTGATGACGATAATTTAAATTATAAAACCAACAGGAATGGATTTGGCAAGGGTCCACTTTGCAAAAGACCATTTCTCTTTACTAAAGATAAACCTTTCGTATATTATGCTGGCCTATGTACAGTTGTGAGGAAGATGGTACATCATATATCGGAATCAGAAACGGAAGAATCGAAAGTTATAAGTCTCCTGGTAAGAAATATCATAAGTCCGATGCAATGGATTTCCCATCCACAATCTGATTCAATCTTAATACACCAATCTTATGATAGCTCAACGGTCTCTTTGATTAAAGCAAGCTAGACTAAATCAATTTACATCTTCCTTTTTTTAATGCTCATAGATGTTTACAAACACTATTACAAAAAAGTATACACTATAACGATAGCACAGGGGGCATGAATCTTCATAACAGCCCTGTGGCCATTCAAAATTATCTGGAAGTCTGTTCGTAAAAAATGATGCAAAACAAAACACTTCCAGGTATTGGGGTAGCCAGTAATTGAAGATTGGGGGGGGCAAAGAGTAGTCCGTTAGGGGGGATATCCCATTTTGGAACTGCTTTTGAAAAAGCTATGGCTTTTTACATGGCAGTGGTTGGGGAATCAGCTTTTTGTGGCTGACTCCATTCTACAACACTGTCTTTTTCGTCACAATTCCTCCAACATTTATTTTCTGAATTGTGTAAATCGAGGAAGCAGTACATGTAAAAATTGATTTTCAAAAGTTGTAAGCAAATATGTCTAAAAATAATAAACAGTATTCAAAAGTTTCAAAAAAATGTAAAATCACACCATTTACAAGGCTGAATAAATCAGAAATCAGACTCCAGATTGCAAATAGGTTCTTTAGATCAAGGTTCTTCAACGTTTATCACAAAAAATCACGTAAACCAGCAATTACAAAACAGCAACTTGTTTGTGACAATAACTTTGACTCGACTTAAACTGAAACATATGCTCACAATATTAAATAAACTGAACTGAGACAAACATCAAAACACATCCATTAACGATAACTAGTCACAAACTCAATGCACGGCATACAAAACTAGTTGTTTAGCACTAAGTCTGTTCTCCTTGGGGCAATCTGCAAAATCCCTGACAAGCATTTCAGAAGCCAGTTTTTAACGAATCAAGCAGGCCTCTCAGTTAGAGGCATGTCATTGCACACCTGTGCCTTGGCCAAACCCAGGTGAGACAAGGTGCACATTTTGCCACACACCTGCTTCTCAAAAAGTAGAATTATTATGCACCTCATCCATTTAGGATTTAGGATTCCTTTTTTATCAAAAACATTGTCTTGTTGCTCCAGGAATCATTTTAAAGTACGACATTCATCGTGCAGGGAAGCACATTTCACAATATGCATGGCATGTCTTTTCTTTTGAGACAGGCATTCACTTGCGATCAGCACTAGCACAAACCCAACTATGTGAGCATTTGATTGCTCGTGCAAAAGGGTAAATTGTGTGAAAAAATTTTGTCATCAATTAACACATTTCCATTCATCTTTTGTGACCCAAGCAAGTGACATAGATGATACAATGCCAGTGTATCACAACACAGGAAACATGTGTAAGCTGTTTTAACCACATCTCAAATGAATAATGCCATCGAATATCAAATCCACCGCAAATGTTTAAGAATTCTATAGGCACTTATAGACCAGGCGAGGAAGGGGGGGTATCGTCACCCATCGAGGGAATTTGCAAGACCAACTACATTTGGTCAATTTCGATACGCTGATTACGAAAATCGATGTTATACGGAGAAATTCGGTACCAGGAAGCCTCTATTTCACGTTTAAACCTCGTTTTCGTCCAGATTTGAACGTTGAACGAAAGTTTGTAAATGAATCGATTTTTATCAATTTCGATGTACTGATTTCAAAAAGTTATTTTATAAATGTAAATTCAGTACTAGGAAGCCTCTTTTTCATGTCCAAACCTCGTTTTCATCAAAATTTGAACGTTGAAAAAAAGTTTGTAAATTTTTTATTCTCATCAATTTCGATATACTGATTTCGAAGGTTGATATCATACGGCGGAATTCTGAATGCACTGGTCCCTTTTCATGCCGAAATCGTGTATTTATCGTTTTCAATATTTCTAGAGTAAAATCTGCTGCGCACATAGATTTGCTTTAAAAGCTTAAAAAAGATTATGTCAAAAGGCTTTATAATACGGCTAATAAACATTTAAAGTTGTAAACAATCTTTTGGTGGTACAAAACTTGAAAATGGCTTTGAAAAAAGCAAACATTTAGCAAACTAAAGCTTTTCATCTGACACTCTTCAGACTTTAAAACGTCAGAACATAGATCGAAAACTCTACGCTAGGAAATATATATACCCAGTTGTGGATCGAAATAGGCCAATCAGAAACAGGAGCACATGACTGTATAGGTTGACCAATCAGTGACGCTTGCCGATTGAGAATGTTACCAATGGAGTCCTAAGGTGAAAACGGACTCCTTTTGTCTACACAGAAGCGGGTTTTTCGTGCTTATGTAGATAGATTCCAAAACTTCTAGGTAGAACGACGATCGGGCTTTACCAATAATCCGAAACATGTCGCCATTATAGTTTTTGCAGGTTTTAGTTGTAATTTTAGATTTGCAAGACCGAGGTGGCTGTTCTCTTTGGGGATGGGTTTTGTTTCTAATATTAGAGGGAACATGTTGTTTTATTCTATCCTCCAATCTTTGGGTAGTGCCTCTTACGTAGACAGAATCACACTGGCACGTAAATTCATATACAACGGAACTTTTTTGTGTGGCAGGAACGCAGTCCTTTTGAATGGACGGAAGGGCCTTTTTCGTACTATAAACAACACGTGGGTTGACTGTAAAGAAACAATTTGGCTTTTAAAACGTAGGGAACTGTCACCGATCCAGGGTAGTTTTAGATAGACCGGGCACTTTTGAGGACCAAATTTTACGTCAGCCGAGAAATTTCCTATCTTCTCCTTAATGTAAACTGAAATAACATCCTCTGGATAGCCGTTCTCCAGAAAGATCTCAGTTAGATTTTTCACTGCGCTACTTAAATTGTCATACAGAAAATTTATTCATGCTTCATGCTGTCTATCATATCAACATTGTCTTCAATTAAAAGGCGAGCAATAGTTGGTCTTCACGCATTCTCCGGCAACGATTATGTTTCCATGAGTTCCAAAAAAAGGGAAAAAGTCATTCTGAAAAGCAATGTTAAAGCGCAACGAATTCGTGAGCACTTTTGCAAGGCTTGGAACAGATGTCCAGCCCATCCAAATGCTTTCGAGGTCTTAGAGAAGTTTACATGCTTTCTTTACGGTTTTTCAACAACTGTCACCAAGGCCAATGACGCCCGCTCAAAGAGTTTCTGGAAGATTTTTGAAACTTATGGGAAAGTTTTTGAACTTAGTTTAATGCCACCGTGTGTTGCCAATCTCATTTGCACAAAGCTACATTAGCTTATGTTGCAAACATTTACAGAAATGCAGACCAGTTGCAGTTAAGCATTGGCAGTCCAGTTGATCATAATGGTTGGGATGCAGCCGGTAACGCACCGTGGAGTAAAGACATATACCTAGATAATAATGCCGAGCTGCTTCTAAATATCAATCAAAATGCTGAAGAAGACAATCTTGACCCAATGAACGACAATTGCTTTGAGGATGAGTATAGCAATGACTCTGATGACAACGAATACTAGAATGTTTATTCAAAACAACTTTAAATGTTTATTAGCCGTATTACATAGCCTTTTGACATAATCTTTTTTAAGCTTTTAAAGCAAATCTATGTGCGCAGCAGATTTTACTCTAGAAATATTGAAAACGATAAATACACGATTTCAGCATAAAAAAGGGACCAGTGCATTCAAAATTCCGCCGTATGATATCAACTTTTCGAAATCAGTATATCGAAATTGATGAGAATAAAATATTTACAAACTTTTTTTCAACGTTCAAACTTCGACGAAAACGAGGTTTGAACGTGAAATAGAGGCTTCCTGGTACCGAATTTCTCCGTATAACATCGATTTTCGTAATCAGCATATCGAAATTGACCAAATAGAGTTGGTCTTGCAAATTCCCTCGAAGGGTGACGATACGCCCCCTTCCTCGCCTGGTCTATTAGTATTGGAACTACATTAGCCCTCAGAACATTGTCTGGGTACTTAAAGAGCTTTTGCAAAAAGTTTTGGAACAACATTTTGCAATCATCCTTCAATACTGTCTATATGGCCTTTGTGATCTACATAAACGTTTTAAACAAAGCACATCATGTTTGGTATTTAATCTTTCTTGGAGTCCATTAAAGATCACCTTAACCATTCATTTTCATTTGATATTCCCTTACATAAAAGTAACTTAAAACAAGATCATATGGTTCTTTAAACATTACAGAGACTCTTTTTTGCATTGTTGATCATTATTATCCTTTTGAAAGCAATCGCTCGTGCAAGAGAATTCACACAAGCGCTCTGCTACTCCCACAGGCTATTTATTACAAACAGGCCTGGCATGGTAAACAATCAAAAATTGTTTGCTGGTCAAGTGTGATGAAAGAACCACTTTGAATTGGCAACACCACTGTTACCATTACAGGAAGTAATTCTAATAAGTGCCTATAACACTTGAGTCAAGAGTTTTTTAATTATTTGGTACCAAAGCTTAATGATCCAACGGAAAAGTACTGATATTACCACTTTTCCATGTGATTATTTACTTTAGCTTAAAACACCAGTCCACTCACTCAGGAAATATTTCCAAAATAATTCCAAAAATGTTTTCGTTATTTCGAAATCCATCAGTGTAAAATGTCTTATGCTAGAGTTTGAAAATAAATATTAAAAAAAATTTTGGTTTCAAAATTATTTGGTGGGATTAATTTTTGGTTGCCCTGTTTCCCAAAAAATAAATCCCACCAAAATTTTTGGTACTTAATGTATTCTATTTGAGTTTTGACTGATAAAAAATCAAGACAGTTGCAAATAAAACAAATTTTACTACTAAAACTGCAGTTCTTATTCTTATATCACAAGCTATTCAAGCAGAAATCTTTTGTTCAAATGGAAATCTTTTTCTTCATAAATTTCCTGTAAGCTACCCTCACATACAGCCACCTGAATACAAAGTGAATGTTCTCAAAAACATATGGTCGTCTTACATATCAGGGTTAACTTTTCACGTGTTTTATGTAGCTAGAGACTCGACTTATGCACTGAAAGTACACTGAAAGTACACTGAAAGTACACTGAAAGTACAGTAAATATACACCAATGCCTGTTATGAAAAGTACAAGAATTGATAGAAAGTTTTTCAACATGTGAATCTTTTTTCTAGGGCTACCAAGAGACATGCTTAAAGGGCTATGCAGAGGTAGGGTAGCTTCTCCAATTTAGGTGACTATTTTTACACAAAATGCTTGCAGTGATTGCAAATCTTTAATTTTCAGTTCTTGAACGATATTATTTGAAGTTATAGAGAAATTGTACACAGTATCCTCTGCAAGAAGTTATTCTCTTAAGGTGTGGTCACTGATGTTTTGTGTGATTTTGCAACCTCTGTTTGCAACTAGCAATTAATAGAATAAATTGAATATTAGCTTATATCCGGTGATCAATCTCAGCTCCATCATTAGTGTTGCAATACAAAAACTTGACTCTGCATATTTAGATATACTCTCTCTCTTTGTTGCTTGCATCATGACTCAGTGCCTTAAAACCAAATAATAGCATGTTTCCTCGTATTCTGATACAGATATACTTTTTCTCAATTCAGAGTCATTTGTTAGGATAGTTTAAAAGTAAACACGGTGTGACTTTTACACTATAAACATCACAAAAATCAATGATGATGAAATAACAAGCCAGGATGATTATATTTGTACAGGTTGAACATGCTCAGCAACAATGTGCTGTTATCGATCACAGGCCTGTCTAGAATATATGATTATATATTTGCAGGTGAGCTCTTGGACTAAGTTCTGTGAGGTTGAGTTTCCAGGTGCTATTAAAGAATTGACAGTTGATGACACAAGAAAGAAAGCTTGTCTTTTGCATATTCAAGATGGAGAAAATAGAATTCCTCTTGTTTTACAAATGCTGGAAAAAGAACTAAAAACACCAAAAAACTTACCAAATAAGTCAAAGTATACAAGAAAAGATAAATCAAAATGGCTTGCAAAGATTGTTTGTGAATCTTTTGAAGGAAAATTTCTTGATAGCAGTATTGAAAGCTATGTTAGTGAGCTATGTCAAAAATTGGACAAATGTGGAAACTGGAGCCCATTTTTAAATGGATTTTTGGTAACAATTGCCGATATAATTACGTTATCTATGGTCTCACAGCTGGTTGTTAAAGTAAGTAACTTCAACAGCATACAAATTCTCAGTATACGTGATTAAAAGTAAAACATTTTGATTCACTCTGACTAGATTTAATAAATTTTGATTTTGGACATTAAAATATGCTTGCATGCACTGCATGTTTTTATTGTTTTATGATGAATTTGAATTAAGATGGCAAGTAGGAATTCTCTTCAGTTATTGCATCTTTAGAAGTCTTGTAGTAAGACCACGAGACTGCCTGAAGTTGGCAACATCCTCAGTTTGTGACACTTGTCCCATTGTCAGGCATCTGGCCATTTGCAATCATTACTTGGGGTCTACTTTTGCAGTATACAGGAGCCTGCAACACAAAGTGATTATTTCTTGTTTATAGATTAAGCCTTTTTAGAGCTGTGCTTCTCTCCAAAACACATTTTTATTGTACAAACAGTGTGGCTTGTTCCTTGCAGAAATGGTAAGTTGTTGCCCATAATCTTAATAATAGTAGCAAGGTTTCACACCATTTGTATTAAATAAATAATTTTTAATCTGCGTGGGTTCTCGTGTTTTGATCTTTTCCTTTCATTCATTCAATTTTTAGTCATTTTTGATAAATATTTGAATGAATGCCTTAAATTGAAATAAGTCATTGAAATTGAAAAAATGAATATTTGCAAGGAGCATTGGACTTTTTATATTTAAATTATGCATTGGACTTTTTATATTTAAATTATGCATTGGCCTTTTTATGATTCGCATAATATCTCTTTAAATTGCTGTATCTCTTTAACTTATTTTCTTGTAGCTTAATGATGTTTGATGTGATTCAGAATTGGGATGACTTAAAACTCACGCTATAAGTTCCTTTTTTCACTGTATCCGCATCATTGTATTACACAGCAGAAAATAAAAAGGTATCCAAGATCGCCTACTTCTGATGTATTTGAAAATACAACGAAGAGGGAACACAGAATCTCTAAACAAACTAGAAATAAAAGATTTTTTTATACATAGCTCAGTCCTGATATAAGCAGACTCTAGAAAAGAAATAAGAAGGCATTGCGACCAATAATCAGTTTTTCATTATATATTTTCGCTTAACACTATTTTTGTCGATTGATTACTGCTATTAAGTGTAACTTTTGGCACATTCTTCACAGCTTGCTGATATCTGCTGTCTTTGTAATTTACCTGAGAAAATACCATCTGTTGTATCTTGGATCAAAATGATGTGCGTTATTCCAAGTGCCCATAAATTGATCGAAGATACTTTGAGGGCATTTGACGGTTGCTCAAAACGTAATAATGGAATGGGACATCCTAAAATCTGTTGTTCATGGCAACCTGTCGACCCAAGGATCCAACCAGGTAAATAGAACTCGGAATTTATAAACGGTGTTTTTCACATGTTCTATGCCATCGAATAATGCTTGAACCTGGCTAAAAATTATAATAAATTCTAATAAAAGTAATAGCACTACTACTAGTAAATTTATAAATATTCTTGTTTATTTGATAAGTTTTACTATAATTCATATTTATATATTTTAGGTTTATTGTCGCTGATTTCGCTTTACAGCACTGTTAGGGCAAGATTTTTCGCAAGATTTTATTGGGATTGCTACAATTTGTTTATGTTTTTCTTCCCACTATCTGCAGTTAGTCAAACAAAGCTTGAACAGAAAAGAGAGAAGATTAGAGTTAATCATAAAAATGAAATACAAGAAACTTTGGAAAGGTTAGAAAAACATGGTATTTCAGTTGACGTTCTTCCGCTTTCTCAAGAATCTCCCTCCGTTGACTGGGAAATACATCCTTCTTCAATAAATCCATCTGCAGGTTAGAAAAATTATTATATTTTTTGACAATAAAACAACAGTTTTTTAAGTTAAAGAAATGTTTGGTCACACAATTTAGTCATCAGCTCACAGAAAACTTTTTGTCTCAACGACTGAGATTGAAAAGAATGCCTGGTTCATAGAGATGGCCTGATTATACCAAAGTCACGATAATTGACAGTACAGTGGAACGGGTGAAGATTTAAACGGACAACTATGTTGTTGAGTGATAGCTCCTCTGCTTAAATATATCTAGCTTACTTATTATTCAATTAGCAATACACAACAAGTTTTTCACTGAGGGGTGTACGGCGTAAAGTACTTTAGTCTGATATGTTTTCGCATTTCCAAGACAAAACTTGATGCTGGATTTGAAAAAAGCAAACATTTTACAACATACTAAAAGCTTTTATGTCAGACACTCCTCAGAGTATAAAACGTCAGAATAAGGTTCCAAAAGAACAAGAAAGAAGATATATACCCATGTGGATCGAAATAGGCCAATCAGAAAAACGCGTGTATGTGACCGGTATAGTTTTCTAATCAGTACCTCATGCCTATAGGAAAATTACCACCGGAGTCCAAGAGAAAGAACAAACTCTTTCTGTCTACACAATACCGGCTGCAATGGCTTTTTTGTTTGTATGTAGATCGACTCCAAAATTGTTCAAAACTTGATACGCTCACCTTGATACTTGCAATAAAATGCATGCACAAACCCTTGTATCACCTGTCCTTCCACGTTTTCCTGACCACAGACCTGTACAATTTCTCATTAATGAAAATTACTGTTTACCGGTCTGTCATAAAGTGTTTGATGCCGTATAGTCAGAGATGTACACGCTATTTGGTGTATGGAACTGCTATTGATTTATCATATAAAGCGTGAAGCTCGGAGTAGCGATTTCTCGTTAATGTACCTACCAACTGAAAAACGGACCTGACTTTATTTCACTATTACCCACTTTTTCGTTCACTCAGAATGACATTTTGTTGTGTCATCGACGTGAAATTGCTGTCTTGAGGAAAAGTACGTTTGACCCCGCTTAAAGTCACGATACCGGTTACAATCGCAGAAGATTTAGACCCAACTATGCGAAACTAATCAATTTTGCTCTGTTGAAAGTCACACTCCGCTTACTGACAGAAATTTTTGAGCAACTTTTGGTGGGACTATAACTGGAGTCTACTGTATGTACTTAACCACTTTGATTGTTATCAGTTGGTGAATTTCGGTATTTGCTTGGAAACAGAATTATAAATTAAGCAATTTCGCAACGGCTTGCAGCGTTCACCCAATTTAAATTTATTCGCGATGAATACTTCAATTCTAACAATCGCAACTTCCAAGTTAACGTTATTTTTGCACAGCAGTTTGGATTGCCATACAGCATCTTAAATCTAGTTCAAGTATTGCTCTAGTTGCTTAACCTTGCTTGCAATACACGTACAGCAAACAACTTCTACCCGTAAAGTTCCTTGTCATGCTTCGTAACATTTTAACTGTCAATGCTAACTTAAAACCGATTGCTTTTACTACAGAAGCCTCAGCGGGATTCCATACAGAAAACTTCATATGTAAAGATAAAACTTTGGTTTTTCGCAATTTGTAAACAATTATTTTCTTGTTTTTTTCCAGCAAAAATCTTTAGCAGTTGATTCTTATTTTGTGGATCCGTCTTTATTTAATATATTTCATGTAATTCAAGGTGATTTGAATGACAAGCGTGCACAGAGAAAACAGTCGCAGATTGCAAATATGATTTATGCAGTTTCTCCTTTGTTGACATCAGGGAGTAGAATCGTTGACTTTTGTGCTGGCGGAGGCCATGTTGGCATTGTCGTTGCGTATTTCTTCCCACAATGTCAGGTAGATAACTCTGTTAATTCTATATTCAATTCTCCAGATAACATTCAACCAAATAAGCTTTGTTGATAAGGCATCGATTTGCATTGCAGCACGTGGTATAAGTTCTTGTCACGATGAATAAGCTCTATGGGAAACCTAAGCATTAATTGGCATATAGTCTAATGTTCCAATGTTGTTTTAGTGCATATCTAAAGAATATTTTTTTTTGGCTGGACACGATAAAACTCTTTTCTGCTTTTACTTTTTCAACTGGACTTATAGACCTTATTGTTGTTAGCCGTATAGGATTCCATCTCTCTTCGTGGTTTTCTATAACTATATTTCACTTTTTATTTCCCGTTCAGGTCATTCTCGTTGAAAACAAGGAACAATCTGTTTATAGAGCGATCGCGAGGATAGAAAACCTAAAACTAAAGAACATAACAGTATGCCACTCGAATTTGGATTATTTTTGTGGATCGTTTGACGTTGGAGTCAGCCTTCACGCATGTGGACCAGCAACAGACCTGGTTCTGAATTCTTGCTTAGAGCAAAGGTTTGCTTCTTTTAGTTTTTCAGCAAAATCTCTCACAAATACCTATAACTGAATCCTTTGTTGCAAGTATACACAATTTCATAGAATTTTGAATCATAGAGGTTTTTGTATATTATTAAAATCTACCTTTTGTTGAGTTATCGAAGAGTTTCTACTGTTTCTTCTAGGGCCTCTTACGTGGTATGTCCTTGTTGCTATGGTAGCATTGCTGCCGTCAACTCATTGTCATATCCAAGGAGTAAGCTATTTCAAGCGGCTGTTGACGTCACTCAATACATGGTGCTTACTCATACTTCTGATATGACCACGTGGGAGGAGGAGTCGGAAAAAAGTCAGCTTGGGATACAAAGCATGGCCTTTGTAGACTTGGATCGATGTACATTTATGGAGGAAAGTGGCTATCAGACTAGTTTGCGAATAATGGTACCAAGCAGATGTTCCCCAAAGAATCATTTGCTCATCGGTGTAGTCACAGCGCTGAACCTGTAGCTATTAAGCATCCTGTAAGAATGTATAATTTCAGATCTTATCGGATTATTCTGGATGGGTTTTTAACTGTCTGGGCTCTGAATGTGTTTTGACTTTTCTATGGCTGCGTGAATTCAGCTTAACAGTTTTCTCGATTAGGTGACCACCCTCGAATAAGCGCCCCTTCGAATTAGCGCTCCCTAACAAGTGATTGGGTTAATGAAAGCCTCGGGACGCTTAATCGAGGAAATTTGGTAGTAGAAATTCTAATAGCAAGCTGCTTATTGCATTTCAAATTCTCAGGATTATTCATTTTCAAAAGCTTTCTAACATCAGGCTTCTTGGCACTCTCTTTTCTAAAGGACTTGTGCTCTTTAAGCAATATTAAGATATGTATAGGGATATGTAGTTCATGCCAACTACGAGCAATGCAGTCATTTAAATGAAGTTGCTTTAGAACGTAAATCAGATAAATTGTGTACGGAGCAAGTATAAGTTTCATTCAAATTCATCAAGATCAAATGCTCATGATGTTGCCACTGTGTGCTACGTGGCAGGATACAAAATTTTCAACAAAAACGATTTTCATTGTCTTAAAGTGGCTGTGTGGCGTATCTTATCATGTTTAGATCTATCATAACTGTTTTATTCTATTTTATGTTAGTTTTTCTATAAGTCTAGATGCATGGTCTCTTGTAAACCAGCATTGCTGAATGGGCTACCACGCTTAAATAATTGAAAATGAAGGAATGAATGAATGAATGAATGAGTGAATGAATGAATGAATGAATGAATGAATGAATGAATGAATGAATGAATGAATGAATGAATGAATGAGTGAATGAATGAATGAATGAATGAATGAATGAATGAATGAATGAATGAATGAATGAATGAATGAATGAATGAATGAATGAATGAATGAATGAATGAATGAATGAATGAATGAATGAATGTCTTATTGCTTGCGCAAGGAACTTGGCTTGAGAAATTATAGCAACTATGTGCATTGAGAAGTTAGAGCATAAATTTTTCCCGTTCTTATACTATTATATGCACGTTTTTATCGTTTCATCAAAATCAAATTATCGCTATTTATTTTACAGAAGTTCAAAGTTTGAAATTTTCCACGGACAGTCCGGTCGATAGTTAAGTGAGATTCCCGGTCTTTAAAGCCACCAACGCTTCTCTTTGATTATGCTGATCACCTGTCAGGGTCTCTTTGAGTTAGCCAGACCAACTGTGTCTTTTCGTTGATTTCAATTGAAAATGTGAACCCAAACGTTGTTCGCTGTCTCTTTAAATGCGGCAATCCAATTCACAAGAAGAGTCATAATCAGTGCTACATTTGTCAAAACAACTACTTTTGCAAGTACATTGGCCATCTACATTTACCATCTGTTGAACCTGATTTGTCCTTGAGGACAACCCTCTCCGTATATATCTGAATAGCTCTCAAGTCCGTTCGTGCTGTATATACGCTAGCTCATTTCTTTACTCTCTGGTATCTTTTTACTTTCGAGTTAACTTTTATTATTTCTGTTTACAGTTTTTCTTTAATAAAAAGACAAAATATTACAAAAGATGAAATTTAGTTGAAGATTTTAGGATTGAATTATGTAAAGGGAAGTCTTCCCCCTTTTTGCATTACGATTGCATTTCCTTGAGTTAGAAATGAGCACCTAATTATTCAAAAAATCAGGATGCTACGAAAAAAGGGAATTATGGCCCGATAACTACCCACATTTCTAAATCCAAAATATTCGCGTGAATTATGCATGACAAACTAAAAGCATTCATTTCATTTTACCGTCCCTGTTATTTCTCGCTTGGAATAAAGCATCGAACGTGCTCTTTTTAGATCACTGTTTACTCCTAGCATGTTTTTCGATAGAAATTGATAAGTAGACGCATCATAATAAACCTTCCAAAAGCCTTCGACTGCATAGACCACGACCAGCACTAAGAAATGATTGCCTATGGCTTCAGTTCTAGCCCGAAAATTGAGTACCACAGGGATCGGCACTAGGGCCCCTCACTTTCAATGACTTTGTCAACAACCTATTTTATCAAGTTCATGCTGCCCAACCTTGTAGTTAATACAAGTTATTGTTTTATCGGTCTGTTAAAAAGCGATCCATGCCATATAGGCAGAGCTGTACACGCTTTTGTCTGGGAACTTCAACCTTATAAAATAGCACAGGATAGTTTTATGTTGCATCGTCGAGATTCTCGCTTCAATAATGTTATCGTTATGTAACTTTTCGAAGTCTATAACTGTAAATGATAAGCTTCACGAAATATGATTCAGGACAGTACAATCAGAATCTGAAACAAAAACATTACTTTTATAATTTGACTACGAATCTAAATTCAGCCATCATGACATTCAGATCTGTTCGAAATCAAATCAAACTCTCTACGCCTTTGCATTAGTGTCGAATTAAATGGGGCGGATAAACCAAAATGATAATAAACTCTTTTTCAAGCTTTTGTTCGCTAATTTGGATGTCTTTTGATATACCCACCTGTAACTGAAGTAAAAGATTCATGAGATGGCTTTGAGCATTGTTTACTGATAAAGAGACTACTTTGACAATCTTCTGTTCCAAGGTAACTCAAGCGTCAGTCAATCAGATGAATCTGCAATGGCATATGAGTGAGCTATATAAAGAAGAACAGTCTAAATTCATCATCTTTCGTAAAGGATATTTTTATCGAAACAAAAATCCAGCTGCTCATGCAAGCTTCTGGTCCAAGGGCAATTACAGCTGCTCATGTAATCGAGGCCATGCGTTGTATTAGAAATGGACTGTGACAAACGTTACAAAAGCTGAATCTACCGGGGGATGATGTGTGTGTGACACTCAGCTTTGCAGAGTGAAAAGCTCTTACACCACCTCCAAGAAATCCTGGAGTCACACCCTTGAACTCTTCTAAGCTTAATCAAAAAGTCTCGCCCCTAAGAGCTTTTAGAAGTTATATGTCATTGGATAAAGAGACAAATGCAATTACAGTCTCCGTGAAATTCGTATTGCAAACCTTGAGTTTTCAAAATTAGCCGGCAAACTGTTGGAAAGGTTTCAGAAGCGTTGTTAATTAGTCGCTCCTGGTAGCCTGTAGCTGATTCTAATTAGCTGAACCTCTATTACATTTGTCAACTCTGATAAATTATGCATAACAGGGGAAAAATTTGTCAGTCTAACTGATGTTTAACTGACCAACTTAAAATGATGCCAATCAAATTCAAAAGTGAACTCTTCCAAGTTCTCTATTCCCACAGACAATTTATCTTGCATTTTCTCTAAAACTTATTTCTTTTATTGATATAATGACATTGATGATTCATTTGAACAAACATTTTCCTTTGCTCTAATTTTAATGTTTCGATTTAGTATTTTTTAGAGTTTATTGTACGATTGGCTTTTGCTTTCACAAGGAAAGTAAGAGATATGGCTGCAAAACTGTTCCATGGAAGCAAAAAGAATACTTGAAAGATAAGATGAAAAAGATTTGGAACACTAAATGTTTGATAGCAATTAAAGCGGCTGCACATCAAGGTGAACTATTAATAATATATAAATGCACGAGAACGCTCTCGTCAATCTTTATGATTTATTGTTGTTCTCGTGAACAGCTTAATGCCAGCGACACATGGAAGACAACGGGACTTTATTCTTTTCGTGATATTTCTTCAACCGTAAACGAACAAAGTAACTTTTTTCATTTAACTCGGGTATATAAATAAATATAGATAGAACCGCTTCTAGGTAGAACCGGTGCATCAGCTTATAATGGTGGATGGGATATTGGCTTTCCTGTCTAATTTATTGCCAAGAGTCAATCGATTGGGAGCTACTTTCATACCCTAACATCGTAAGATTTTAGAACGATTTACTTAGCTCGCGTATTCTACCTCACGTGCAACAACGGCCTGTGGGAAGTGCGTATAACCTTGATGTGGGTGCGAACCAGTATTGCTTTTCAGTTTTTCATTAAGCGATTTGACCAGAATTCCCAGATATATCCCAGCGGGGCATATGACTAGGGAAATAGGAGACGTGTTTGGGAAACTCCTGCACACCTAAACCTTAAGCCAAAAGTATACCCTTGTCCCATTATATTTGCTGCTCGAAAGCATAATCAGAATATGATCTTTTAAGGAATGGTCTAAAAAAAGAGTGAGCTGTTTTCATATTTATTTTTTGCACCTAATCACTCTGTCTCGTTAAATTTCCTTTACTTTGATACGCTACCCCAAAATAATTGTCGGAAGAAATAAAAGGCCGACTCTTTCTTTTGATTACAGTAATATATCTTGTATTGGAAGCATCTGTCCTGCCTCAGTATTTTGCTATCATCGTGCATCTCGCTTTCTTTAAGTTGCCCACTATTGACTGTTACTAAAAGAAAGATGCCAGATGTGGAGATAGACTGCTGCTATTGCAAGATAACTGGTCTACTGATTCTCTGCTTCCTTCAGGTTGTAGTTCGATTTCAGGGTTTTAAGGCATTTCAAGTTAAGAATATTTTTCTGCAATGATCCCAGCTCCTTACATGCTGTCAGAATCATAATACCTTACTTAATGGTACGCAAAAAAGTTGAAAAAAGTCTCGCTTCAATCTGCAACATAAGAATGGTAAGAATTGAAAACCTTGAATAAATAATCCAACTTGTCAATCGAAATTTACCAGCAGAAATTGAATTAATTTGGCAAGTAAATCAAAAAAGCAGAAAAAGAGAGTTAAAGTTTAACTAGACATTGTTCTTCCATAAAAAGCTGCAAAATAATGTATTTCAATATTCTTCTTCAACGAGCAGGAGTGTATGATCTTATAATTCCCTTTCCTGTACCTTAGAAGCCCAAAATAAAAAACCTAAAATTTTTGTTATGTGGGACAAGTTGATTCTTATACAGAACAATTCAGCATTGTTACTTCTCAAATATCTTGCATCGTCCTCTTGCAATTGCTAAATTGCAATTAAAACTATATTACATTGTCAAAATAAACGCTCTCATGAAAGACTATTGGTAATAATAATAATAATCTACATTTATGTACTATAAGAAACTTGGTCAGCTTGCTCAGAAGCTGCCACCAGTCAAGATCCTGTTAAATTTAAAGTTATAAAGAAAATAAAAAGATGTCAAATTACAATATCAAATTAAAAAATATCTAAAAATTACATATTTAAAGGTTTAAATTCACTGTCAAGTTGATTGTATTGTCTCTTGAAATATATTATAGACTGTACTTGTTTCAACGTATCAGGTAGTTTGTCATGTAGTTTTGATCCCTGAAACAGGAATGTCTTTCTACCCGCTTCTGTGCATACTTTTGGGAGCAGGAGATTGGTGTTATTTCCACGGGTTTCCTTCTGACGCACAATTTTCTTGAAATAATCTTTGAACATTCGAGGTGCCAGTCCATTTTGGCATTTAAACCCCTTAACTAGGCATTACGTATTTCTCGCATGGTGCACAGTTGGTAGTTCCACTCCTTGGCTCTTTCCATTGATGATAGCTAAGACTCGATTTCGGATTCCTTCAAACTGTGATTTGTGTGTAATTGACATACTGAGCATGCTATTGCTGCAGTATAACATCTGTGGCAAAGTCATCACTCTGTAAATCGTTTCTGCTACCCATGGGCTGATATTATGTCGTATACGGGCAAGCAATTTTTTTATTGACAAGACTTTCTTGCAGGTCTTTTCAAGATGCACTTTCATTGTCAAATTTTTGTCCATGGTAACACCTAGATATTCTTTTCATCTTCTTTATGACCACTAATACCTCACGGGAGCTGGTAGCTATAAATTAAAAACAGTTATTATTTTGGTTCGTCTTTCGTTGCAGCTCTGAGTGGTCTTGAGCTTTCCATACGATGTCTGATCGGGACAGAATCTTGCCTTGTAGATTCTTTTCGATAGCAGTAAAAAATTGGCAGAATTCATTTGCGATTGTTCTTTTATCATCTATTTACTTATTATTTACGCAAGCGCAAAATCATACTCTTCCGTGCGAGAATTGGAATGAGGAATAAAAAATTAGAATTTTTTGGAAAATTCTGTGGCAAATATGCGTTTTGAGTGGCATGGTGAATATGGATTTGTGTTTTAAGTTAGTGTCAAAGATTTGAGGTCTTCTTGGCTTGATTTTCATTGAAACGGTCATTTAAAAGACTCTCTCACCTTCAGATGGAGTGAATTATTGAGCTTTAAAAGATTTTGCTGGAATTTTTAGAGTTACAGGCTTCCACAGGGTGTCAACCATTCACAATTCAAAACTTGCCTCGACTTTTTTTTTTCTTTCTTTTTTTATTTTAAGTTGGTACAATTTCTAGCTATGCATACAGGCTAATTAAAACCAACTAACGACTTGAAGCGACTTGAAGAAAGGCTGAATCACGCTTATGTTGTCACCACTTGTATCACTGAAAAAGGGAAACCGGTTGTCTTTGTGCGTTATCAGACATGCTTCTGATGAATTATTGATATTCTAAAATATTTATCTTTGACAAGGATTCCGATGGCTAATTCAAGGCAAGGCGCTAGCAACACACATTTGCAGAAGTGATGGGGACAGCGGAACAAGATTCAAAACACGAAGAAAGAAAATTTAAGGCATAAATTTAGTGTGAGCCAGAAGAAAAGTGGGATTATAAAATACATCATCGTTAACGTTGGAGCTAATTCTTGCGAGTACATTTCCCAAGGGTATGTATTTTTTGATAGCCTTCACCTGCCGTGTGTTTGAAAAATATTTATTTAACTCACGAAGTGAACACACATAAGTGAAATTTCACTAATCGATTCTCTGAAACAATGCTTTATATGCAGTATGGTGGTTTTTCATATTTCCATAAAAAATTCGTCTTCAAAGATTCATAGTTGGAATGTAGCGAAGCCTTCAAACCAGCTGAGTTTTTACTGACCATAGAAGGCAAGCAGAAAGGAGTTTCCAATAAACCATCCAGATAGGAATTCATCATAGTTAGAGGATGTAGCCTTTGCAGAGATTTTTGGATTTGACCTTGTCAATGTCTATTCCAAGGTGCTGCTGTAGTTACTACGCTTAGGTGTTCAGTGGATCCCTTTAAACTTCAAATCAGGTTAAACTGGCTCTTTAAAATTTTCTGAATGGTAATTCACAGCTACCTGTTTCCAGCTGTAAACGTCTTCACGTAAGTTTTGATTGAAAATGAGTGCCCGATAATACCTAGAGGAATTAGAGCCATAAGTAATAAGTAAACATTCCTGAGCTATCACGAGGAAAGGTGTAGAATATGTTTATCTTATTAAAATCGCTAGGTATTTCTTGGACTGTTAAATGGCATGAAGACTGAAAAAGCTGGAAAACATCATTTCAAAATGACATGCTGTTTTCCAGCTTTTTCAGTCTCATGCTTACGCTCGTTTCGTCACACACTCATATTGCCGTATGGATGTTGAATATTGAGAAAAAAGATACCTGTTTTCTGTTTAAAGTAACATGCTTTCGTGCCAAATAGTTGCTTGATGATGGCATTATGTGTGAAACATTATCCGTCCTGTTCTGAATACCTTAACTTAACGTGTAGAGCCCTGTCCATACGATATTTTGCAATTTACATCAGAAAAACTAAAACTTGTGTCTAACAAGTGTTCGTAATCTGTCACTGGCGCCAAATAGCCATGGACCTTACGATTTCTCACTAGCAGTAAAATGGTACACAAGGGTAAAAGATTTCCCATATTCTTCGTAGATCAGGTGAAGAAAGATAGGCCCAAGTTTGATGTTTGTGAAGAATGAGGAAAGAAAATTGTACGTTTCTCAAGTAATGTGAAATATTCATAATATCAGTGACCAGCATTTAAGTCTTTACTACCGCAAAGCATTAACAAGAAATGAGATCAGTGCTATCTTTGCCAGTAGAGACTCGGGTGTTGAAGATAGATTATATAATTTCCCGTTGCTCTACGAAAGCAAAAGATTCATCGGTGCAAAACTGTAAACAGTGTGAAAGTTTGCTAAGTGGAAGCCTTGTGCTATGGAACAAAGGAACGGACCATATATGGTATGCAGGTGTAATATAAAACATCTGTAGAACACTTTTAAGGCTGCGTGCAGAATCACAAAATGACCATATATCAGCTGTCATCCTTTATTTCCATAATTTTTTCATTAATAAAAGACGTTTATGACATTTTAAAAGCTTGCAGAATGACAAAGAGCCACTTTTTCGAGTCAAAGGTTCTGTTGATGTTTACTTGATTTCATGCTTCGTGTATTTTAGTTTTAATGATCCGGGATATAAATGTCTGTACGGGGGATTCATTCATAGTTCGAAAATATGAAGTGACAATTATGATCCGAGACGATATCTGAAATCACCGCAAGCTTCCATGTTAACGGAATCACAAGAGTTTAGTTTATGATGTTATGATCATAGCTTTTTTAGTTAATATGAGATTAAGAAGCCTGGACCACTGTTAATGTTGTAAATCTCCTGACCTTAGGCTCATTCTCAGTGGTTGAAGGAAGGAAGACCACTTCTTTAGATTTTGGGAGAGACTTAAAAATCCAAGGATGAAACTCCTATGCGCTGGGAAGTGCCTTTATGATTACAAACTTCGATGTTTTCTATATAAAGAGGATGGAGAAAACATGAAGACATATTTTTCGTTTAGGATAAAACATTTATCCCCTTTTAGTTAGGAAGGAACGACTTTATGTTTTCAATTCGACAATCCCCGACTTTAGCTATAAATAGAAAAAAATCTCGAAAATCTGATAACGCACACCACATCGATGAAACCACATGCGTCAAATCCATTAGCAAATGCAATTTTGAATACTTTGCAGCAATATTTCGTCTTTGAATAAGAAGTCGATAAAGTTACGAAAGCAAGCGTTGACCAATCTCTGACACAAATATCCTCAAAAATAACATCAAAAATAGAAAGCATTTTGTCCACGTATCCCTTTTCTACTTTTCGGACTTGCCAAAACATGAAACATCTTAATCGGTACTACACCGTTTGTTACCCTACTCTAATATCTCTAATAGAAGGGGGGTGTTCATTCCGACCAATTTTCAATAGAAGGGTATGCTAATAGAAGGAGGGTGTTCATGTCGACCAATTTTTAATAGAAGGGGGTGCTAATAGAAGGGGGTGTTCATTTCGACCAGTTTTCAATAGAAGGGGGTCCTAATAGAAGGGGGTGTTCATGTCGGCCAGTTTTCAAAAGAAGGGGGTGCTAATAGAAGGGGGTGTTCATGTCGGCCAGTTTTCAATAGAAGAGGGTGCTAATAGAAGGGGGTGTTCATGTCGGCCAGTTTTAAATAGAAGGGGGTGCTAATAGAAGGGGGTGTTCATGTCGGCAAGTTTTCAAAAGAAGGGGGTTGCTAATAGAAGGGGGTATTCAGGTTGGCCAATTTTCAATAAAATATTAGCAAATTTCAATAGCAAAGGGGAGCTGATAAAAGCAGTGGATGTTTGTAAATCTTTTAATAAAAGGGCAATGGAATTAGTAGGATGGTGACACTGGTTACTTGATAATGGATAGATGGTTAGAGATAAAGATAGACAAACATAACAAGGGGAATTATGACAATTAAAAAATAACTACTTAACATAACAAGGGGAATTATTGACAAATGAAAATTACGTGTTCTGGTCATGACAGATTTGTAAAAGTTAATAGAAAGGGGTGCTAATAAGCCACGGGGGGATTCTTCTGGAATTAATACATGGGGGGCTCGTCTATTAGAGACAGTAGAGTATTTCCCCACTTGAGAGCTCATGCGGTTATAAACTGAAATTCACGATTCTTTCTACAGCGCATGCGCTTATAAATTAAAATAATTTTTTTCAACAAAATGGAACTAGTAATGTGTGACCAGTAGAATCTGGATATTCTAAAAGTTATTTAATGTAAACTTCTCAAGATCCGAATCATTATTTTCAATGGTCATTAGTTCTTCAGTCAGCTGTTCTTCGTCAAGGTTAAGATAAAGATCCAGTTATAAGCGCACTGCGCCTATATCCTGATATAAGCGCTTGCACCTTTAAATGAGGTGCGCCTATAAGCGGGCCAGTAGGGTATTTTCGTGAAAATATGTCACTTATTTGCAGATTCCGTTTATAAAATTTTCGATCGGACTAGGGCACAATATAGAGACTGAGCCTTGTGGGTGTCATCTGCCCCTTGTCCCACGCTGATGCACCTCATTATCTTACCAATGCTTGTTCTAGTATTCGCTTGCCGCCAAATTGAAGGCTGCTTATCCTCCTTTAAAATGGTTCCTTCTTTTTGCTCTGTAAAAAACTGTTCCTCGATAGTCGGTAATAGAAATATTTTATTTTCCAGGTCTCAACGCTGAGCATATTTCTTCTTTGTATACAGACTCAAAATGGTGTTTTCTGTTCATCAAAATTTCACAGAATCTAGGAATATGACTTTTCACAGCGATGAGGAAACCCAGGTGTTTGGGTGGAACAAAGTATTTGAGTACTTCATTGTGTGTGTCGCTATTCCACTATCTATTGTAGGAATACTTGGAAATATTGCCATTCTGTATAAATTTGCCTACGTGAAAAGTGTTTCGCGGACCCAGTATGAAACCTTGCTGTTGGCCTTGAGTGTCGCTGATTTGGTTTGCATGGTTGTGACTCCAAATGTGTTTGCTTATGGCACAATTACCCGCTTTAGGTCATGGCATGGCGGAACTGCAGGCTGCAAATTCGTTTTATCCGTGTTGCCAATGAACGTAACTGTCACACAAGGATTGCTAATCATAATCTCTTTTCAAAGGTACAGGGCACTCACCAAGCCTTTGTCGCCATTTATCTTCACAAAAGCCAAGCTGATATTTTGGGTAGGGATATGTCTTTTATCGGCTTTAGTATTCGTGTCACCATATGCCTACTCATTGGAAGTTGTTTCTGAACCAACCCATGCCACAATGACGTGCACAACTCCCGGCGAAAAGTCTAATTATTTGCTGGCATTTGCATCCATCAATGTTGCCCGCGACATTATCACCACCGCCATCTTGTCCGTGACAGGTCTCTTCACAACAAAGGCATTAAACGATACAATAGATGGAATAGCTACAAGAAACAGCAACGAAAGTTGGAAGAATTCACGCATTATGTCGACAATTCGTGTTAGGAAACTTCTTCGGAATATGATAACAGTGTTTTGCTTCTGCACTCTGCCACTAGATTTCTTCCAATTTGCTCTCTATGTTGCTTTCAAAATTCTTGGCCCAATTGAAGTGAAGATTTACGAAGTGCTGCGCAATATCAACACAGTCCTCTTCCTTCTTCAAGCAAGCAACAGCGCTGCTAATATATTCATTTACGCGCGAACGCACGAAGATTTCAAAAGCTGGTCAAAGAAGATCAGAAGAAGACTACGAATGGAAGATAAAAACTCTTTTCAAAATTCTGTTCCATGCACGGAGGATGATGTCGCAATTCAAATGACATCTTTGTCAAAACCATGCCAAGAAAGGGATTAACTATCGAACCAGGCATGGTTTATATCGATCGGGTAATAACACATTAACTATGTGAAGTCTTTTTAAAAAAAACTGCGTAAAAATGTTAACGTTTAAAAATTTGTGTGATCTTATAATGTCGTGACAAGCCATACTGCTTCTGAACTGTAGCGGAGCGGAGTAGAAGTGAATCTTTAAGGCAAAGATTTGAGGGGTATATTTAAATGAGAAAGTTAAATAGTTAACTTGTAAATACATTGTACATAAACTTGATTGCATCCTTACTATTGAAAGATGGAATGGATGCTTCTTAGTGGGTTTAAATGCTTGTGAAAGTAAAACAAAGTACCCATGTATATAACGTTTAGCTATATGTATATTATCTACTTAAAACAGGGGTGGGCAACCGCTTAAAGAAAAGATTTGAAGTATCTGGCCCAGTCTCCAAAAAGGTTGCCCAACTCTGACTTAAAGGGTAGAACTTTGAGATTAAAATAAATCAGTCTAATTGAAACACGTGTTTGTTTTGGCATTCCTACAATCGCTTTGCAAAGTTCCGTTTGTATCGTACATCTGGTTTAATCTTCTAATCAGCAGGTTGGCTCTTGTGCTGTGCGTATGCAAGTGATAGGAATACAGCAGAAAAAATGCATATCACAATTTAATTCGTATGATTCAATGTATGTACCGAAAGTTTGTTCTCCATTTTCGCTTGTCAAATTAACTATTCAAGGTTAACTTAAATTCTTGTTTCAAATATGGCTTCTTTGGATGACTGAGCTGAGGTATTAAACATTTAATTTTTTTATTTCTGCACAATTTATGATGGTTTGTGAAACAAGTTGGCAATTTGAAAAGACGCTCAGCATCATTTCACAAAAAATATTGGCAACACCAGGTCCATTTTCTTATAAAGTTCTTCCTGAAATTATGGTCTCTGTCCTGGACGTAGAATACTAAAAAAATGGATTTTCGAATAGAAACAAATACTAGAGCAAGGAATCGTGGAATGACCTAATCCATGGAGGAAATGGTCAGCTACTCACAACGTTGATTTTGTCAATTTGGTTTAGCAAAGCTAAATTACAAATTGCCACGACATTTTCACGAGTGAAAAAATTGCAAAGATATCAAAAAAAAAAATCCGCTGGTCTGCTGCTCAAAGTAGGCGTAGCGGATGTTGAATACGCAATTTTCCACGCCTATATCATATAATTTCATGTCTTGTTTTTATGCATTTATCTAAAAAGGAATTGCACTCCAGGTGTCTGCACCAAGGTTTTAAAGCTCTTTCTCGAAAGTTCCTTCGTAGCATTGGCATGTCTATATCAAGACAACTCCTTGTCCTATAACCAGATACTTGAGTTGAGATCATCCCTTTACGACAGTCTTGAACAAGTTATTTAGCATTTTTGAGCCATTATAAACCGGTCAAAGTTTATCAGGTTTAAGACAGACAACCAGTGATAATTGTAAATATCGTTGCTCTTATACAACGGTTTTCTTCAACTATGCGTGCTCCGATTTGAAGACTTTCAAGTGGCCCCCCAAAAGCTTTGGACCGTGAAAACGTCAATTTCGTGAATGAAGGCTCGCTCGTGAACGTGAATACTTACTTTTTATGCAAGGGAATTCTTGAATCGATAATTTCAATGCGGGAATTCGTGAAAGCTCTTTCCCAGGAGGGGGGGGGGACTTGTAAAAATTTTGATAGGGATGCTCGTGTAATTTACGAAAATGTCATTTTTTGGGTTTTTCTAAATTCGCATTATTTTTGGGGTTGAACCAATTGCCGTCAATTTTTTGGGTTTATTAAAAATCTGCGTTACTTTTTTGGGTATCAAAATAACGTGTTCCCTACACCTCTACCCGCTATATCAATTATGCCAGACGAAAAAATATTGACGAGGGAATGAGCATCGGTTAACGATAAAGTTGTGAGACAGAGGACAGCTCGTCAAGAGACAACAATGGCAAAAGTTGGTACATTACCAGAGGCTGCTTCTAGGACGGCACTAACGACGAAGGATATAGGGAACCTAGCGGCAGAAACAACTGTACTGGAAGGACGAAACAACGTAGAAGAGGCGGAAGGGGCAAATGATGCAGACAAAGAACTATCTTATGACACTGATACCGAAGAAGGAGATTCCAGTGACGAAATATTTGATGGAAGTATTGCAGAAATTAGTGAGATGAACATGTCCTATTTGGACATTTCTCTAGGTTTGGAAGGGCAGTTAGAGTTAACAACAGAATACTTCGATGATAGCTCGTTTGAAGGTATGTCTATTCTTCCTGGTCAGTCAGTGTAACGAATACAACTCTGTGTGCAAGTTTTGTTTCACTGTAAGTTTTCGGCATGCCATGAATTCAATACAAAAATCAACTGATACAACTGTAAGATGTCAAAAAACAACCAAATATCTCGAGGGGAATGGAATATGATTCCAAAAAAGAAAGCTTTCGATTGCTTTCACAGCAAAGACGTATTTGATGATATTATTGGCATATTTTTGAACTAGTACATCGTCTAAGGATTCGCCAATTCAATTCAAGTTTATCTAAGGGGGAAGGTCAGTAACGTTAGGGTAGTGCTGAGACAGTTCATTAGCCAAAATCACTTTTGATATCAAGGTATATAGGTCGATCAACTTTACTGACCACCAAACTGCCGGAAAAGAAATTTACCCATACTTCCATCGAGTTTTAAATTCAGAACATAAATCAGGTTAACGTGAACGTGAATGCCGAAAAACTTTTGCGTGAAAACGTGAATTTCAAAAGTTTGCGCCATTAATTCGTGATTCATACCCCTATTGGGGGCTACTTTCAAAAAGCACAAGTTTAGTTTCAGAAAGGGTTTCCTCACTTCACTGCCGTAACGTGACTTTTGACATGATTTAGTTTAGAATGAGAAAAAACACCTTGAAATCTTTTGGATAAACTAAAGTCTATTCTCTCATTTTCTGTCTGTGAGCTTTTAGCTATTCTCATTCCAGCAAGAGGTCTTATCAACGGCTATGGACTCTTTGTTGGCCTCTGAACCTTGGATACTGCATAGCAAATACAGTATAGCTTTCTTTTATGAACGATGACGAGAACTGCGGGATTTTTTATAAAAGCCTCATTTCTTTCATTCATTTTGAAATGTTGTCAATTTCGACTTCTCAGGTCGTTGCAGAGAGATTCCTTGCTCTCTGCTGAGCACTTAACCCTTGTGTCGTCTGCATCTAAGATATATTTAGACTCAGTTGGAAGTCATTGATACAAATGCAAGTTAACCGAGGGCCTCGAGGTCTAGGGGACCTCATCAAACAATCTATCCCGTTTTAAGAATGCAGTTAATCAAATATGTCATAAAGATGGCTAAAGTTGTAAAACATTTTGAACGATTGCACAAAAATAACTGCAAGAAATATTCTGCAAAGACAATTTATGTTCAGCTAATCGTAAGGGCAAAGTCCCAAATTTCTCTGCTTGCTTCGTTCGCATGGGGGCCTCTTTTTTCATTTGCCCCCGTTGCCTCAAAAACCTCTCGGCGGCCCTGTAAAATGGTAAAACAAAATAGGACCAAAGTATGATCCTTGCGATATCCCATAATTCACATTCACTGTTTTCGGTCGGACAAGTGCGATGTAAACCAGCATGATGGCTGAACAAGTAGGTAACTTGGCAAGGAGTATGCCGTGACTGACTGCTCCAAAGCCCTTTTTTATCTCTAAGAACACGCACATGTTTCTATTTTGCTTATCTGTAATGACAAACCATTGATCCGATATAGTGGTGGAACTGTTATCATCTTGTGCAAACCTTCAATCTTCTATGTTGGAATTTCAAAAAACCGTTATCTTTTATATCATATCATGTGTTTGAATTTCGAAAAAAGATCGTTATCTTTGATATTATTAAGATGTGTTTCATATATTTTCTTGCACATAACTGATACACTAGATATTTCACCGTGTCCTTCACCTAGAGACATGGAAGTTGACACTTTGATCTCGTGCTGCACAGTTTTAGGAGGCAATTTACATGAAAGTGAAAGGTTGCAATTCAATTGGTTTGGAAAGTTTTAAAGAAGCTTCTTAAGGCTAGAACAAGCTGGATATGCAACCTTGCTTTTATTAAACTTTTATGAGACTCATAGGGTACACACGAGGTTTTCCCACGATACCCGCGGTTGCTTGTATAAGGACAATTTAATCACAACTTCGGATGTGAAGCATTGTTTTTACATCAAATTGTACGCTTTTTCTCACAAGGACTGGGGTGCCGGAACGACTTCGAGTAGTGAGGTCCCATTATCTTTGAGCGACACGGAGCTGGGTATCAAAAAGCGTTCGTTTATTGTTTATTGTTTTGGGAAGCGTGGCTTGATTTAAACAAAACAAGGTGAAACAAGGTTGATCTAGTTTTAAAGTCCCTTATTTTGTCGTAATAAAAGTAACGTCCGTTCCATAAGAATTTTTGCCAGAATGCCTTTTGTGTACGAAAGCCTTAGCAAATGTAAGCAATAAGATTTTTTATGTAAAAAGGTTATATATTACCCAATTCACAATCAAATAGCCTTCAAAACGATTACATTAAATTATGCAAGAGGAACTTCTAGCAAGAAACTTCTAACTGTTCCCAATTTGAGCCATCACGAGGTTTACAAAGTTTAAAAATACCTTGACAATAATTTAATTTCAAGAACTAAAAGAAAAATGAAACCATCACTATTTTGCTGGAAACAGATAATTCAAACATACATTGCAGCCACAAGTAAGACAGAAAAATAACTTCTTGAGTGGCGATTTGTCTTTGATCTTGAGTAGCGATTTGAACTTTAAAAAGTTGGTTAAAACGGGAACATGATAGCAATAATATCAACTAATTATTACATAAATGGTATAAAAACCAATTATTTTATTTTTATTAGAAATACGTTATGGCAAACTACAATGTTTAGTTGTATCTAGGAAGATAATCAAATGATCGTCCACGGGTTTGCAGGAAAAGTGGCACTATTTCCTATGCAGAAATGACAGTGCATTTTCTTCTAATACTTCACCGGGTTCACGAAAAATGCCATGATACCTAGACACATTTATCCATGGGAAAATGCACGCCAGCAGCTTCTCCTTCGATGTTTAAAATGGTAATTTAGAATTGAAAACTTGTCTCGTCAATTTTATTTTCGAGCAGATTGCGGTTGCGTAAACTCAGTAAGGAACCAGAAAACAATCGGACGTCAACCGCTTGGAAGGAAAAAATAAAAGATGTGCCACAAGGCTAGGGTTTAGTGCCTTTCTTCTTTAAGCATAAATGGCGCACACTGCTCAGATTGGCATTCAGACAATCAAAAGGCTTCGAGCACCATAAGCCGTTTGTCATTCATATTAGTAGCTCTCCGCTCTCTTTCAAACAATGTTACATTTTCTCCGAACAAATACACCATTTGAACGTCACCTGTAATTTTGATACTAGGATGGCTATGATGCAATGCCAACATTGTTTTGGGGAAAATGGGGCAAATTAACTATATCTATCTATCGGCGTGCATTGGAAACAGATCGAGAATTGACTGAAACTGTTTGGGTGTTCCACGTACTATACGCTAGCATTAAGGCATTTTTACATAAGATACTTCACTATAACATATGTATGTTTTTTTAATGGGCAGGCAACAGACTTTCAAAGCACTGTTCGTAAACACCACATTGGTATGCCCTATTGGAGCCGTTGCATGTCCTACTTTCACCTAGATATTGATCTAAAAAGCTTGAAACTCGAGACAGCAAAAACTCCAAAGAATGACAAGCACAAAATAGACTTGACAAAGGTTCGTTGCTTTGAGAAGACACTCCCATTTCCCTTTTTACCAATGAAATTGCACTGTTCTTGTAGCGATGATGCGAACTCCTAAATATAAACGCAAGTGATAGGACAACAATTTGCTGATAAATATCAATTTTTTACTGAAAAGAGAGTAATTTATAGAAGGATCAGCTGGAGACTCCCGGTCTATCGTTCACTTTCTCAGATGATAGATTTTAGGACACCAAACAAATAATAGAAATGGGTCTTGAGTTTCACTCCTAATCCTGTACTCACAAAAAATGGTTTAAATAGGCTCAGCACAAATGTCTTAGGCATGAAATTTAGGCTTTCGAGAAAGTTCATTGGGTCTTTTATACTGTTATTGTACCTAACATTAGGGGAACATAAATCTACAAAGAGAGAGAGGGAGAGAGAGAGATGCGAAATGCTAGAAACAGATCCGCTAGGTCATCAAGAGAAGTTCAATATATACGAATGAAATAGGATTCTGCTATTCTGCTAAGAAAAATGCCGTGGAGAATAATGGTGAACTTTTAATGTTTTAAACTTTCATTAAATGCTGATATAAGTAGAAGTTTTGTAGCTATCAGCTTTATTTTGTTGAAGCAGTTTTTGAGAATGATAAACACAGTTTTGGAAAAACGTAAATCGTTAGAGATTCTGCAGAGTCAAAGCATAGATTATATAATGGAAATCTAAACATACCTTGTTTACAAATGTCTGTAACTCGATTAAATCCTTTTGAAGTCGAGCAGATTCCTCTAAAGCGTCTTTGCATTGCAAAACTAATGTCTTCTGGAAACTCCGTTCATCCTGGAACAAATTTGAGTTTGGTTGGTAAGACACAGACTAGAAGCAATCTGTGTGGCTTTTATATGAGTCCTTGACCATTTTTATATGAGTTTTTGAAGGAAACATATAAAATGCTGATAATTTATATTAAAACGGGTCACTTAAAGAGGAATTATAATAAAAAGCTTGAAATCTTTATCACAAAATTGGCAATCTTTCTTCATTACAGGAAATACAAAGATGGGAATCTATTTTAAGTTGTTCTTCTGATGACATGCTTAGGTTTAAAATTCATGCTTCGAAATCGGCATCAAATACAACCACTTCTCAAATTTTCTTACAATAGCCATTTGGACTAAACAGCATTTGCAAATATAGCATAGGAAACTCAACAAAATTAAGTTTCACAGACAAAAAGTCCGACTGATTGCTTGTTGTCGGTCTTTGGGATAAAAAGGGATCTATGACCTTACACTTACATATTTATTTCATGAATAGTTAAACGGCAATTTTCTGCGAATCACTTAATTGTTGATATACGTTGAAGACTCCTGACATGTTACCTCTTTTATTAATTCTTTGTCACTTTTAATGTATTTACACAAATAGGCCACACTGCTCTGAATGCAGCCAATGTGCTTTGTGATGTTTGAAATAATTGCTGCAGCTTCAATTGTCCTCGAAACAAAAATCAAATTACAAGACTTTAATGAAAGTTAAAAAATGAAAATTCGGATTAAAAGATGAAATTCAAAAAGGACGATATAAACATAAAAATATAACAGTTTTAAGATCTGCTTAAATACTTTCATATAAAGTTTGTCAAACAATTTTATTATTTGAAGTGTGTTTCATTTATTTTCATTTCTTTTTAGTATTTTTTTGTTCATCCGCGAATGAAAGGTACTTAACGTAATTCCACCTGTTTTATACTGATTTTATGCTTCAAACGAATTTTGATGACGCCCGAATTTTGATCACCTTCCTGTCTGCCATGATTTATCCTCCCATTCTCCTCCACTCCGGTGAGTCCATTTAGTATACTTATTGCATAAGGCTTGTTTTAGTATTTGTTTTCTTGTATATGCAAGCGAAACTGCTTTGCAATTATTACTGAAGGCGACAGTGAAAATGCTTACTTGCGTGCAACTTCAAAGATATATTAATTGATGCCTTTAACATGTATGCGTATCGTTTCGAATGACATCAAAATAACATAACTATCATGACTCTGATAGGTCATTACTCATTCGGGGATTCACAATGTGGTTCTTTGGCACCGCCAGCTGAAAAAAACATGTCAGAAACTACCTCCATTCGCACGTTTCATAAAAATTCACAGTACACATCCGACCACAAAGAGAGCGATAACTTAAAAAGTTGTCTAAAAACTAAGGGAAGAGATGTATTGAAAAAGTGCAGGTGCTTACTTTATCTTGGAGTTTTTATCGATTGTCAGCCCGGACAAATCCCATTCGTTCGTGTGAATACCGCGAAGGGTTTCAAGAATTTTCCTACGATCTCCTAATTGATTTACTCCCAGCTGAAATAAAGACACCAATATAAATAAACTTTTCAAATGATCTAACAAGATACACTTCTACCGTTCTTAGAAAGGCCTTCGTTTAAAAATGCAGTTTAAAACTGAAGATAAACGATAAAATAGATAAGTAGCGATTTAACATTTGTTTTACTTGTTTTACAGTTAACTATACAAATGAATTTCTTACGCATGGCAGAAGAAACGCAAAAACCTCTTGAAACCTGAACCGAATCATCCTTGAAAATCTAGCATACTTTTACATGGTTTCTAGCTTACTTTTCGAAAAAGACAATATTTTTTATCAAGCAGAGAAAATCTGTGCAAATCGGAAACAGTTTTAGGAATTATGTGACTGAATATGTTGTTAATCTTTTTTTCTGTAATGTATTTTCGTGTACTGAAGCTGATAATCATCTTAAACCGATTATTAAAGAAAGTTGCTCAGCGCTTAGGCAGTAATTGGCATTTTCTGAGACTAAAAATCTTGTTTGGCAAATAGCGTCATTAAGATATACCTGTTTTAGTTCTTCGTCGGTTAGTTTCAAAAAGTCTTGAAAAGCCACGTTTTGATCCTAAAAGTAGTCAAAACATAAGAAATTACCATGAAAAATAGAATTAACACTGGTCTAAGCAGTCAATTGTAGGAAAAAAGGACCGTGAAATGAGAAAACAAGAGAAATAAAATAGAGAATGAATTCATGTCTTAGTAAGTGTTTATGCTAGCCGATGAATAACAAAGCAGATGCTCAAAACTTGGTCGGTACAGCTTTTTTAAGATGCAAAGACAAATTAAATTAACAAAAGTAATTGATTTGGCACAAAATAGCGGGAACATAGCGCTGTTAATAAAAACAATATAATATAAACATTCATGCCATCTTCAGATTTTGAGGTACCAAACATTATTTAGTAATTGATTTGAGCCAAGGAACCATCAAACCTGAAAAAGTTCCACAAGATGCCCCAAGTCAAGTCCAAAAAGAAACATTTCCAGATCTTCCAACTTTTTGTATCTAATAAAGAAGAGATTTTGATTTTCTGTCAAGTCAACTAAACTTCAAATATTGAGAAATGTGGTTTAATAAAAGTCATCAATCAATATAGTGAATTTTCATGTATATTTATAGAAAGCTTTTGATGACTTTCTGCAGTCTTGAATGAATTAAAAGCTCTTGTGAATCATAAAAAAAAATTGTTTATGCTAAATAAAGGTCGGTGTACAAGTGGGTTTTGAGCTGCTCTTTTTGAAATTGTAAAATACAATTATAAAAAAATACAATCTTAAACAATTTTTATATCCAAAGACAACTATAAAAAATGTCCAACAAAGGTAAACAAATGAAAAAATATGAAATAAAAAGAAATATAGGCAAAATGAAGTAACTGAGCAAAAGAACGCAAATAAGAAACGCGAATTAAAAAACCTGATCTGAGAAATACTGTCTGGTCTCTTTGAAATTGAATTGGAATCGTCTAACAATGCAGCTATCTGTAAAAATGAGGGTAATATTTGACAATTTGTTGTAAAAGTTGACCAGTCATGTGTTTAGAAAGTTCTGTGGCTGAACCCTCAATATTGCGTAAAAGCATTCTTTAGCAACCGCAGACATGAAATTATGCAAAACAATCTTTATCGCCCTATACACATAATTTTGTGTTCTTTATATCTCACTTGAACCGAGCTAATCAAGCCATGAAAACATCCATTCTAATGGTCACCTTCTGCAAAGCAAACAAAAATTAAGCAAACAATCAACCCTTTAAATAAAAGTCAATTTAAAAAGACCATAGCAAATTAGCAAGGTTGTAGCGTACAAAGTTCTCAGCATCACTCTATTTGTAAAATTTTCAACAAATGAGGACACAGACTCTCTCCAGTTTGCCGAATTCAAAGCGTTTTGCATGTAATTTGAAAGGAATTTGGTTGCACAGCTTAAAGAGACATCAGAAAGAGAGAGAGAGTCATTCATTTGCAGCTACGATGTACAAGTACGAGATTAAAAGGCAACCAGGAGTTCATTAAATTTTCACATTACTGTAGATGTGGCATTAGCTTTTATTATTCTTGTCGAGAACTGTTTTGAAAAATCGCCTATTCATTTATTTGCTGTTTATTGCTGAATTGTTACAAATTCATTTTAGGCAAGCTGCACAAATGTTCGTTAAAACCAGCTCTTTTTCACTCGCTATGTCTGTTTCTTCGTTATCATCGTTTGTGCGAGTTTGCTATAATCCCTACAGCTGGCTGGATTGAAATTAGCGCTGCAAAGCTCATTTTCTGAATCTTTTTACATTAAAACTCCTATTTTACGAACGCAGCAAAAGTTTGATATTTCTCTCAACTTTTCAGCTACGTGAGTGGACGTGAGTCGTTGCAATCAGTGACGTTCCGTACCAGAAAAAAGACGAAAAAAGTATGGCTCTTCCCCTGACGTTACTTGGACATAAATTTCCGTTCCTTCTTCTTTCATTCTGCGACAGTTTGTACCCCGAGGATAGGTTGTAAGAAAAGTTAATTTTAGAATCCAATGTTACGATTGCCCTTTTTACTTCAATTCCAAAATTTTGCAGTTCAAAAAGCTTATTATGGTTAACAAATTTATATCTATCTTCTATCAATATATTTTATTAAATACGAGAGCGCTTGAGTGGGCCTTGTCTTTTTGACCTGCTTTTGGGTAACGATTCTCAGCAGAGAAGCTAAACTCTGACTAGCCTCCGCACAGATCCAATATTTCCGAAAACTGCGAATCGTCTAACTTCAATCCACATTTCTCGGGAACCATGACGGTCATGTTTCGCAACAAAACAATGAGCATAAATTTATAACCAATGACTGAATAAATTATTTTCCTGGAAACCCAGAATTGCGCGGTAGCAAGGTTTTGGTCGCTGCTGCGCAGACCCTTCAGACTATTGGGTCTGCGTGCAGGCTAAGCCTAGAAAAGATTTAAGTTTCTATCTCTCCAGCTCTGAAATCTAAAACAGTTATTACATTAAATTTCTAGAGAGCCAGTCTCATACAGGTGACTTAAACAATAAAAAAGAAGGCAGATGAAAATTAATTTCACTCACAGTGGCAAATCCCCTTGAATATGCAAGATCAGCCGGACATTGACCATCAAATGCAGATAGTGAAGAATTAGCATTGAGTTTCAATAGCAGCTTCACTGAATTAGCATTTCCGGAATGTGCAGCGAACGCTAAAGCCTACAAGGAGTACCAAAGATCTTAGCTATAAAAAAGATTTGCTAGTCGAGCGGTAAGATAAAATAGGCCTAAGCGGGGTTTCGCAATCATTCCAGGTTTATGTAAGCTTATTCAGGCACCAGCGAAACAACTATGGAACGTGATGGAACTTTTGTCATTTTGGGAGTAATTTTCTTTAAATATAACTGGCTACAGGGTCACAAAGATGCTAATACAGTGGTGCAGTAGCTGTGTTGTAAGAATCGTCTTCTTGAATTTTCAATGTTGCCTTTTTGCGCATGCTAATGAATGAACAAACACTTGTATTTTGTTTTCAACATGCAAATAAATTGATTTTCAAATGGAAGTGTCTGTGACTACTAAGTAGTAAAGACGATGTTTTTAATGGAAAAAAGATGCTTTTGATGTCTTTTTGAAACTACTCTAAGAAAAGTAAACTAAAATTGTACCAAATTTGCAGAACCTTTCGGAAACTTTCTCTCTTTATCTACTTTGTAAGAGAATATAATCTTACTTCTCGCAAATTCTACAGCACAAATGGGCTAACATGGTACTAGAGATAATTTGCTACAACAAAGGAACTTGCTATGGGGTTGCATTCACTTATGGGAGATAGCAGAAAGGCCACAATAAGGCATTTCAATGTCCTTGGTTATACGAATAGCGAAAGGCCACATACTGTCCATCCTCGATTCTCCTGTGCGTTAACTTCAGCCCCTTTTTGAATGAGGAGTTCAAGAACATCAGGACTTGTCCTTTGTGCAGCGAACATCAATGGCGTCATCAAATGTCTAGATTTTGATGAAATAGAAATTGGCAATCAAAAGATGAATGACCCTAAAGATTCATAAAAAAATATATTGATGCATAATACAAATCATACTTGATTTGGGCTGCAATCCTTTCAAGAAAAATGAGCATTAACCAGTTGAAAAATGGCATTAATCCATGCATTGACAACATCAAGGATGTCCATTTAAAAACTCCACATATCCTCCTCTCGATCTTAGTACCTTGAAACCCATGCACAATTTGTCCCATTTTAATGACATGCCGTGAAATATACAGTAGCGTTTCGGTTAACAATCCAAGAGGAAGACAAAAACCTAGAATCTATGATTTACACCTTCACAATACTAACTTTGGCAAAATGCAAGAGAGCACTTACTATTAGCATTTACAAAACTCTATATGGCAAGGGTTAGAGCTGCCTTTGGATAGCGACTAGCTTGAAACATTGTCAAGGGATCAAAATACCAGCTTTTTGAGGGTATAGGGATGGGTACCATTGTTAAAGAAAGGCTGATATTGGGAGATAGAGGGTGTGATCAAGCAATATCTCAAAAAAACTCTTACCTGTCATGTGCATTTACATTGGCACCAGCTTCCAACAAACTTGTCGCACAATCAATTATACTTTGTTGATTATTACTGGTGGTGCTGCATAGGGCCATTAAGGGGGTGTAAAGATCTGAAGGATTAAAACATAAGCATCGAAATGATTTTCCTGTGCATTTAAACTGATTCAATGAATTTATCTAAAGAATAATGCATTTTGTATATTTTTACAAACACATTTCAAACAGATCATTAAGGCGACATGAAACATTAATACTATATACTGGGAAAACAATGTTTGCATGGGAAACTGAGGGGGAATCTCAAAAAGGGGAAATCAAGAAGAATGATACCCTTGCAATAAAATTTTCAAATCCTGTAACATTCATAGCGGATGTTTAGTACTAAACAAGTTTATGTTTAGTATCTGTGCTAAGACCTTTTGGTCTCATCCTAACAAAAGGCAGATTCAATTAACAGTATTTGTCAAAAGAGAGCCTCCACAGAAATTGTCACAAAATACAGCAATTTACCAACCTTTCTTGAAATTTGCATTTGCACCATGCTGCAGGAGCAGATTCAAAATATCCACTTGTGCATTATTAGCAGCAAACATTAGACTAGTCCATCCAGACTTAACTTTCCTTTCTGCATCAAAACCTACAAACACAAAAACATTTCGTATTCCCTGTTATACTATCTAACATTATATTGTCAATACTTTCAAAAGCTTTTTTACTTAAATGCAAGGTCAGTGTTCTGAGTTCTGTTTTAGAAACCTTCCGCTCCACAAAATGAGCAGTACCAATTTCACAAACTTTTAAACATTATTATCAACAATCTTAATCCTCTTACAATATAAATCAAAAAGAAAAGGACAGGAAAAACAAACAAAAATTAGAACCTTCCTGAACTGTGATTCAGAGTTTCCAACTAATTTTTAGTTTATCATTCTTACAAATTAGTGATTACAAATTTTCAGTATTTTTAACACCTGTCGGAGGGTTAAAAATATTCGAAAAGCAACAGAAAAAAAGCTTTAAGAACTTAGCAACAAACAACTTATCCATATACCCAACTGAGTATTTCTGTGTGGATATTGTCATGCCATGAAACAACCTTAACACAAACTTTGCAAAAAGTCATTAGCTGTATTTCTAGATATTTTCCATCTTCTCAGAGTCAATCAAAATGAAACTTATCTAACACAAATCCACATCTAATAAAATGCTACCCAAATTTCTTTTATTCAGAGAAAAAAGAGAGGTAGATGTCAAGTGTTTTGGGAAATTAAATCTAATACCAAAATCTTGCCAGACAAAACAGAAACAAACTCACCAAAATTGACAGATTGTAGAAACATTTCTTTTAAAAAAAATGGAAACTGTTATGTGTAAAGCAAAGATGCAAAGAAACAAAAAATGGATTTCCTATTAAAACTAACCTGAATTTAATGCATTAGCTACATATTGCAGGTCTCCCTTTAAAATTGCAGCTCTCATGTCATCATCTGATATCTTAAATGATTCAGGGGAGTCTTCTAATAGAGAATAACTATTTTTGTGCCTATGATTAAAAATGAGAACTTACAATTAGTCAATGCCATTTTCTGATGGATAGAAGTAAATGATGTTCATCTGATGTTTACAATAACCTGCTTGGGCATTTATTAATATATTAAAGTGAAAGGAACAAGAAATTGTGATTCTGGTGCTACAGTGTAATGAAACTTCAAATTTCAGTGATATGGAGACACCTTTTGAAAATATCTTCCATTTTGTTCTGTTTTATCTTATGTTAATGACAAGATAGAAATGATAAAAATATTGTCCTTGACAGAGAAACATGATGCTAGTAAATAATCCAGTGAAAAGAGCGCTCATACTCTACATGAAAGGAAACTATTTTGATAATAGCTGGAAAAATCATTGCCCTTGGAGTGTAAAATTTTTTGGGTATAATAACACTTCTTCATCTGCAAGTTAATTTGTTGATTAAGTGTCAGTCTCCAGTTTCTTCCCTTCACAGTCATATGGGTAGACAAACAACTTAACCATTGTTTTCAATAACTGAAAGTCAATAGTTCACTTTAGCACTGTGCAATTAAAATTCCAAATAAATTTATTTCATTTTTGAGGGATCATAAGAAATTCGTAAGGCTGGTTTTCCAGTCAGATAAATTTTTTACAAAACCATTTCAAGGGAGGTGTTTACTCTGATGTGAAGCTCAATATCTTGTTCTATCTTGGTCCCTCTGACACAGCTTTCCAGTTTATAGTGTGGTTCCTTGGTTTCCAGGTTTTTAAAGCACCAAGTCAGTAACAGTCAAATTTTCATTTCCATATCAACAATTGCAAAGCAGATAATATATTTACTCAAAATCAACTTACATAGTTGAGTCTTGATTATCATTTTTGCTAGAATCAGCATTAACTGCCTTGTTACTGTTCCATGGGGCCTTTTCCGTCTGGGCATCATTATCCAGGCTTTCTGACTTGTTTTCAGCAAATTTCTGATCAGGGACTTCAAAAGCTGAATCAATGTTATCATCAGCAAACATGAACTCATCATCTGAATTATCAAATTCCATCCCTGCAGCCATGCCATGTGAATATTTTGTAAACTTTCCATTATAGGTATTCATGGTGTTCCACTCTATATTACCCTGCTTTCAAAGAAATTTTTTCAGCTTAGTTTTTGGAAACACATACTCCAGGCTGGAAAACTAGCATATATTTGCAGCTAAGCTGGAGGTGTGCTCCCATCTTACCCACAATATCAATCGAGCCATGTTTATTATGCTCTAGTCATGTATATTTGAACTTTGTCGCTTGCAGTTCAAATGCCTTGGCTTGCAAGTTGTAGCTAATAAGGAGCTGTTGGTTGCAGCTACACATTGTCAAAATCATACAAGTTTCCCAACCTGGCATTGTGTAACTGTTATTTTTTCAATTTGATTAAGGCTTTTTAGTATTTGAGGATTGGGGTCTACACTTGACTCATACCCCTTTGGTAATCTCTCTAAATTCCACAGAAAGGTAATGAAGACTAAAAAATTTCCATGACTGGGTCCATATAACAATACTTTTGAGCAAGGATGCAAATAATTAAGAAAAAACATCTATAGAAAAATAAACTTATGTGTTATATTTGATAACACTGCCAATGACTGTTAATTGTTTATTTTATCAAATGTATTTCTGGCCTCAGTAGTTTCAGTTCAGTTCAGTTTGCATTCATCATTAATTAATCCTATATACAACTCCCAACAAATACATTCTAACAATAAATGCAATACAGCATGACAATTAACAATGCTGGCTTTATCAATATCAATTCTCTTTATCAATATAATTACTTTACATAATTGCATCTAAGATTGACAGATTAAGGAGGAGCTCTCTAAGCCAGGGTGGAATTCATGTAACTTAGGTCATGGAGATCATAATTTCCTTGGCATACTGGTATTGAATTGAGAAAAAATAAAGGTGGATGGGTTTGCTGCCTGTTTTTGGGCCAGGGTATGACTCATAACCAGTCTTATTGGTAAAAAGATTATAAATAGTTTCTATTGTACATTGTACTCACAGCATCTTAGTATTAGCAATAAGATGAAGATTTGCTGCAAGTCAACTTCTTGCGGAGACAAGAACCTTTTTTCAAGAAAATTCCTAAATTTACTCTTTGTGTGGCCTGGAAGAATGTAACAGCATTCGGTAGCACTTAAATAAAATGGAGATACTTGGATCAAAATAAAAGTGATTTAATTTGCTGCAAAAAATTGAAAGATAGTTCTGGTACAACAGCCACTCTTGCATAAAGCTGGATCACTCTCTGGCAATGAAATCACATCACCCAGAGTCAAGAATTTCTTGCCATAAATGGTTACCTGAAGATAATGTTGTAATAGCAGCAGGAACAGCAACTGCTAGCAATCTAGAGAAATGACTGATAACTTTTTGATAACGTTTTGCTTCTGTTTATGGTACAAACGCGAAAAATATATATTTGCTCTCTATATTTGTGCATTTCGCTCTACCTTTCTTAAAAATCTTGGTATCTCTATTTTATCTATGACATTTCTAAAGTCTATGACTATAGGAAAACATATGTAAAGGTTGGCAGGTTTCTGCTGCATGAATGTACGAATGAAAGCAGGGCAATATTCTGGTATGGTGCCATTTCATATGCCGTTTTTTTGTTTTTGCCAACTCTGTCAAGGGTTTATGCTTCATCAAAAGAAAAAAATGATAACATTACTCACGTTCCAATCAACAAATACCTAGGTAGGGCCAAGGGCAAACATGTGCAGTTGTACATCCATACTTTCGCGGCCTCTTTTCCGTGTGGCGGGATTTTCATGATATCAAACATAAATTTTTATGACCTTGGAGGTTGACTTAAAACTCAGGTCAGAGTAGCAATAAAATATTTGCCGTATAAAGCTTAAAACTGTAATCTATTTTGAAAATTTGGGAGGTCTTCTACCAGAGAAAGAGATACAATGTATTAAGAAAAATTTGAGTCTCATAATGGCAAACTAAATGCAGAAACCCCAATTTTTTTAATGTTGTTTGTTATTTATTATTGATAAAACTCTGAGTTGCAACTTAGAACCCTTTTCTTTCATATACCACCAAGTGTATAGCTCTGCCAATACCATCAAGCACTAAAAGACTGCTAAAATAGTAATTTACATTGTTCTTTTATCAATATAAAAAGAGTGATGTTTATTTTGTACTTATGCATTCCATAATCCCAAAAGTCAATGTTGATATGGAACACACCTTTTTATTTGGCACCCTTTTTTAAAATTAGGCCAAATACTTAAAAGAAAATCGTAAAAAGCAAGCCGGTGAAACTGAATCAAAGGCTTAAGCATTAAAAATGAAAATTTGGGAAGAAAACCTTCATAAAACAATTCCAATAAAATTTTTATAAAATACATAGGTTTAAAGTTGTAGGATTGAAAGCACAAGGGAATTTGTTAAAGATTTAATTGAAAAGGGCTTGAGCAACAAAGAGCCTTTGCAAATCACGACTAAAAAGTCAACCAAGATTTAGCAACAAAGTGCAATGGTAGAAGTTTTTCAGATTACGACATAGGCTAAACCAAAGTGAATTAACTTACAGTGAACCTAAATCAGGTGGAATGATGAGATGAGGGAAGGGTTTAGAGGACAATGGTTTTTCCTGTGCAAAGAGGTCTTTGCAAACAAAGAGCAAAGTCAGTGTGCATAAATAAACATTTTGGGCAAACTTTCTGTTTTTTGCACTCCTAGTTGGTGATTAGACTTCAAATAGAGGATTGACAATCTTCTCCTCACTTTGGTCTTACAACTTTGCTTCCAGTGCATGACACACTTTCTGAAACAAAAAGGGGATTATGCAAGATAGAGCCATATTAATTTTTGATTAAAAAGACAAGTTTCTATGTTGCTCAAACCCCATTAAGTCCTTCAGACTGACTTTACAATTTTATTCATGTCTATTATCTCCTTTGATAGCAATTGACACTTCTCAATATCACATAATCGAGACAAAGCTTCTTTTGCTAATTTTGGGAAAATTGTAAAACCTAATTTTGTTTCTAAAGTGTCTAATGGGAAAGAAAATTCTCTGAGGTTCTTGTAATCTGAAACTGGCACATTTGGAACCACAAATGCTTCAATGGCAACAGGCTTCCCTTCCTTCTCAACCATGATGACCTTGTAAAGATGAGTAGGAACAGCAACCTCTTTTGGACCTATGACCTAAACAAATAATATGTACTCTCAACATATATCACAATATTTATTTTACAAAGGTGAAATACAATTTTAAGATGAGGATTGGAAAGTCTTGCTAAAATGTGGTGAAACTTCAGACACAGAAACAAAAACAAAAAATTGACAGAAACTAAAATTTCTACAAACAATTATTTCCTTCACAGTTAATCTGCAGTTTTGACAAGAAAGGAAGTCATAAGAGCATCATAAGCAATTATATTTTTCAAAGAATACAAATGTTACAAGGCTAAATATTTCAGCTTGGCTCAGGTATAGCATGTCTTGAAAGTCACCAGTATCAATGCAATCAATGTAATCAATTAAAACAAATCCCTAATCTACCTGGTATTTTATGAATTTTCTTCCATCATCTGGGCTATTTTTTGCTAGAAAAAGAGGTCCAGAGACAATATAAACTTTTGAATAATTCTTTGTCAGCTTTCTGCAAAACCTCTCAAGTTTTAACCAAAGTCCTGAATTGTTGGCAAAATTCTGGGGAACAACATTTGTGAAATAGAAAGTTTCTTCCATTTCAGTCTGACTTGACTTGTAATCACCTACAAATAAAAAGCAAATAAAAATGAATATGTTAAACTGAATATATACTAAATTTTCCTTTTTAATGAATCTAGAGAGTAGCATAACCTTCTCTGATAGACTTCAACTATCATATATTACCTGGGGAATTTTGAGTTTGGCTTCAGCATACTTTAATAGGTGCATTCAGCAATTCAGCTCCTAAATTGATATAAACTTTTTACATAAACATGTATACTGCAATGCATCCTTAACATGTTAGGAACGAATGATCCCTCTTCTTGTAACATTATTCCATTCTGAATTTTGAGCCTCTTTGTATGCAATCCATATGCTGCAGTATTTCAATTCATTTCATTTCTATCATCAACCAATCCTAAATACAATTTAACAATACTAAACGCCTAAAGCATTACAATATTATATGTACTTGTATACATACTTTCATTTAAGGTCCCTTATGTGAGAGCATGTTGAAAACCCTATACTCTGATTCAGGGTTCAATTTCTACCAAAGCCAAGCCAAGTCATAGTGCAACTATTTTGTGTATGAATCATGAATTTTTTTGCATTTAGATCTTTCATTTGCAAAAGCACAGAGGAAAGCAAGACCTGCGAGGCAATCTATCTGTTAAATAGCCATACGAAATCTATCAGACGATGTTCAATCACGATAAATAAAAGTAAGAAAAGGCGTTGGGTTTTAAAGCTAAAAACAAACCTGCAGGTGCCATGTGTCCCTTGGAGAACCCACTTTTTATGTAATCTTCATCACTAGCTGAGAATTTTTTGTCAATTCTGGTGTCTTTTTTAAATGCACAAGTGTCCCTTTTTGCATCACCACTTAAGTTTTTTCGAGTCAAAGTTTGAAATACCCAAGCAGGGGTTTTATGACAACTGTTATAACCAACCACATAGTTCTTGTACCTTAACGCCTCTGTCCGGCTTGGAAATCCATACCTTCCAGCGATATCTCTAGAATCAGACCTTGATAAAATGTCTTCTTCTTTATAGCTTAGTCTGTCGAATATACTTTTACTTACTACACCACTTACTATTCCAATTCCCAAATAGGCCCCTCTAATGAAAACTTGTTTCATCTTGGGACTGAATCTTGTTGTTGCTGCTGCAAAAAGGGCCCGCGCCGCAAGGGGGCGAGGTGTCTTTGTCAGGGTTGCCAGTTTGGATTTTTCTAATCCAAATTCCAGAAATTTGGATTTATGAAAACTTGTTTGGCTTTCAAAATATGATTTGGATTTGGCCAAAAATTTGGCTTATTTTGGATTTATATGAAAAATTCTCAAAATTTTCTGAACATTTGTTTCACTGAGACTTTCGGGTTTCTTTTTGAAGGTAGAACATGATGTGTGAATTGTCATAACATGTTTATGCCTGATGCGATGTACTTATGTTAATGTGAAGGTTATCCTCGCTGTTTCTTGTTCTCTTGCAATCATGTCTAAATGGAAATCTTCGTACGAGAATGGGCGGCGTTACGCTAAGTCAGAGGAAGACAAATATTCATAGATTAAACAAGCTTCTGATGGATCACAAAATGCTTTTTGCAAGTTGAGCAATTGCTCCTAAAGCATCTAATCTGTTGAGCCACGAGAAATCAGAAAGACATGCAAAGAATATGACTTCTATTAATTATACCTTATTTTTGAGAGCAATTGTCAGATAATGTCAAATTAACATTTATTTGCAAAACCTATAGATGCCTCGTTTTCATTTCTTCGATCCTATTGTTCTAAAACCTCGTTTTCAAATTTGGCTTAATTTGGATTTTTGACACGAAAAATTTGGCTTTGGCCAGTTTTGAGACCTGGCAACCCTGGTCTTTGTCTTCCTACTATCATTTGCTAAATAAAAGAATAAAAACAGCTTAACTTATTATATCGATAAAACCTTTAGATTCAGCAAATATACTGAACCAAAGTACACAAGTAAAACAGCGTCAGCAAAATGTTTGCCACAATTGGGCTACGGGGTAAGAGGAAACTTTGTTTACACTGATCGCCCCTCCAGTTTAGGGTCCTGACTCAAATATAAAGCAAAGCCACACTACAGCTATCGACGTAGAAACGTGCCACCGGTTTTTAAAAGTTCTTGAAAAATGTATACTCTACATCAACAAAACCCCCCACTTTTCTCAACGCTCCGCGGTGCCTGAAACGACTGAAGATGGTGTTCTCTCCTCATTTGAACCATTTATTTTTGGGCTGTCGGTGCGCCAATCGCAAAGACGGCCATAAATAAAACCCCAACCGTTTTTGAGGGGGTTGAGAAAAAGAACAATGGCCTTCTTCCGCCGACTAGCAGCACCTTGTTCATGCAAAAAGTCGCAAGCCATTTTCAAATAAAGACCCCTGAAAATTTCTAGACATGGGTTGGGTGGGCAGGGTCGCAAAGGAAAAACCTTTCCTCTCCAAAGTCCAACTTCGAGTTGTCGTGCAACATGTGAGAATGAAACTATGCTAAGACAAAGTTTATCAAATTTCATTTAATCAAGCTTTCATAAATAAACCCCCAACCCCAAACAACAGCTCTCAGGGCCTCCTCCCCCTTCCACCTGAAAAATGAATTTCCGCCACTCACAAGAGACCCTAGAGAAAAAGTATGGGGCCTAGTAAGGACCCCTGTGGAGCGCCTATTTCATCAAGAAAAAGGGTCACATGTGAGGCTCAAGATAGGCAGATGAGATGGTGCTGGTGGAATGTCTTATTGTGTTATATGTCACAATTGTTGTAGAAGCTGCCCGGTATAAATGCCAGTCAGGAAAGATGCTATATTGTTTATCCTATTCTTGGATATAACTGTCGCTGTTTGAGAAGCGGTTGTGAGAAGTCTACTGTAGCTGGCTCAAGGATGGACTCATTTTAAAATGCTTTTGTAGATGACTCCTATACTGATTTCCGCATTTACCACAAGAATGATGTATGAAATGGCTGTTTTGTACAGGCACTTTGTCTTGGGTCAACTCCTGAATACTTCATCCGTAGCAAATGACAAACAGTGTACACATGGTCACCCGTCATTCTACGCGCGAGGCTGCGATCACTGATACGTGGTAAAAACTTTAGTCGAAGAGGCTAGTGGCCTGACAAGAGTAATATAAAGTCGAAGGCCACAAATGCTGTTTTTGCCACTAACAGCAATCGTTTAAACTACAAGACACACTAAGCGAAATTTAAGTGTGTTTAAGGTTTGTTTGGGCCTAAAAGCAGCAGAATAATGGCTGGAGGCTGGTCTTCAAGTTAGGTTTATAAAACCTACAAAGAAACAAAATGGTATGTTTTACACGTTAGAAGTTTTTTTCAATTATTCAAGAAGATTATCTTTGTTTTAAGTTTTCTTATAGTGTATATATAGAGACCTCAATGCAATTAAATGCTGTTCTATGCAAACAACCACCAACACCAGACCTAACAAACAGCTGTAAAAATGGCACGAATAGAGTTTATAAGTTGTGGGAGTTTTTGTTTACCGTTTTTGAATTTCAAGGATTAAGGAACTGATCTTTCTCCAGATAATATTAGCACAGTATCTACACACACCTTGTAAGTTTACATTTCATAGTAATACATTCTAGCTTTTGTTTGTTTCTAAGCTGTTCACTTGCTATTTTGATTTTTCATTTCAAAAAAGTTGATTTGGCATTGTTACTTTAATAGTATATTGATTACTTTGTCATACTTTCTCTTTTAATTGTTAACCAGCTTGAACCAAACAAATTTTTGTCAATGCTACATAATTACTGCGATAGTAAGTCTGTATCTTTTGCTTTGCAAAATATATTGAGAAGAAGCATTGTGCATTCAAAGCAAGTTTGCAGCTCAGTAAAGGCAGCTTTGAAAGCCATCAGCCTGAAGGTTTCTCAAGGGGTATTTCCTGTTCAATAGAGGGCAGTAGAGTTCAAATGTGTATGGTCAACTATTCATCTTTGCAACTGATATAAATTGTGTCAAGGGGGTAAATAGGGAACTAGTTTTTTTTATCAATTTTTTTTCAATGAAACATATGTAACTTTTTTGAAAGGAAACTCTAGCCTCTGAAAAGATGACAAAGCCATCAAAGTTACTGAGCCATTCTAGTGAGAAAGTTTATAGTGAAGATGAAAGCAGCATGGAGCAGCCAGTTTGGGAAGAGGATGGATTTCCACCAACTTATGAATCCATTTTCAGCCAGCTTAAAGATGCAAAAGAAAGCCCTGGAAATGCTGTTGGTTTCTTCAAAAAATCCATTCATACTTTCCTTGGAACAAGTATGTACACTTGGTGTTTTGTTAGAAAGTATTATGACAAATTTTGACACAGAATTTTACATCAGAAATGTTGTTGACCTTAGAGTTCTGTAAAGGCCGAAGTTTTTGTTGTTGTTATATATGCAAGTTGTGATGACAGTTTTGGTACACATGGGAATTCAAAGCGTAAACATCTCTATGATTATGCTCTGTTCATTTGATCAAAATGTCTTGTTGTGGATATTGTAATATTTTGTCAGCTAAAACCTCAGTTTAATATGAAAAATGAAATTGTAATTAATATCATTTGAGCAAAATCACTAAAAGTAACTAATACCAAGTAAAATTCTCATAATTAAGGAGATCAAGCAAATTCTCTTAGATAGCTCATGTGTCATAGGTCAATTAAAATTTTCCTATCAAAATTTACATTCCCTTGCTTTGTTAGCCTGGTGTTTTCTTTTAGTTAACTTTTAGTAAAAATAATTCTAAATTATGTACAGGAAGAAATTGTTTGAAACAATTTGATTTTATTTTTTTCAGTTGGTTGCACTGCCTCCCTCATGCTTCTCCTTGCACTGCCAGCTACAATGGTAATTATAGGTAAGTCTATACTTGACCTTTGGTAACAATGTTTGATACGGAATATCTTCAATATACACCAAAATGCATTATTTATCTTAAAACTTGTGAATTTTTTTAAGTTAAAATATACAGACCAAATGGTGCTCAAGTGTAAGACAAATACAGAGTGTTGGGAAAAACTTTCAACAGGCAACTCAATAAGTTGTAGCAAAGTCTTTTGCTCTGATGAAGCCCCATATGCCGGGGCGAAATATTACCCTTCATTAATTTATGTGTTCATTCTTGTCGCATTGCAGTGTTTCTTATTTGCTATATTTTCATCGATTTCTCGCCACAGGCACTCCTTGGAGTCCGTCGAGCAGACTGCTATTGTGACCTTATCTTTATTCACACATATTTTTTTAAATTTTGACATACTTGGTAAAAAATTTACAATTGAAAGGGATCTGCTAAGCCTAAGGTACAGTCTTCAAAGATATCTAAAGTTATAAGCCCATACCTTTATTTTCTGCTAACATTTCTTCTGATATTCACTAGGTGCGCAGTACAAAAATGACTGTCCCATTGAGCCCTTTATACCAATATACCTTATTGTTGGAGGAGCATTTGGAATGCTGAAAACAGTTGCAGTGTTGTGCCAAAGAGCTGCACAAGAAGATACCAGTGATGACTCTGATGATGATCAGCCAATGCTTGCTAAATTTGTCGATGGAGTGTTGAATCTGTTTCTGTTTATCTGGTTTATTGCTGGTAGCATTTGGGTTTACTCAAAATATAAGCCCCATTTTGTACCACCAAAACACCAACCATGGAACTATTGTCACCCAACCCTTTATTTGTTTGCATTCTGGGTTATCACTACTGGCTACATTTTGATGGGTACTATATTATTTTGTATTTGTTGTTTAGGACTGTGTGCAAGTTGTACAGCCTTTTTTGTGGCAAATGCAACAAGCTAATTTCTACCAAGCTTTGGGACAACTCTGTTTATGTTGATATACTTTTTAGATGGTGGGAGCTATTGAGAGTTTGGCCAAGTAAAAAGAAATAACATTACTCAATTAAGGTACCCAAGCCAATGATAAACAAAAAAGATAATAATTTGGAAGAATTAATTAAGAAGAAGTAAAGAAGAATTAATGCTATCAAAAACTTTCATAATACAAAATCAATGTATCTAATACTAGTTAAATCTTTTGTGCAGGGCAAACTACTCTAAGGTCCTTAATAGAAAAGGGGGTCTTGATAGTTGTGGGAGTCAGAAATGTTTCAAAAAATTAATAAGCCAGGGGTTCTAGTAAGTGGGGGGCCCGAATGTGAAAAATCTGAAAAATCATGTGATGATTCTTTTTTGGGGTCAAAGGAGATTTTCTTCTGAATACAATCAATAGCAAAATGACAATTATCACCATGTTATAATGCATTGTTGTATTACTCAAATGAGCAGGCTAATTATCATTGTTTACATCAGCCAGGCCTATGTAAATTTTTTTGGATGTTTTACTACTACTTTTCTATGTTAAAACTTTTGTACAATGCAACCTCTTCATTTAAGAAAAACTTTACAGAAATTCACACCTGAAAGAACAAAGGACAAATGAAATAAGGGATATGAATCATTGCATATTAAAATTAATAAGAAGGGGGTCCCCTTCTATTAAGGACCTCAGAGTATTTCAAGTGACTTATGGGTCAAAAAACAGAATCAGTCTTTCAATGACAATTTAATATTTATATATATAATATATAAAAACCATTTATGTACCCAAATTACTTTAGTTAAGATCAATATTAACAACAATTTTAATCTTAAGGAAAATAAATTTCCCATCAGCCTTTTGTTGATAGGAACCATCACTCACATCAAAGAAATATTTTTCAAATGAGCCATCTGCAAATATCCACATGTTCTGTTTATTGTCCATTTTATATAATTTTGAGGTGGTTTGGTTTATTTTTCTGAAAATTTCCTGGTATGGAGACACACTCAGCCTTACTGCGTTTTCTTTTCCTATAATAAACTGACTGGTATTGTAAATTTATATTTATAGAGGGTTTATTATTTATAGTAATAGTTCAGGGTTCATTTGCTAATGGTTGAATTAAAATAAATGCTGTTAAGAAAATACTTATGAACATTTTCACTACATAATATTTCATAGCTTTGTATGAATTTTAGTGACAAATTAGTATTGATAGATATTCAAATGGCAAACCATATATTTTTCATTAAGTTGTTCACTGTCTCTAATTTTTAGCTGAGCAGTTTTGAAATCTACGAGAAAGAAAACTCCTTTTAGCCATATTACTAGGCAGGGGCAAAGCTCCTGGGAAGCCACGAGGGCTTTTATTTCTCCATTTCCAATGTGGCAAAATGTTTTCTGAGCACCTTATATTGAAATTTCCAACCCTACCTGTGCCACAAGCAAATTTAATTTGAGTTGCATGGCAGATCTCAAAATTTGACTTTTACCCACTCATTTTCCCTAAATTATGCATGGAGAGTATTTCATGCCTATTTTGTACCCACCTCTGGTTTAAAGTATATGCATCGGGAGGGGCAACTTTCCTATAGTCCCCAGCTTTGGCTGGTATCAAATTTTTCTGGCAATATTTGTTAAGATATTCTAAATGGGTTTCAATGACTTGTATTTCATCAAGAGTTTGCTAAAAAGTACATAAATTCTTCAACTAAGCTACACATTGGAAACATCTCAAATTTGTATTTGTTACTACCTAGTATCTGATGGTTTATAGGACACAGAGAAGCCGATCCCCTTGAGCAGTGTTCTGGTTCTTCATTTTTATGTGACTTCCTCTTGTGATTCCTACACCTGAGTTAAAGGCTCTAAGTTAAAGTCTGTTCACGTTAGAGACACAAACCCTAGACTCTTAGTTCTGTAGTCTGTCATGCTAACCACAGAGCCATCCTCACACCACTATTGTTTCTACTTTTTATAGGAGTTGTGAAGCTATTTTTACCCTTTCAATAGTTGGTGTTTATTAGCTGTTTATTAGCTATTATTGTGTAAACCAACATTAAATAAAGTGAATAAAAAAGCAAAGTGTCTACTTCTGCCAGGCCAGAAGACTTTTTATGAGAATTTTCGTGGAGGCCTTAAAGATAAAGTTGCACAGTTCAGGGTGGAACTGGAATCCCTGTAAAGCCCACACCAGACATACACCAATAAACAATAGAAATAAAATGGAAAATGGTCAATGTTGGATATCTTTGTCATATGGTACATGGGCTCCACCATGATCTATTAAAAAATTGCTACTTGCCCTGTCCCAAACATGACTACCTAGAATCAAAATTTAAGTCTTCCACTTTCACTTCTGCTGGCTTTGTCAGATGTTAAGTCAAAGTGAAAAACAGTTTATGACTCTGAAAAATCTCTGGCCACATACGGGAATTACGCATAAAAATATTTATTTTGAAAATAATAATATTGAATCACGCTGAAGACTGTGTAGTAAAAGTAGTAAAAATCAACGAAATGCTTACTACCTCTACCGTAGTTGCAGTACAACACATACAGTACAGTAATGGATGATTGGACAGGCGCGAACCGATGGAGGGGAACCGGGGTGAACTCTCATCAAAACAACTTTCGACTTTCATCGCGAAGTTCTGCTAAACGATTTGACAACCATGAAATACCCTAGATTACAATGAAAACAACGTACTGTCGGAAACAAATTCAGAACATCGTTGTTCGTCCGAAAAGTCGGCGAAATGGAAATGTTAATTGTTCGTGAATATTTTTCCAAGATGGCGGTGTAGTAGCCTCGTTTAGAGAAAACATCCAAAATTATCGAGGCTACTTCAGCAAACCTTTCTTTTCGAAGGCCTGAATCAAGGCGAAGGTTGAAGCGAAGGTTTGTTGAAATCCACCCGAATCTTTGTATTTTAATGGTATTTGACTACTGCGATTATAAGATTTTGTCAATTGTGGTATGTCTAGATGCAATTCATGTTAATTGTTTCCCATAATAGTTCATAGGTTGTTTGCCCGCCAGTGTTTTTTATCTTAAACTGGACTGTCTTGTCCGATGAAATTTCAACCAAGAATGCTTATTTCCGAGGAAGAACTTAAATGACGATTTGGTCAATTTAAGTGTTCTGTAGGCAATTTTGCTTTGAAATTTATCTCATCTTTTTTTACATACCCTAGAAGTTTATTTTTAATTTTATTAGCAGACTTTTGAAGCCTGCCCTGAGTAGTGCAGTCTTTATCTGCATACATGATCACTGTTCCAAATAGTTTAAACTTTCTCCATTTCTTTCAATTCTTTAAGTCTGGTCTACAAACTGAGCCTTACGTCTCAAAGTTTCTCTTTGAATTTTACCTAAATTAACAAAAAGTTTACACGCAGTAATGTTATCTTACTATATTTAACACACTTTTTGTGTCATCTCTAGAAATGATTTTTGATCTTTGATAAATAGGTTACAAAACATGCTGTTTAAAGTTTAAATATAGATAGATAACCAGCAGCCTATCTATATATATACTATGTTGATAGTTTTAAAATGGATTTATCAGGTTGGACAACTTCTTTCATTTGTTCGTAAGCCAAAGTGCAGAGTAGGGTAGTTTCCAACAAAGACTCTGGGGAAGGGGGAACCAGAGCAAAATTTATAGTGTGCACTTTTGGTAAAAGTGTGTGGTTCAATTGTGTATAATGTACATAACATCAGTGTAGATAAGAAAATAAATATTATTGATCATTGTTTTCATGTATGAAACCAATGCAAGAATATGTTGATCTTGAGGAAACATGATTCTTAATTTGCCCTAAGCCAGAGGCACACCCAGATCTCAAAATGCCACACACTACCAGGCGTGCAGGGATATTTTAGACAAAATGTCTTGATTGTGCACTTGCCATACTCTGCAGTCTGGCTCGTAAATTTACTGGATTTGAAAATGGCTTTGAAAAAAGCAAACATTTTATGACATACTAAAAGCTTTTTCGTCTGACTCTCCTAAGAGCATAAAACGTCAGAATAAGGTTCCGAAAGAACACAATGGAAAATATATACCCAGTTGTGGATCAAAATAGGCCAGAACAGCCTCCTAGAAGAGAACAGCCTCCTAGAAGAGAACAGCCTCCTAGAAGGGAACAGCCTCCTAGAAGGGAACAGCCTCTTCGATCTTGTAGGTCTAGAAACACTGTTAAAACAAGTGAATCTGCCATCAGTCAACATCTTTTAGACAACCCAGATTGTGCCAAACTCTATAATAATGACTTTTTCCAGCTCAAACATCACCTATCACTGGTAGATGCTGAGTGTTATAGACAATGACTCAGATAGCTTCTATTGGTGTATTCACAATATAAACTACCATTTTGTTAGACTAAACCGAATGTTCAAGGGGAATAGAGAATCAGTGGGGGTTAATCAGAGGTTCAAGTTGTCAGGTGTAGGGAACTCATCAGTAATGCAGAATGCCTTTGTTTGTTTTGCCACTCTGCCATTACCACTACTTCTTTTCCATAACATGGTTTGTTCTGAGGAAAACTGATCTTTAAGGAAATTTTGTGATGAATTAATTTTTTTGCATTTAAATGGTTTTGACGTTTTTCTGAAATCTGTGCTAATCACTCCATGTGGGTAATGACCGACATCCATGGGTAATGATGGACAGGCAGATTAAACACAATCCAGTTTTGGCGATCTAGATAAGAATGTGAAATAAGGCCAGGGATAATTCAAGAGTTTGATTCTAGTGTGGAAAATGGTGCTCTTGTTAAACATGTACTCTTGTTAAAGGCTGAACAATAATAAGCTCTGACAGAAAACCCACTGTGGTGTCCAAACTTGTAATATTCATTGTTTTCTTGCCTTCTCTTTCTGGGAGTAGGGCTAATTTATTCCACCGGTATAGGGTTTATCAAAATTTTCTGGCCACGTCATTTTCCGGGGAAACATCCCCTTAGCTGTCCGAGATTGCCCGTCTGCAATATACTTTGTCCAGGGATATTTGGGAATCTCAGAATTGTGCCCTGTGATGAGGATACCTTTGTTTTATCCAATCAAGATGTATTAATCCATCATTCAATCAATCATAGTATGAAGTCACAACAAAAACATTGTGCTTTTCCTGATGCCCAAGATCATAAAATCAAGGAAATTTAGGCCCACTCACTTCACCAAAATGCATTCAAAATACATTTATTCTAAAGCACACAATAATAGGGCTCTTGAAGAGAATAAAGCAAACATAAAGGGTACCAAAACACGCTTTTAAAACTCTTTTTATTTCATGTTCATGACAGATGCAAAAAGTATTCCTGTAGATTTGTACATGATTGCCCAGCTTCTGGCATTATCCGGGCCTACCCTAGTACTATATGTTCTGATTCAATGGTTCCCAGTGGATGTTCAGTAATGTGATAAAATTCTGGATTTAATTTGTTTCTTTTTTTTCTGGTACTGGTGACATGTATTGTGGGGGTCTGTGCTAGAACAAGGATTGTTTGAATATGGGAAAAAAGAACAGTTATAAAAGTATGCATTGCACACCAAGAAAAGTACTATTTTTGAGTTATATGTTAAAACATTGTACTTCAAATATACAAATAGTAAGAACTGGTAGCTATTTTTAGGAACAACAACCGCAACAATGAAGACAATCCTTGCAACAGAGAAGATTAACATTCCATCTCAAGGTGTGTTTCTTTTAAATTGTTCATTAAAGAAAGAATGGAACTTCTTGACATATAAAGGCCGTTTTATTTATCATGAGGTAGCAAATAGGCAAAGTCATATTGTAACAGTCTGACTCAAAGTAGGTAAGTTACTTGTAAAACTGATTGATTCACCAAATTTGACTCACTTACTCCTAAAAAGAGAAAGGAAAAAATGTCTGCATTTAGCAGGCCTTGCCCGGAAAGGCGCTCGATCGAGCGTGCGCGCCTAGAGCGCACCCAAAAAAGGCCTTGGAGAGCGATTTATAGAGCCCCTCAAAACGTAAAATCAATATTAACACGAAGCAAAATAAATTTTTGGAATTTGTTGAATCAACTTGATCAAGCATAAACAATCTTCCCAACAGACCGCAATATTATGATTTGTGTAAGATAACCCTTTGAGAAAAAATTCAGCAAATTCAATGTTGGGTTTTCGATATCATTTTTTAATCTAATAACCCTCTAATAACCATCAAGGACACAGGCCATCAAGCGTATTCTCCGGCAGATTTATTTGATTTTCGAGCAAGCGTTAATCTTCTATTCATATCTATCTAGAAATCTAGAAAAATCTGGTACATATCTAGAAAAATCTGAACAATTTTGCGATTTTGTTCTATTATAGTCACGGCGGGTAATTCTTACGCACAGCAACATGTCGGGTAATTTTTACGCAGGCAGTTTATTGCGTAATTCAATTGTTGTTTCCTACAAAAACTTTTTATTCATCCAAAGCAGTCCTTTCTCTTTCTGTTGACATAAAACTTGGCAGTTGGTTTGCGCGACAGCCTTTGTGAAAGCGATTCGCAGACATGAATCGCAATTTACCTAGGTACAAAGTTATCAACACTGCTCATCAATTTTATTGTCCTGGCATCATGCGGACAATAACTAATCCTTTTAAACATTCAAATGACTCTTTTGTGGCTCACCTTTGACCTATTCAAGTACTGCTGAGAAATATGCTTCCGTTCCTCGGAAAACACGTGCGTAAATATTACCCGACATTCATTGATTAGGAGGTTAATTTTTACGCACTTTTTATAAAACTGCCTATATGAAAAAGAGGAAAGCTAAATGTTTGGTTTCAAATTCCCAAGGCTAACAGAAAAATCCCCAAAAAATAAGCAAAGAAAAGGTTATGTCCAAGCTCTAGTTGACATTTATAGCGGACGATCGACAAGAAGCACTGCGTAAATACGGGATGGCTGAAGGAACACTATATGTTATCATTCTAAAATGGTAGAAAATAATGGACCCCTCAAAGGGGGGTGGGGGAGGGGGCGTCTCCGAAGGGATTCCATCAAATTTTGGATGTAGACGTTTCTGACATTGAGAATATTATTGCGAAATCGCGTGTTCGAAATTTTTATAATATTGACCAAAAGTGTGAGTATTCCTCGACTATTCATCCTTAGAATTACCCTCAAAAATAATAAAAATGAAACTCTTTTTAGTGCGATGTTGAAACGCTTAATGTTTTGTCTACATTTCAAACTTTTTGTTGCTCTCAAAAGCAAAATTTTTTCTATAAAATTCTGGCATTTCAGTTTTTATATCGCATCCCTTCTACATAAATTTCCTACCAGTAGGTCTGTGATGAAGGCTTGTGGACTGTTTGAATTTGTAGGTAGCCACAAAGATTCATAATAATTCTGTTCTATTCAGAAATTGATGTGCGTAAAATATAGCCGACGCCGCGTAAGAATTTGACGGAAGGGTCGGCTAATCTTTACGCAATTAAATTTGATTATATAATTAGTAAGCAGTTTCGATTTCATCACCTATTGTTGTCTGATAATTAAGTATTGGCTATGAGTTCACCTGGTATATTCAGGTCATCAAATTACTTTGTTATTGTCCGTAAATTTCAAAGTTTATAAAATATGCGTAAAATTTGCCCTCCATGACTATATATTTCTATATTTATATTAACATAGTGTTTGTTGCATGTTTTGTTATTTCATATTATGGTGCTTTCTGGTATCACCATTGAATTTCATATTTAACATTCTTCCGAAGCTTTTGATTAAAGGTCTCGAAGGATGCTCTCAAGGAAATTTACTTAGAGGTGCGAAATAGAGCGCTTAGAGTTTATAAGGGGCTCTTTTTATGGAGCACCTTCATTTTACTTAGAGCAAGGCCTGATTTAGGTCCTAACTCTATATGGCTCTTCAAAAAATGAGATTAAATTTTAAATTGAAAGAGTGTGGCTCAAAGTATCCTTCCTCAAAACCTTCTCTAAAATTTAGCCCCTGTAATGGTCTTTGCACATTGTATTTCTTACTTTTGTTTGAAAACTGCTGTGCTTTTATTGATATCCTCAGGTTTTCACCAATTATGTTGTCAAGAGCAGCTCTTTTTCTGTTAGTTTTCAAACATTCTACTTCAAAATCTGATCATTGTTGATAGCCTTTTGTTGTAGATTGCTTTTCTTGTCAATGCGACTGACATGAGCTGCATAACCAGTAATGTTGTCAAGAGAAGCTCTTTTTCTTTTGGTTTTCAAACATTCTACTTCAAAATCTGATCCTTGTTGATAGTTCATTTTGTATATTGACAGGGGATTTGTTTTTCCTTGTGCAGATCTTAGGGTTGGGGGGTTTAGACCAAATATCTGGAGCATTTTTATTTGTGTTTTGATTGTTTTAAATTTTTTAATATTTTGTTCATTTAGTGGAGGTGTTCACAAAAGGTAGATCCATCACAGTGAAAGGGCCACGTGGAATCTTGAAGAGAAACTTCAATCATTTGAATCTGGAATTGACAAGGCTCTCCAAAAACATCATCCGAGTTGATGTGTGGTTTGCTAAAAAGAAGCAGCTTGCCTGCCTTAGGACCATTTGCAGTCACATTGAAAATCTTATGAAAGGAGTTATTTATGTAAGTATTTCCCATATTTTTCGCAGTTATGCCAGGCAGTGATAGGCCAGACCTGCTGAAGAGAGATTTCTAATTGAGGGCCATATTTTAGACTGAAAGTTAAAACTGTTTTTGATATAGCAGAATTTATGTTTTGAGCTTTTTTAGTTCTGCTTGAAATTCTGCTAGCCTAACATTGTGAACTGGTTTTAGTTATGTTACACATCGAAAGTATTTTCAAGCCCATGGCATGGCACCTCCTTTATTGTTTTGGAAAGGAAAAAGTTTTTTAAAGGTAGTAGGGTTTTTAACCCTACGGTTGGCTTTCAACCCTACGGCAGTAAGGTTGGTTTTAGTTATGTAACACATTTTGAAAGTATTTGCAAGCCCAAGCGCAAGCACTTCTTTAAACGTTTTGGAAAGGAAAAGGTTTTTAAAAGGTAGTAGGGTTTTTAACCACCTCAATGAACAACTCCATGGACCATTTTGGGTGAACATATTCTTCATAATATGGTAATTCCAAATGTTTACTTTGTTTCTGGACATCTACGATAAACAACCCAGACATAAATGTGTGCTTCTTTATTTTTTATCACTTTGGTTTGATAGTTATAGCTTCTCCTCTATTTTTTTTTGCTTTCTGAGAAATCATGAATTTGTTAATGCGGTGTCATGGTACCAAATAAAGTTTTACCAGTAATGAATGATTTGAGAACATATTACCAGATGTTAACTACATCTGGGTTGCTTATCAATGACCGAAACCCTTCACACAAGCTTAAATATGGTCACACACCCATATCTCTACAATGGGGTGTGGTATCAAGCTCAAAATCTACTGTGGTTGATATCTTGTCAATTTATCTATGTCAATTTATCTATGTCAATTTATAGCTGTGCTAGAATTTTTTCCTTTTTGTGTTGATTTTATATGGAATCACGCATAAATGACCATTTTAAATTAGGAGCTATTTATGCGAAGAAGGTCTCTTTGTGGCATTAGAAAGAAAGGGCGGAAAAGCAAAATGTGTTTCATATCTTCTATACAGTTGATGGATTGATGATTGAATTTTGCTTGAATTATGCTATATGTATATTATGCTTGAGTTTATTAAAGTTTAATTGCCAAGACCCTTTGCTGTGAATATTTGTAAATTTATGTTTTGAATAGATTTAATTGTTATGTTTTACATTTACTTTTAGGGCTACCAGTACAAAATGAAGTCTGTTTATGCTCATTTCCCAATTAATATTAGCATCTCAAATGATGGAAAGGTTGCAGAGATCCGTAATTTCCTTGGCGAAAACGTCACCAGAGTTGTTGAAATGAGATCTGGTGTTGTATGCAAGCAGGGAGCTAAGGATGAAATCATTCTTGAGGGAAATGACCTTGAACTTGTATCCCAATCAGGTAACTGCATCTAGTTTATTGCTTTTAATCATGTTTCAATTTTCAAATTTTGTACCTTTTCTGTTGATAAGCCTTCGTTGCCATTTACGATCTTCTACCCAATCGGCAAGATTTATTGGGAGATTTCAATTTGGGCAGACCATAGCTTAAAACTTTTCTAAACCTCCCTTTTTAGTTCTATAATACTGATTACTTAAAAGCCAGTTTTTGTAATTTTTCATACTGGTTTCATGATATGTTTGCAAAATTTTTTGCTGATAAATATATGGTGCAAAGATTAAAGCATTGAGTCATGGTAAATAGGCCTTCTCTATAGGAGGTCATTTGCTTTTGGCGTGATCACTGTAGTTTCATTCCATGTTGGCATCAGTTGTTGATAAGTTGCTATTGACAGAAGCTGTTTTGCAAACTAGTACAGACAACGTTATTTGATCAGTGTCAGACCCACCAATAGCATTGCAGCACAAAAATCACGACTCAGCGTATTTGGGTACTTTAGGCTATACCCTCCCCTTTTATTGTGACTCAATGCCTTTAACTTGCCAATAATGAAATCTCCCCAAATTACTTTAATTTTACACAAAAATTTCCTGAAAGAATTTGTGTCTCAAAAAAGGTTCTATTTGTTTCAGCTGCTCTTATACAACAATCAACCACTGTAAAGAATAAAGACATCCGCAAATTTCTTGATGGTATTTATGTCTCCCAGAAAGGCACTGTAATAGACACGGAATAATGTTAATTATGAAAGCCCTCAAGGATTTTTGTGTTTTATTGCTGTTTCTCACTGCTTTTCCTGTCACAGGCGTATTCCTGTTTCTACATGTGATCAAAAGTTGCATTGGAGTTCCTAAATAGTTTAAGTCAGATGCTGTTTGTCTCCAACTTTCAATAGTGACAGTTCCACTGTCACCTCACTAAGTCCCTTAATATGCAAACATGAATTTATTTTGAAGACATAGATCAATAAAGAGCATCCTTTTTGCTGTCAAATTTAAAGGTCACTGACAAAATACTCCTATACTGCAATTGAAGCTCTTTTTTCAAACCAAGCTTTGGATTTAATATTTTATGTTGATCATGAACATGAAAAGAAGCTCGGTCATTGCTTTGTTGGATTCTATTCTTTTAGATCTAGACAAAGTTTCATAGCCTGGAATTTGCTCGTAGACCCCTTTATTATAATGAATCTTCTGAATTGGGTCTAGAGGCACACTACAAATGGTAGGGCCAAATTGCTCTTTCAGAACAGCATGCATAAAGGTCAGCAATTCTGTTGTGATGCGAGAGTTAGTTGGGTGGTTGGTACATTGGCGTGATTTGCTCCACCTACCACCAACCTCTTACAAAAAGAGGTTACCAAGAGGGAAGAGGTTACCCAAAGACCCGAAATGTAATGGATATTTAGGAGAGAATGGACAAGAAAAGTTCTCTTTTTCCCACTTTAAGCTGATGCACTAGTTTTACCTAAAGGCATAAAAAATGCATAAAGATGCATAAAGGTATGAGAATGCTTCACGATGATGGAAAAGAGATTCCAAGCTTTCAAGAAAAGAGAAAAGAACAGATATCAAGTTAGTATCAAGAAACTAAATGTGGGTGGTTAGGACGGGAGATAACATCACTGTTCAATAGGGCTACAAGATTTGTGGGACCCATCCTGTGTGAAACCAATAAATACCCCTAGTTCAACTAAGGAATAGAAATGCTATGATACTACCAGTGGCGGATTTAGACCGGAGCAAACGGAGCAGCTGCTCCAGTCAGAATTTTCTAAATTTATTATAGTGCCTGTTTGATATTAACTTAGCTCTGTTACTTCATAAATCATCAATTAATACTTCCTGATGCCCCCCAAACAACCCCTGTGGACTAGATAGGTGCCTTAGAGAACTGGTTTACATTTTGTCGTCTGAGTTGCTTATGTGTTGACTGTGGAGGAGATGTTCACAATTTTGCTCCACATGAAATACGTCATGGTCAAATAAACCAATCAGACCACTGGATTTTGCTCCAGTTGATGAAAATTTGCTCCAGGAAGTGCTGGTTAGCCAATCAAACTACTGAGCAACTGGAGCAAAATCCAGCTCTGCGATTGGTTTGAATCCGTTATCGGGAGCAAGTTGGAGCGCACTCTTTCGAATTTGAGCTTTCGTAACGTTCTGTGTGTAACGGGGCTTCGAAAAAAAACTGACGAAAGGATTTGAGTTTTTTGAAAGAGAGACAGCAAAACAGGTATGTTTACTAATGTTAATTATGTATGTCGTTTAAGGGAGCCCTCTTTTTGATGCTGTCGTTGTGGACGTTTATAAACCCAATGAGATAGGGGTTCATTTAGGCCTATAAGCAAGTCATGTTATTTAACAGATTACTTTCTTATCACAAAGTTATTTGGAAATGCCTTGGCCGCTGGGAATACTTGTGGGAATGTAGCTAGCTGTAATAAATAGAATCAAAGCTCTTGTCAGAGGCGAGGGGCAATTCACTCTTTCAGCTGCCAGTTTCCCTCCAAACAAACAGATTTCTAGGGATTTTTAAAAAGAGCTATAGGGTTTCAATTGTTGATTTGCCCCTCGATCAAGAGTGTTTGTCTCAAGCACGGAGCTCTGCTCTGAATTCAGGAGTTTTATGTAATTTTAATATTATGATTTTCTTTGAATATACGAAGAGAAAGGAATTGGTATCAAACGTTGCTAATCTGGGTGGGTCGCTAATGACTGATATGATATAATCGATTTCAATACTCTATAAATTGTCTTTCAAACTGATGTTTGTCTTCCTTCATCTAAGAGATAATAAAAGCTATTCACAAATGCAGCTTGTGTTGATTGAATTCAGACCATTAGCATTTTTTAGTATTACGATCACATAGGCGAGTTTTTGAAACTGATAAGAATGACACTTCTACCGATGAACAAACTGCTATTTCCGCGAAAAACCACCGCAAAGGAAACTTTCAAAGGCATCAATTTGATTAAAGGGCACATGTCGCTTTAGTAATCGGCTAATACAACAAAAACGTTTGGTGTGAAATTCCATTCTTTCGTGACTTGTCATTTATACGTCATGAAATTTTACTGCCGTGAAAAGATAAAAGATTCAGATTGGTTTATTATTTTAAAATTCCGAGTTAGTTGCGTGTTTCTGTTGAGAAAGAATTCCGTCAACTAAAGTACAGTTTCAAGCAGTTTTTTAACAAAATTTTTATAACCTCTAAATTGCTACTAGCTTTATTTAAAAGTTTGTGCTAGTTAGAAATTTTATCTGAGATTCGCATGAAATTAAAGTCGTTTTCAGAGAATCTAAAGGGCGTGGTCATAAAAATTTTTTCGGGGGCTCCGCCCCCCAACCCCCTCAGGTTCTGCTCCACTCAGAATTTTCGCTAGATCCGCCCCTGACTACATACCTTATTACAGGAAATTAACGAATCATGAAATTAATGCGTTATAATATTAACAGGGTTTGTAAAAAATGTGCATTTTGGAAGCATAAAATTAACGCGGTTTTACAAAAAATACATTGCGGGTGCATGAAATTAACGCGGATTGGGGAAGTAGAATAAAAAAACAACATTTTTTTGAAACTTTCTTTTTTCGTTATGCGAAAGGGTTAAATTCTGCTACCGCACCACTCCTGGCACCCTCTACGGCTCGAACCACCCCTGCTGACTTCCATCCATTTAAAATTGTCTGACGACCTGTCTGTTTAAAGTGTTGATAAATTTCATTCATTAACTTAGCATGGATAGGCTTCAGGGTTGACAATTTGAGATCGACTTCAATCGTTGTTACATCTTTTTCGGGATCTGATTCAAGCTCCTTCGTTATCGTGTTTGTGAAGTAATCTCTAAAGGCAGCCCTTTCCATTTTCTTGAACGATCCGTTTGTTGTTAGGTCAAGAGGCTGGAGCAGGTGGGTCAAATTCTTTGGCACCATGACTGTAACAAGGTTGTAATCTTCCAGGACATCTGTTATTGGCTGTGATTGTTGACCTCTGAAGGCATCCCAAACAATTGCCTTTTTTTCAATTTTTGCACAAAATTAACGTTCATTAAATTAACACTGTCACAAAATTAATGTATCACTAAATTAACGCTTCATGAAATTAACGCGGTTGAGGGGCAAACCGCGTTAATTTCATGATTCGTTAATTTCCTGTAATAAGGTACCTTACTCCAGTATTCTAAGAAACTTCAGGAAGACGAAAGACGGACAGGGGTTTCAAGTTACACGAGGCTGAGACCTCATTTTCACGATGTCGGTATCACACACCGGCATGGAATGACACGGGCACTATATCAATTGTTTCTAGGCCATCAGTTTATTTGATATTGGAACCATGCCTGCATGTAAGTAAAGGTGTTAATCTGGATTGAAACCAAGTCGATACCAGTACGGTTTCATACCGTGGAGGTAACAAAATGGTGTAAACTGGTCATACCAGCATGGTACTGATATCTTTTCATGCCTCGAGGCTAAATATTTTGAAAGCGAGTATATTTTTTCGCTTAGCAAAGCGCGCCAATTCATTGATAACAAACAAGGTGAGGGTGATTTTATATCTCTGATCCTTTAAAAAATGAGCACTTTGTCCATAGAGTGTGCTCTTCACTGTCTGTTCAAAAGAAAATGTCTCTATCGATTTGATTGGGCATTTTCTTGTTCTCTAAGTGCCATAGTATTTCATGCCATCGGCGTTCATGAAATCGTCTTTTATACTTTTTCCAATCTTTTTCCATTTCTCTCTGTCCTTTGCAACATCTTCCTATCCCGCATTTGTCTAAACTCTCAGCTTTTCCTTCATCCAGCCAAGCATTTTCATTCTCTGCCTTCCTCTTGCCCTATTCCCTTTCATTTCTGTTTCTGTAATATGTTTCTCAATTCCATCTTCCTCTCTCAGAATATTCCAATGAATCTCCATTGCCTTTCTCTTATAGTGTTCAACAAATTACTTTCTGTAGAACTTTTTCATTCCTCATTTTCTTCTCCCATGAGACCTTCATCATTCTTCTATACAGCCACATTTCCACGGACACCAAAAATGGGGTCTCGTTTGGTAGGGATCGTCATTGGCTGCGGGTGATACCCAATCGTCATCATGCTACCAGTTAATACAAACAGTAAAACATTGAATATCTCAACGTGGAATGTCAGAACAATGTATCAAAGTGGAAAAATGGACAATATCTTGAAAGGAATAAAACGACTAGGTATCAACATCCTGGATGTGTGTGAAGTGAGATGGCCTGGAGCAGATAAAGTTATAGCAGAAGAAACCACATTTATATTCTCAGGTAGAACAGACAATAAGCATGAGCATGGAGTGAGAATGTTTCTAGACCAACAGTGTGCTAAACGTATTGCTGGTGTCTGACAGAGGCGTCGTGTAACGCGGAAGCAAAACAGAATGAATGACAATCCGAAGTCATGTAAACACTCCAAAATACGTAGAGCTATCGCTTCGTATTGGGAGGACAATCCGAAGGGAAAACCAATCCGGCGTCATATAGCGCCCCTGTGAAATAAACATTAATCGAATTTAGTTTAATCAGCGTCCAAATGCTTGGGTGATGTAAAAGAAGCTTATCATAACTTTCCTTTTGACACAGGCTATGTACTTAGCCCACTACCGGTACTTGGCTTTTTTCAAACTGACATGCATATTCTTTTGCTTCCTAACCATCTGTGCAAGCATTGCTTATCCTGATACCAGATAGCTCCTCTATGTAGATGACCTTGTCGACATAGCTGGCTTTCTGTATGTTGTTCAGTCCGATCCTCGTGAGTTCAATTGTTTTTACTCTTAACATGCAAATCAATAGGTGTCTAAAATGGGACTTTAAAGGCAGCCTGTCTTCCCGCCTTAATGAAATAGGCTGCTCGTCTTGGCTTGCCTAGCTGCAGTAGTTGACCATGTTTGAAACTTACTGCCAACAAAAAGCTATCGGAAATGGCAAAAATATTAAATGGCATTTGACATGCATAATTACAGTGTAGCCAAATTTAACTTACGCCAAATTGATCAGAGCACGCGCGCATGTTGACATATCTGTCGCACCAACCAAACAGGGAACAACATTTTTTAGCCACAGCCTCACTGCAAGGGGAACACACCCATTTGATTGAGCAAACCTCTGGAACCAAATTTGTCTCTGATTGGCTTAAATCGTTTAATTATCGATCAAGCTCAACGGCGTGTGAATTTGACTCCCGTGGAAAAAAAATTGAGCACAATGGGGGACTGACTCTTGGGGCCTGTTTACATGAGGCGAATTTCCCGGCTAGCCGAGTTTCCCGGCAAAGCTGGGTAATTAACTGCCAGTGTTTACATGTAGCTGGGAATCTCGGCATTTGCCATAATCGATAAGGGTGCAAAACTACCTTTTCTTAAAACTACCAAATCACAGTTGGCTTTAGACCTCTCAGCTTCGTCCTGTTGGAATCTTCCACTGCCCTGGTGCGCATATATTGGATTGACTAATTATTTGTGTATAGTATTCAGGTGACACATGTTAGGAGAGAGAGAGCAAGGAAAAGATAGAGAGGCGGTATGATGTAGAGAAGGAATGTTGTAGCCAATATAATAGTTTGGTATTTAAGGTTTTTAAAAATAAAGGGGAAAACGTCGTTGGCTTTCTCAAAATTCAACTTGAAGGGAGTGAAGAACAAAAGTTTGCATAATGTTCACAATTTTGGAATGAATGCCAACTTCCATTGATAAAATTCATTCGATTTCACAGCCTATTCACTTTTTTGTAATGTTGCACTTATCTAAAGGGATGCATAATCGACGATTTACGGCACGGCAAGAATAAATATTGACGTAGATAAAGTTTTAGTGCAAAACTGTCAAAAAGAAAATGCTTCATGCCTATATTTCTATCTTTTCTTTCAATCTTTTTACCTATCTGTGATTTTTGCTTTTTAAAAATCGTTGCATGTTGTCTCGTAATTCTAGTTGCCACGGCTATTCAAGCCTAATTTTCCCATCTCTATTGTATTTTTAAGCTGAGACAATCCCATCCCCTTGTCCCTCGATCTTTACAATTTATTTGCGAAAGTTGCAGAGTCTCCACCCTAGTATGCCAATTTTTTCGTTGGCATTATTGAGATTCACAGCAAGAAACACCATTTAAGTCAGTGCTTGAAAATGTTCTGCCAAAGATTCACAAGAGTCTGTAAGATCAATGTTTAAATGAGTCTTAGCTGCGCCAGATATAGAGGACAAGAACTAAAACCAGGTACCGCACACCAGTCTAGAAATGAGGGGGCCTAATAGGGCGTGACAAAAACATTTTGGCCACGCCCTCTAGAACGCCGGAACACGCCCCTTTTAAAAACCTAGAAAATAAACAGAAAGAGTTCCCAGTCAAGAAGAACTGCTAGTTTTCAGGATCCTAACTCGAAAACGTGATATTATGTCATTCATAACCCCCATTAGCCTGTTCAAAAACTGGAACTGTACTGGAAAATTGGTCAAAAACTGGAACTGTACTGGAAAATTTCATTTTGACCAAGTTATGAGTACCATTGAAAAATCATCAAAAATGGGTTTTTGCCATTCTACGGGTGCTTTGCCGGTGAACATCCGAACTTGTTCACAAATAAAGGATGGTTCAGTCATTTTGTTAGAAAATGGGGCCTGAAAGCGCATTTTGAGGATAATAGCTAGCAATTACACGAATTACAACTTAATAATTTGGTAAGAAATTATAAACAATCTAGCCTCAAAATTTTGGAGAAATTATGAGCAACCAACATGAACTTTAATTTAACTATTAAGAAAGAGGGCTTTTGTTTACGAAATGGGCGTATAATTAGTATGATTAATAAATCCGTAATTTGATAATTTTCTCTAAAATGCTTATTTGTGTCAAATTGCTCAGAGGTGTAGTGTCATGAAAATAACAAGGTCATGTAGAACATATATATGTGCCGTGGAAATATATATCTGTGCCGTGTAAATATATAACTGTGCCTTGGAAATATTTAACTGTGCCGTGAAAAAAGATTGTGCCGTGGCTGTTGTGGGCCACCGTACAACCCGGAAAATATTCTAATTAATTACGTTACGCATCATTTGAGCCGCCTCCTAACGAACGCAGTTGTCTTTGGTACCCTCACAGACGTTGAGGATGAATGTCGAAATTGGCCTGAGAATTGCAGCATTTGCTGCTCTTACTTTTTCTTTCTGTCATCCATTCGAAGGAAAAAGCAGCAGATTAGCTGCTCCTGGTATCAAATCTTCCGGTGATGAGTTTGACGAGAGAGATAAGCCTGGTCGCTTCCTTGCCAACGAACCGCTGGATGATGCCTTGGCGTCAATAGGGCCTTTCCATACTAGCGTTGGGGACAAACACGTAAACATTAACCTGACATGGTTTCTATATATCGATGATCGTGACGATAACACAAGAAATGATATCGAAATTGAAGTGGCCGCCAGTGGCCATGGTTTTAACTGGGTTGGCATAGGCTTTGCGAACGACGACGACACGTTTGGGGGCAACGATTGGCTGATTGTTTGGAAATCGAAGACAAACATACTTCATCACAAGGTATTCAGCGTTTGAAAACTAGTTGCTAAAATCTAATGGAGAATTTTCAGCATGAAAAGCCTAATCCGACAATTTTTATCTAGTTCAGGCTTCATTATCATTTAATGAATGGGAGGCGCAAGGGGGAGGAGGGGGGGGTGCAGCCCCCAATAATAATCAAACTACGTAATGTTAAAAACAGCGAACTAAATGGGAAGCAGCAACTGCTCCAACAACACTGAAATGCATCAAAAAATGACTCTGCTTACAGTCTGATAACTTCCATTTATATACAGATGACTCTGCTTACAGTCACTCCCATGAAAGTCACACTGCTGGTTACAGTCGCACAAAATTTAGATCCAAATATACAAAACTATTCAATTTAGCTGCGCTTAATACCCACTTTCATGGAGAATTTCGCCAAAATAGTGCCCGTTTTAGAGCCTTTGATTGCAAAGAACCCAACTGTATTGGTGGAACAGATCCATGCCAATATTTTGGTACCCCTTCCCCTCCCCCGTCCTTTACAAATACTTCATTATGGTAGTGGAACCAAATTCTTCTATTTGCCCTCAGCACCAAAACTGCCCCTCCTGCCTTGGCTTCTTGTGCAGGCACCCCAGGTTGGATAGGCACATTGTTTACCAGATATGTTTTTACAAGTAAATTCATAAGCAATGAGTGCATGACAATCAGGAAAAATTAATGAACCTGAGTACTCAGCAAATCCATTAATGTAATTTGCTTGTTTGCATTAATCGTTATACACTGGGAATAAAAATATACTTCCTTATTTTGTCACAGCATTAGAATGGGGGCAAATCTTTTGACAGGAATTTTACAAGCATTTTCAAGTGAAAGAGACATCATGATAAGTCAGTTAGAAAATTTCCTAAATTATATAGATGTGAAAAAGTAAATATTGGATCCCAGATGTTAAAATAAATGATCATATAAAATCAAGAAACCACAACTATTGAAATAGTACAACATCAACTTTTGTTTCATCAAAAATATGAGGGTGTTATAATTAAACTGCAAGAGGTTTTAACAAAATTTATTTCATTTTGACATTTGGTTTCCTTAAAAAGAATTTCTTCTGCTCAAAGTTTCTGCTGTTTCTGCTTGAATATTGATTAGCTGTTATAGATATAACCTGTGTTTCCGATCATTATTATCCAGTTGTAATAAAAATATTTTCTTTTTCTCCAGGATTGTAACACAATGAAAGGTGTTCTACATTTTGATAGGAATCAAGACTATGAAATTGTCACTCCAAGGAAACTTCATACCTTCCATTTCACAGTGCGAAGGGCTCTTAATACCGGTGACAAATTTGATGTAGAGCTTAAGGTGAGCCTTCAGTTCATTGAATCATTTTATTTCAAAAGCAGCCAAGGGCTGTGGATTTTGTAATAAATTCTTCTTATTATCAGTTATTGTGAGAAGAGATAGGCAAATCATTGTCCTATATCCTCAACCACAAGAGCCTTTAGCTGTAACAGTTTTTGGTAAATAATAGCCTTCTTTAAAACACCTGGTTAGCAAATGTCTATGGAAAATCTTATGATAAGTTCAAACTCTTTTGAATATTGAAATTTATTTTCAAAAATATAAAAAAATTTGTTTTGTCCCCAATTTTGTTGGCTGGTTAGTGAAATTAAAGCAAGAATTTTCAATTGTTTTGGAACCAATGCTATTAATCAGTCTAGTCAATTTACACTGTAAAGCAATTTTTTTTTCAAAATTAAGACCCCAAATTTGTTTAATTGAAATTACTAAGAACATAGATATCTCCATGGATGGAGAAAATTGCAGAAATATGGGGGGAGGGAGAATTAAAACAGGGTGCCAGTTGTAGGAAACATTTCCTCAAGAAACAGGTTCTTTATTGAAAAGTTAACAGTTATTTTTTTGATCAAATAATTGCGATGCAAAACCATGACGTGAACAGTTTTAAAATTTCCTTAGAACGATTTTGAAAATTTTTTATAGAGTTTTTAGTTTGCTAAGATTATTGGCAGGTGTAATCACCAAGTGTGCAAGTGTATACCTTAGTTTTCACCTTAGATTATACCTTAGATTATGCCTTAGATTTGACATTGAAAGTGGTAATACCCTTGATTTTTGATTTAATTTCTCATAGCTCATATAATGACATGGTTCTTTAATCTCATCACTTATGCATCATTTTAGGACATTTATTGACTTTGGAAATTTTTAGAATGACAATTTCCTATTTTTTAATTGCCATCATCTAAAAGCTGGCACTATTTGATGAATTAAACCAGTCTTGGCTAAATCTTCTGAAATTGGACCAAATATAGAATGTCCCAGAAGCAATTGTCTTTCTAAAACCAGTGACATTATTCTGTAACAGCTGGATAGTGAAACATCATAAAATTTGATAAAGCCTGCTAAGACGAGCATCTATTTAAAAGCTATCAACTTAGGGTTGTCCAAAACCTTTCACTTTTCATCTTGCAGTCTGGGAAGACAAATTTCATCTGGGCATATGGCAGCGCAAAGTCATTTTCTAAAATTAAGTCAGAAATAAAAGATGCATGGAAATCAAATCCAATCATTTTCTATAATGAGGATAGTATGTCTCTGGTATCAACAATGAATCCACTGGATGGAACAAGAAGTGTACCATTGGAGTCCAACAAGATCAGAACAACAGCATCACCAGATGGTTCATTTGGTGATAATGTGCACAAAGATCTTGAGGATGTCAACAATAAGATTACACCTCTTGACAAAGTTTCGGTCTCCAAACAAAGCCCAACCAAATCTCCTTTGAAGCCAAGACAAGGTGTTGCAACTGGTTAGTAGTCTTTTTTATCACCATTTGTTGTTTCTTTAATTTCAAATTGTTTCATTGGTTACCAATTTCCTCCCTTGTTTGTTTGTTTCTTAAAATATGGCATTGCAATTTTTAATTTTCATAAAATTTTACAATTATATTGAAACGATAATTCAACAAAGTTTGGCAAAATTTAATACACAAAGTTTTTAATTTAAACGAATGTTAAAAATTTTGGCATATATTTTAAGAAGTGCATAGCAACATTACAAGAATGAAGTAAAACTCAACCAAGACTCCCACTATGACTTCTTTGTTCACTTAGAAACCAGTGGCAGACACCTAGGGGGCAAATGGGGCAATCACCCCCAATACTTTGGAGGTCAATACTTTTGTTCTAAAACAATGAGAACATGTGACATCATATTATTAAAACAATAGACTTGCCCCCCCCTCCAATATCTGACCAAGTGTCCACAGGCCTGGCTGTTTGTTGCGTTTGCCTCCACCATGCTCCCCTTGTGACCTGAGACGAGCTGTCAATTGCTCTCCTGAACAGAACATGAAGGAAAAATTGCTTCCCTAAAATTTTCATTCAATTGCCCTTTTTGTATTCACAGAACCCTGAAAAACTTACAGGAGTTGCTTGGTTTATTTTGGAAAAAGTGATTTCTCCCGTCGTTGCATTTCAAAGGCAGTTCAAAGGCAATCAACAGATACTATAGGGGCTTAAGCCACTTGTGATAGTCTTTTAAGTACATTCTGTGCGTTACTGATCTAGCTCGCCACAGCAAATGAGGGGAGCAACTCACAGCTCACCTGAAAAATACAAACAGCCAGGCCTGTGTTTGTCCTGTTAGAAAACTTTCTAGATTAATATATGATATCGACTCAGTTAGATTTGGAATTGACATGACACACCATGTTTGCAATAATTAATGCATATATATTTTTTATTAATTTATATTTGTTTTTTTAACTTTTTATGTATATATCTTTCTACAAAGGTGTTTTTGTTGAATATGGAAAAGACAATTCATCAAAAATTATATCACCGCGATTAATTGGGAAAAACTGCACAAGTAGGTGAAAAAAATGTTTATATCCAATTGTTTTGATGAAAACTGTAAACTGCCAGAGATCAACAAACTTGATTTTTGACCTCAAGACATTGTCAGTGATATTCTTCATATAATTTTCAGAACAGTATATGATTTTGACTAGCAGTTCTGATATTCGCATGGTCAGATATTACCCTATTTTTCAGGTATGTTGCCTTGTAGCTAAATAGACACTAAGGGGCCCTTTACATGAGACCCGAAATGAACTCATGCTGAGTTCGTGCCTGCATGAAAATTCGGTGAAATTTGCTCGCCGTTACATGAAACCCGACACGAAACTGTTGCATTCTTTTGCATGATAGGTTCTTGATTCTTCATACCATGTAATATTTCTTATTATTCAAAAGACTCACACATCTGCTTGTTTTTAGTTGTCTCTGTTTTACTGTTAGTGAAGAAATTCAAATTACTGCTTACATTTATTGGATTCCCAGTGTTTTTTTTCCCGATATGATTACAACAAACGAGCCGAAATAAAGAGAATGACGCCAAAATCAATCCGTAGCGTCCACCGTGCAGCATTTGTGCAACATAGGCGATTTTATCACTAATTCCCCTCGACATGAAAAAATTATCTGTTTACACGACACTTTCGTGCCGGCATGAAACTTCATGCCGACACAAAAAGGCGACATGAGATTTTCGTGCCGGCATGAGTTTTCATGCCAGCATGAGTTTCATTTTGGTCAACGCCATGTAATCACAACAGAAGCTCAGACCAGCACCCGACATGAAACTCGTGCCGGCATGAAAACTCGTGCCGGCATGAGTTTCGTTTCGGGTCTCATGTAAAGGGCCCCTAATAAGTACCAGAAACCATATCCAATCAAAGGGTATATTTTGCTAAATTATTGCTTACATCCTCTGTTTGCTCAAATCAACTTTCAATTTGATGATCAATTTTTTAAGTCATTGTGAAGAAGACAAAAACCTGGTACGAAGTTGTGAGACTGAAAGAGTACAGTGTTTACTATGCTATAATTGGATCATCTGCAATGCTCACTGGGATTATTGTCATCATGTTTGCCTGCTGCTGCAGTGTACCCCGCTCATCTCGCTCGAAGTCAAAAGTCGCATTTTACAAAGTGTGAGCTATATCCTTGTATTACTCTTATACACCCTATACATTCTTTTTCTTGCTGATTTAATATTTTTCTATGTGTAATTTCTATTCCATGAATTTATAAAACCTAATGTTTTTTATTCTTTTTCCCGATTCCACAATATTTTTCAGATGTTATTTAAGGTTTCCCAACATTGCATTGCATTTAAAACTCAGATTATTTCATTCCTATGTTTTGTTCAAGGGTAATTTTTAGATCCATCAACAAATCAAGAGGGAAACAGTTTTAACTTGAGATTTAAGCAGTTCAATTCTTGTGTAATGGCTGGAAAGCATATACTTCCTGTTTTGTTGTCTTTCTGTTCTAGTGTTGTAAAGTATTGTTAGTTAACTATAAATTTTGCAAAAGCACCTGAACTGGCCAAAAATGGTTATTATTTTCTGTTTACTAATATTACCTGAAAGGTTTTAACCAATTTTTAAGGCACCATCAGGCCTTGCCGTAAGACTTTTAACAGGGGAGCAGTAAACAGCTCTCCTAGAAGTATTCAGGTGAGCTATAAGAATAGAAACAAAGGAAAAATTGATTTCAAGGAGAGCAAATTTGCTTTTTAGAACAATTTAGGAGAGCAATCTCTAGCTCCCCTCCAGCGTTTGAGGAGAGCCTGGAGGGGAGCAAGAGCTATGGCTCTCCTCAAATGGCCAGGCCTGCACCATTACAAGGAAGAGGCTGCTAATGCTTTGCCTCATAAGCTAAGTAATTTATGTTACATTCAAAAACCTCAGCATTTGGTTAGCTGTTCACATAATGTCAGCCTCTGGTTCTTTTTTAGGGATGATTACGAAGATGAGCAGGTAGAATTCCTGAAGGATAAGGCCTAAATACCTGACCATAGGTGGTAAGTTTAAATTCTATTTCTTTCACTGTCTTGTTTCAATACCGATATAATGCCAAAATTGATAAAGATGAGCTTTAGGGCCAATTTTCAAACTGCACCGCTGCAAGGCACTGTTGGTGCCAAAATTTGTATTTGAAATTTGCTCTAACCATTAACCAACTGAAGATGAAGCTATTTTTATCTAACAAATTAACTTTCTATAATTCAATGTGTGATTAAATGTCCAGTATGTCACCTTTGGGCCAACCAATAACGGGGCTTATTCTCCAATCCAAAATCTCTCTATCCTTTATTGTAGATATAAAGGCCAGCCAATAACAGGGAACAACTTGCGACAGGACTTGTCAGGCTGTAGAAGTAAAGTTGACATTGTGGTACAATGCTAATGTTTCTGTGAAGGATTAAAGCCTGAACACATTTCATAATATCTCAATCTGTAGATTGCTCTCAGGTCTTTAGTTATTTAACCCTCTTCAAGCTCTGCCATATGATAATTAGTGACAGGGATTGACAGGGAAGGTAGAGTAAAGAACTCTCATCATGTTTTTTGTGGAGTTTTTCAAGAAAACAGCGAAAACGTTTTTCAGCAATTCTTTTTCAAGTTTGCTCTTAACTCCATGTTGATAAATCAATTTGCTTCTCATGAATATAACTGTCAGAAATAAAATGGAAAATTTCACTATATCCTTGCTAATTTTTTTGGTTAAAGAACATTTGTTCCATCATGGTTAAAGAACATTTGATCTGAATTTATTCCAAAAAAGGATTTGCTACTGTAGAATCACAAAAGTTAAAATTTTGTAGAAAGATGAAAATTTCCTTTTTGTGTTATTTTGCTTGTAAAAATTGCTTGCTTGGTGTAGCCAGTTGTTAGTGGAAGAAGACTACTAATATTTGATAATTAGATGTCGTTTAGATATTTATTTGCTTTTTTAGCTGCTGATGCATCAAAATTTCAGTAAACTATTTCAATTTGTTTGTGTTTGCTCTTCTTTCTAAAATAGTTCACTGTCAAAATAACTCTGTCAATTTAGGTGTGGTATTACCCATGATCAATACCTTTGGACTTCCAAACTTTGGATTTTTTTGTGAAAACCGAAATTTCGATTTAGTTTGTAAGTAACTGCCAGTTTGGTTTTTTAAACTGGTGAATGTTTTGGTTACTAATGTAGATAGATACTCGAACAAGAAAATATACCTTAACCTATCATTCCCTATGTGTTTTGACCGCGGTTTTTGTGTCCCTTTTCGCAACAAACTGCCACTAGACTTTAACTTGACAAAGTTAGGTTATAAAATGACCATTATTAAAAGTTGTCGATCGAAGGAACTTCCATGATCGGAACGCTCGCAACACTACTACTCTGTTAGAAATTACCTATTAGAATCATTTCGTGTACGAAGTATGAGTACGCTACGTGGTGGATCGAGGGAACGCATATATATTTAAATATAGACGCTTTTCCGTACTTTTTTGCTATGCAAGGCATGCTCGTTTCCCTGTGATTAGTGTGCCGATTTCTATTGCTTGCGGCCACGTACTGACGATGACTCAACGTCGTCAGCAAGCCAACGATCCTAAAAACTAGTGTCTCATTGCCCGAAGGGAAGCTGGCACAGCTTGTAGCAAAAACAATTGACCATTTGTGGCATCATGTAATTTAAGAAACGGATATAGAAGCAATAAAGGTTTTGATTGGTAAAAATGTATTCCTCTGCTCCTACCTTGAAGCCACCTCCGCATGCACTCTAGTTACTGAATATCCAAACTGAATCCTAAATGCATCCAGGCAGTACTTGAAAGAACACTAAAATTATCCACCTTTTTATGGTATTGACTTCAAAAAGCAAAAGCCCTGCAAAGGACTTTCACAGCCAAGTTATCTAATAGCTTAATAGCCTGAGCCTTACTTACTCCTGATACTTTTAGTCTGGGTTCTGGAACTCAGAGTAATAACTTAACAAACTGAAAAATGACCAGCAGAAAAGTAGTTGTTCAAAGGAAAGTCGACTGTAGTACATGACACGTAGGTGTTCGCGATGCCGGAGTCAAGTGAGGTACTCCCTCTTTTTAGTAATGCGCACATTGTTTTACTGGTTCTCTCTTTTAAGATCACGTAAAGAAGACCCCCTTTTTCTTGGAACCAGTTTCCCTCTCTAACTCTGCCGTGCCTAGCTTTACAAGACGTCAACTTCCCGAGCTGGGGGGTTTTGCCCAAGTGCTCCGAGACATAGTCTATGCCTGAGGCAAATACAAAGCAACAGCTGTTTAGCTTGGAATGAGGCCTCCTTTCTATTGACTCTAGACGGACTTGACAATGAAGAAGTGCACCGCATCTCTCATATTTTTGTAACAACAAATAAACGTAAAGCAGCAAATTTTTGTGTACGAAAGTTTACCTATTTCAACGTATTCATAACTGTCTACAACAGCACCTAAAGAGTACCAGTATTATTCGTATACAGCGACAAGATACCTACCTTTAATTAATGTAGAAAAGTAAAATAAAATAATCTCGCTGCATTGCTGGATAGTTTAATGAAAAATAAAGTATAATTGACTACTACTTGTGATACGTAATGACTGTCAGTTTATGTCAAATATATTGCGTTGCTTTAATGCAACAAAAAGTTCTTCCTACTTATGAAACGGTTGAACGGTACATTTCTCCACATGCGCCTGTTCGACATGACTTTTGTGAAATCTGCAAGAGAGTTCCGTTGGACAGCTTTCTTTAGCTGAACCATTGTATTCGATCTACTCGTTGGTCGGAAGTCTCCTCTGAACTTCAGGTCAATCAATATCTCCTGTATTTTGCCATTCAGCCTATCCAGGTTGCGTTTGTAATATTTAGTCACCAGTCGTTTTGTTTCTCGCTTTTCTCTTGCAAACGTTATTTTGAACAAGTTCTTTTGCTGTCTTCTTGTTATGGTAAACGACTGCAATTTTTGGGCCTATTTCAAAAAGAAAAACTTCATGATTGTGGGGGAATTTCGTGCAACTCAACATTTGCGTTGGTTTCTCTACCAACAATATTCCAGCTGGTCCAAAGAACAACAATGCAATATCTAAAGAAACAATACAATGCTACCAACCTTGATGTACTTTTTGGCTTTCCCTCCAAACTTCCCAACACCACCAGCGATTTTCTTGGCGTACAAATCACCCAAACCAATGGCACGGAGATCCCTTAGAACGACTTTCTTCCTTTTGTATTTGATATCATAGCCTCGACCAACAGTAATGCCAGACCAGGCACTTGGGACGTGTAACTTCCTACTGAAGTATCGGCTTCTTGGATTGTCATTTCCCTCGGCATCAAATGTCACCTGACCTTCGTCAACTTTCAAATCACTATCTGCAATGCAAAAATGAAAAATTAATGGAGGAAAAAAAAATTTAACTCTAACACTACCAGGATATACCGTGGTACACAGGGGCGAAACTACCGGGGGGGGTGTGGGGGGGGTGTGACACCCCCCCAATCCAAAAAATAGTCGATTTCGCAGGGCAATCGAAGATTTCGCAGGGCGCCAAGAAGAGCTTTATTGCCACGCAGAAATGCCACCTCTGAAGTTCATAAAGAGCTGTTAAGGAATTTTGAAATGGAAATATCATATTTGTTATGAATCTACCTTCCCGACATTGCATTTTAGAGAACGGAACAGGTATGTAAGGAAAAGCTCCGTTATTTGCAAAGCGAAAGCATTTCTTACCGAAAAAGGCCATTTCTTCCGAAAGTCATAGCCAATGGATGCAATGATTCAATGCATGATGTTATGAGGGCAATTGAGTCATGCAAAATTAATTTAAGTTTGTAAATTATTTTCATGATAAGCACGGCCTCATTGGCTTCACTGGAGGGGAATTAAGAGGCTGAACGCCTCCACTTTGGTCAAAGTAGGATTTTTTTTATCATTTTTTTCTATTACTTTTGAACAGTTGCATGAACTAAAAACATAATAAATCTTAAGATGCGATTTTTGTTTTCATCTAATTGCTAACTTTTTTACGTAATATTTTTATCATTTTCCTTTTACTTGCATTAATTCAGTAAATATATTCTGTATCATTGCAATGTTTTATATTTGGGAAAGTGTAAACATGGCCTTCTCGATACATAGAAACTGCACATTTCTGTTCAGGAAAAAAAATTCTCCCAATCAAAACAACATCTTCCTCTTGTCATTCCACAACTACGTGCAATCTGAAACGAAAGGTTGCCGTTTCTTTCTTTCCCTAACGTCTACACTAGAGTTTTAGCATGACATCCCCCTCCCTATTTTTCCAATAAAACAATAATATTTTTAATAAACAATCGAGTTTATTGAACAAAACAATCAGCCACAAAAAGCATTTGCTAAATTTTGTGTCTTGGAAGATGCTTTTTTAGCCCTTTTACAAGGTATAATTTTCAAAAATTTCTTCACGTCGGACCCAACATGGTGGGTCCTCCTACCTCACTAAACTTGTCTCTTAGCCCACTGGGCTAAATTTTCGTTGCGCGTTTACATCATGTACCCTACACCCCCAATTTAGGCCTTTTTCTTAGTTTAAATTCAAGGGGCTTTAAAAATTTTGCAAAACCAACATTTAAATGAAGTGATATAGAAAAACACAATTTACGCTCACTACAGAAATAAAATTTCATATGCAATGAAGTTTCAAGTTTGTTTTTACTGCTTAGAAGTTGGTCCTTGGTAAAGACCAGTGTACACTGGTAAAGCTTTCACTAGTAACCTATAGACAAACCGTTGCTACGAGGTCTGCAGGGCACCACTCAGTTTTGCAGGGCAGAAACCCTTTTCACCCCCTCAAAACTATTGGCCAAGTTACGCCCCTGGTGGTACATGGGCTCCAACGCAGGTTGAAAAGTGGATGGGCCAAGAGAAAATATAACAATCATAACAAAAGGTTTTATAAAAAGCTCTATTGCTTTGTAAAAAAGGAGGGGGGCATGCCCCCGGCCCTCTTCGTCGAAGGCCCTGTGGTAAAAAAGTACCACCCCTTTCAAATACTCTACTCTGGAATATACACATAATCTCACGTGGTAAATGAATTGACAAGCTTGAGCCACTTAGGTACCAAAAAGGATCCCATGGACGCTTATTTTGCCAAGCTTCAATAAGTCAGTCTTCACTGTAAAGCGGTCTTAAGCTGAAGAGAAGTTTGTTTCGTTTTTAGATGAAGTAGTGCAACCACTTTTTTGACATACTTGAGGATCTCTTGAGTTTTACTGGGACTATTCGTTAGGAAAGACCCAAACTAACGACTGGACAATTGTTACAGACTTGTCAAGATCAAAATTTTGTTTACCAAATGCAAAGTTTTTACAGGCCAAACATTGCTCGCAATACTTTCTATATCGATAAATTAATTTATCAAGTTTTTCTACCATGATGAGAATCGCCGAGGTTTTGATATGTTTCTTTTCACGCAATTTGTAATTTAGAAATAAACTAAGAATCGTACTTTTGCCTTACCTCCAGCACAAACTGAGATCAGCAAGAAAGTGATGAGGCTTAAACTGCAAAATATAATTTGTGGTTATTAGCATTAAATCTTCTCAGTTAAATTAAGTCAAATATTTAAGTCGAAATTGATCGTTAAACCGAAACTGAAATCAGGGTGCGCTAGTTGCTTGGGGTGAGATTTAGCTCCTGCCAAGACGTTTATATATTTCAAAGTTTGTTACAAAAAAGTAACCGGTGGAATTCTTTTATTCTACAGCTTTTAACCGCCCTTCTCCTTTGAAAAGTTAATATTTTTATAAGTTGATATCCATACACACATTTTTTATAAGAATACCTTGCTGAGCTTTAATAATCTTGCAAATTTTCAAAAAATTTATAGACGGGTTCGGTAATTATTCTTAAGGTCATGTCATTTAACAACATACATGTAAATTTCGTTAATGCTTAGTTGCCCTGGGTACCAGAGTCACATAAATTGAAGCGGAGATGCGTCTACTTGGTATTCTGTTTACGCGCTCGAAATTGTGTGGCTCTGGTACCCAGGGTAGGATTCCATGGCAGCTGCACTTCCGATAAATTTTTGTAAAAAAAACGGCTGCACTCTTGCACAAGTATTGAAATTGTTTGACAACTGTAGTTGCGAGAGAACAATTAGTTTCAAAGTGAAATTTCTCCAAGTGGATGACGTCATCAAAATATCTGATTTCCGCTCAAACTATTTCGCATTCCATCTCAAATTTAAAATCTGCATAGTTAATTTAGTGCAAAAGTGCAAGAATAGTTAAGGTCAAGTCCTTACCTGATTTTTAAGGTTTTCTATCATTTTTGTTGACGTCATCAAAACAAGTAACTTCCGGATTTAGTTTGAATGTGAAATAAAATTTGAGGTAAGGCAGTTTGCTAGTTCTTTCTACAACGAAAACTGCCATGAAATCTAGACTGGATTGCACTGCTCATAACTTTAAGAACAAATAAAGCCTAAAAATTTTATTTTTTTGGCTCTCTTATGAATTTTTCTACCTACGTTACTTATTGTCTCAAGAGATAGGCATGGCCTTATGGGTCAAGAAAACAGTATTTTCTCGGTCTGTCACGAAGGGAAGACCAGCTCTGGTTCATGGCTGTACAAAAGCTGGTAAATAAAGAAACAGGTTCTAAGGTTTACAAATCTCTTAACTCTCTTGCACCTAAATATCTCAGTGACCTATTCGTGAGATTATCCGGGTACATTCAAAAGAGTTAAAAAAAACTCTAAAACAGACCTTGCAATACCCATGTTTAGAACTGGCAATGGCCAGAAACCCTTTGCGTATCGTGGGGCCAGTCTCTGGAACAGTCTCGATTTGGACACAAAAATGGCTCCCTCCATCAATGCCTTCAGGCCCAAACTCAAGGAAAGATAATCCTTTTTTATAAATTGAGGTGTATTGTTGTAAATTTATACATCTTTGAATTAGCCATATTCCGCTCTTTTTATAGTAAATTTCATAGTATATAACTTTTTAATTTTGTAAGTAGTTTTTGCAGGGCCAATTGTAAAACAGTTTTTAGACTGAATTTGTAACCTGGGTAAATAATTTTAGAGTGAAAATGAAATGAAAATAGCAAAGCCCATAAATTCTTATGGCAAACAGTGCATTGGACTTGACATTAAGTACAAACTTCATGTAATATAAATAGATGAACAAATTACCTTATCATTGCCATTTTGTCGTTTCGAAATGCTTGGTTTCGGAAGACGTCTGTCCGCAACAACAGTGTTGTTCAGCCAAGCCAAGTCACAAAATTCGGAAACGGAAGCTTTCTGATTAATCTTCACCGGAAACCGGAACTGTTTCGATATGCCCCCTTTAAATTGGCTTCATGGTCAAGGTCCGTCTATGCTGCTATTCGGAAGCAAAGGAGAAGATAAAGATGAGGTTTCATCATGTTTTGTGTTCTTTTCTGTAAGTATAGTATTATCATTCATTTCATGTTGTCTCGCATAGGATGTTTTTTCATAAAATTCTTTTTTGAAGTAAAGGTAAAGCATGCGCGCTGCGCGACCTTACTGTCTACACCCCGCGTGTCCACCCTTATTCAGTGGTGTATCCAAGCTCATCCAAGAGATCGCAAAAACATCTTGAGAAAACAAAATGCAAACATTGCAACTGTAGGATTTGCAAAACTTTTATATATAGTTTAGGTTTTCTGTAATTATTATGTATTTCTTTTGTATACACCTTTTGTAAATAGTTGGCCTTAATTAGCTTTTATTTTTAGCTATTTCGAACAGCCAATTCGAAATCAAAGTATTAATAAAAACAACAATAATAATAATAATAATAACAATAATAACAAAAATAAAAGGACTCCTTTCTTCTGACTTAAAGTGCCTATGCAGCGAAATTTACCGGGACATAGGTATATATCACAGAGAGAAACGTGCCTTCGAATAAGAATATATACCTGTGATTATATGTAACTATGTTTACTCAAGAGAGAGAACCTATGTCGCCAGAGACTTCGGAAGGGGCAAGGGGGCAAGCTTGAGTAAAAGGGTATTCGAAAAAAAATTCCCAGCTACTAACAATTCGCTCGTAACTATCATTTTGTTTCGATCTCAACCGATTCTAGGTATCATGAAAATCGGCTAACTTTTGTCATTAATAAGGCAGTACCGTCAGAATTTAATATGAATATTTTGAGGATCACAAACGGCCGTTGTCATGGGCACTTCTATGAAGCTATTTTACGAGTCAAAAAAGTCAATAAAGTACATCAAGTCCTATTAAAATCAACTAATAGAGAGTGCGGGAAAATAACCGACCCGAGCGAGATTTCCCGCACTCTCTATTAGTTGTCTTTAAAATCCTGTTGCCTTTACACTTCCTATTAAAATTATATTTTATTGCTAAATTTTGATTTATTGTATTGTATTTATTTGTAGTGGATTGCTTTTCGTCATTTGTGCTGCTCTTCCCTATCATTCATACTTGGTAGCTCTAATAATGATCTACATTTATGTAGTATAAGAAACTTGGTCAGCTTGCTCAGAAGCTTCTATCAGTCAAGGTCCTGTTAAAATTAAAGTTTAAAAGAAAATTAAAAGATGTCAAATTACAATATCAAATTTAAAAATATCTAAAAACTACATATGTGAAGTTTCAAATTCACTGTCAAGTTGATCGTATTATCTCTTGAAATTTATTATAGACTGTTCTTGTTTCAAAGTATAAGGTAGTTTGTTATGTAGTTTTGATCCCTGAAACAGGAATGTCTTTCTACCCGCTTCTGTGCAAACTTTTGGGTGCAGGAGATTGGTCTTATTTCCACGGGTTTTCTTCTGATGCAGAATTTTCTTGAAATAATCTTTGAACATTCGAGGTGCCAGTCCATTTTGGCATTTAAACACCTCAACTAGGCATTTCTTATTTCTTGCATGATGCACAGTTGGTAGTTCCACTCCTTGGCTCTTTCCGTTGATGATAGCTAAGACTCGATTTCGGATTCTTTCAAACACCCCCCCCCCTCCCCCAATTCAAAATCAGGCTCCATCGTCCCTGACACGATTCATGGCTAAAAGAACGGAAGGCCCGGCTACACGAAAGGATACTCAACAAGAATAACAATATTCTTTTATTATTCTTGCTTGTATTGCGATGAAGAATTTTTCAAAGAATAATCTTATCACCTCATTTTTCCATTGTAAGAATATTCTTGTGAAGAAATAATAAACTCTCTCTGAGCTATTTTTATGGTGGACGCCGTGGACGCCCCGTCGTTTGCAGTCTGGGTGATTGGTTAGGTCTACCTCCGGACAATATTCATAAGCTTTGGAAACCTTCAGAAGATGGAGCTCGAAAATGGCACTTTGATTCGTTTTCTATTGGCCTTCCTCGCGTTCATTGAACATACGATCGCCATGTTTACCGGGCTATATGAAAAAAGTACATACAACAACGTCTGGAATGTAATAAAAGCTACTCTAGCGAGTTGGGGCTACAATTTTTTGGCAATTCTTTCCTGCAAGAATATTCTAACAAGATCTTGAGGATGTTCACCGGGGTCAATATTCACTATTGCTGTTGCTCAATATCAGACTGTTGCTCAAATATTCAAAGAATAGGACGATGACGCAAATGGATTATTCTTTGAAAAATTCTTCACCGGAATACAAGGAAGATTATTCAAAAAATAAATTCTTTTGCTTAAAATAGTATTATTGTTAATAGACAGATCTTTTAAACAATCGCTTATGTGCTGTTGCTGTTGCGATAATGGTATCGGTTTTGCTGCATGTCACGTGATGGTTACAGACCAGCATTGCATCAGACGTTGTACTTTTTGCCGGGTGCATCTACATTGCATCAGATACTTTCTAGCGTTTTCCTGATTGGCCATGAACATGAAATATATATTTCTATTGACCTTATTTAGAAAAATATCTATTATTTTCATAATTTTAACCTTTGCCCCTATTTATTCATATAGATATCGTGTAACATAGTTTTTAGAGACACTAGCCGAAAGCTGTAGACGAATAAAGCTGCTGCCGAAATAATTTGCTGTTGTCGAAATAATTTGCTGCTTTAGACGAGCCGTTCATTCATTCGAGTTCTTCGGCTCAAGGCCGTAAACTAATTCTACTTATTATTTAGAACTCACGCGTTTATGTTAGATCAAACTAGCGATTTAACATTTGGTGCCCGGTGTGAGGAAGATGATTGAACGAGATAACTTTTTGAACGCAATAACTTTTTCAGTATTCAAGATGTTTTAGCACGTTAGAATTTATTGTTAGCCGTTAAATGATCAGTTTTCACGTCTTATCGAAGATCAAAGCCGTTTTTCTTCAATTATAGAGAAATCTTTACAAAGAGTGAGCTTTGTGTATTTGCCTTACACCGAGTGAATTCAGTTTATTATCCTTGCAAAGAGTGAACTTTGTTTATTTGCGTTGCATCATTTGGTTTAAATAAAACGATTTTATCTGCAAGATCTCTTTTTGTGGAAATACAAGTTTCTATTGGACTTCCAGTGTGTGCGTACTCGCTGCATTTCTTTTCTTTGACTGACTCAATTTTGCTGAAGAACTACCGTCCTATTACGTGCCTCAATACCTCATACAAGATCCTGACAGGAATGCTTAATGGAATTTGGGACAAAGGGCAGCTTGGAGCTATGGAAGGTGCACTAGGTACAGTTGACCAGCTCATAGTTGACAGATGTATTATGGAAAAGGTCAAACAATATCAGCGCAACCTTGCTGTGGAATTTTATATTACAAGAAGGCGTATGATAAAATCTACCACGATTGGATGATCAGAGTATACGAATGGATTGGGATACCAAAAAAGTCATTAAATTGATTCAAGAGTTTATGAATAAATTGAAAAGAAGATTGGAGATCTGGGATGGAAATGAAATGACAAATAGATGGATCCAGATACTTTGGATTTCTTCAAGGAGATAGCTATTCACCAGTGGGGTTTTGTATTAGCGAGATACCTATGTGTATACTACTTCAACTCAGCAGAGGATATATAATGGGAGGACCGGGCAATCGCATTATTAAACGAGCACACAGTGTGTTTGTAGACGATCTGAAAGTGTATCAAGAAAGCCATAATGTCTTAAAGATAATCAATGAGACGATTGTATAAGCTAGCCACGACACTGGAGCCTGCTATTGAGTTACAAAGTGTGCAGAGATAATCTTCAAAAATTGAAAAATGGTGTATGGTGAAGGATTGAAGGTGCTTGAGGAAAGGATGAAGACTATGGATCCTGATGACAACGAGATTTACAATTCTTCTCTACAATCAGCTACGTCACTACGGTATCCCATGAGAGGCGAGCGCATGCGCTACTGGTCATTGCGAACATTTGCTACTGGCATTCGGCTGCGCTTTTCTGTGCACTCTTCGCAAAGACTTGTAAATACAATCGCCTTATTATGTGTATAATTTCTACAAATAATAGCCGTGTTTTTCAAGGTTATTGACATACTTACAAAAAACTTTGTTCAGCTAAACTTTGCCTTGTAGGTAAAATGGACGATAATAACCCGTAGACTTACCCTCAAGAAAATGAGGTTGAGATTAGTGGTGCAAATCAAATTAAGTCTCCTACGACTGCTAATTTAAACCAAACTCTTTCAGACATAAATTCAAATTTGAGCTGCATGTCAAAAATTCTCATTAAGATTGCGACGGATCCAGATGAATCCTTTTCTGTACTTTCTCGACCGCCCAAAGGGCATGAATTTGAGTCCACTGGACAAACTGACTTTTTCTCTACCAGGCATTTAGAAAAACTGTCCACCGGACATAAAGGGCAATATTCCTCCACCGGAGTTTCCTAGAATGAGCCCACCGGGAATAGCGATAGTTTTCCCTCTCCCACGGGACTCTCTAGGGGTAAGCGCCCTCTAGGTCTTGCCTTATCATCTAAAAATTCCAAGAAAGTGTGTTTCTCTGAAAATGGTAATGATGATGATGATGAGCTAAGTTTGCATGCACCGAGTGATGATGAATGTGCCATCTCCCTTTCTGATGCGGTTAACGACCTTTTATCGAATGAAAATCGAAGGAAGCCAACAGTCGACGAAGAGTCACTACTTGAGAAACTTTGCCCAAGCACTTGAAACTCCATCAGATGTTGCTGATAATGTCGACCCAAAACTAGCCTCTTTTTTAAACTCGCGTTGGGCTCTCTATTCAGCATTGGCGGCGCCAGCTATTACAAAGTGGGAGGGTAAAGGGCGTGGCCAGTATGATCACGCCCCTTTGCCTCGTTCCAGTGATTCGTCCGAGTTCAGTAGATTTCAATAGATTCTCTTGCACTCCTTGGTCATGCCACAGCAAAATTTCAACCCTAAGGCGAACTTCTATGAAACCAGCCCTTAAACAAGACTACCAGTCTCTCTGAACCAACCTCTCAGAATTAAATATGCTTGTTGAAAAGCAAACGAACTCTATAAAAACCAAAAAAGACGACATTGCTTACCCAATGATTTTTGTCATAAAATTTAATTTTTCACCATTTGATTGGATTCCCACCTCTCCTGTGATCTAAATACAGCAAGACGTCCAAACATCATAATATTTCGTCTGTTGCATTGTTTTCTAGCATCCTGGCGATTTCGTCAAAGCTGGTGGCTGGCGGTATGTTCGTTTGTATATTTTTGCACCATTTATGGTTTGAAATAGTAATCTAATAAAAATTCACCATGATTGATTCCACAAAGGGGGTTTTATTGAGGGCTAAATGTCGGTAGGGATATTTTTTGGCATGTGGTAAAGTAGAAAGCAATTGGCGTCGCCCGGTTTTTCTCGGTTCTCTGGCGAAAAGCGAGACCATAAGTCCAATGTAATTCTGTGTTATAAAAATGAAACTGGTACCAAAAGGTCCGTATTTTGTATAAATTACCCTTTGGTTGTCCTGTAGGTTTTGCATAAATTACCTCTTACATGCCCGAGGTTGCCCTGCAGGACTTGGTGTGTTATAGGTTATCATGGGTTTTGTATCATCATGATACGACCACTGTTGTTATACATAACCATTTTTGTTTAGTTATAGTGTTGTGGAGTGATGAAGTCATATGAACAGATTTTTGAGAATTTTTATTTCTACCATGTAATTTGAAATAACTTTATGACATAGTACGACTAATGTATGAGATATAGACGAACCAACTCAAATACTCTCAAATCACTATTTTTCAGCAAGGAATCTGTCGGTATTTTACAGGCATTTCAAAAACCTAGTCTCAGTAAACTTGTTTAGGAGCAGATTCTTAACAGATTTAACTTGATTTGTACTATTACCGATTTTCAATATCGGCATTTCAATGGAATTCAAAGAATCTAAAAATGAATTTTGATGACGGCATCATTTCTTCGCTCTATGCAGTCAAAGGTCTACCAAGGGGCACCGAAAGGCGCACCGCAAGTTGCCCCGGGTTTTTGAGGTCTAAGAGGCCTCATAAAGAAATGAATTCAATTTTAAGAATGGATTTAATCAAACGTTGCAAAAATATGCCTAGAAAAGTAAAACGTTTTAAACGATTGCTAGAAATAACTGCAAGTAATAATGTTAAAAGCATTTTAAGCTAATCTGAAAGGCGTGGTCGCAGAAATTTTCTTGTCTTTTGGTTTTGCCCAAGAGCCTCCGAAACCTCTTGACAGCCCTGGGTTTACCTAAAGATACTCTATTCCATTGACTATGCTCAAACCAATTTGTTGGACCTCTCTAGACGAAGAGGAAGAGGCGTAGTATACAAATTCTGATTGGGGCAGTGACTTTCTTGCCAAGGTTTGCAAGCTACTTTGCTCTACGATTCAATTAAACGATGATAGCGAAAAAGCATGTCCGTCCATGTATTCAGCAGGCGGTCCATGTATTCCCTGTTGCAGACTTTCTCTTGGGATGTTCATATATTAATTCCGTACAGGGGCGGATCCAGAGCAAATTTGAAGGAGGGACAGTTGGTAGTGGGGGCGCTGAAAAATTTTCAAAAATTTCAACTGCCCCTAGTTGCCCCTCCCCCTTTAAATCCGCCACTGATTCCGTATCTATTTTTCTAATCCATAGCGCCATTCGGTCATCTTTCTCATGCTCAATCTTCGATAATTCACTTCAATACCAACATAACCTATCCGTTTTGTAGAATGTGGCGGTATCTTCAGTAACTCCAGCGGGGTAATCAAGTCTCCTCTCTTCGGTCAAAAGAAGTATCCAGCCAACTCTGACTGTGTGTGGAAGATTTCAGTGAAGGACTTTACAAAAAGGATTCGGCTAATTCTCTCTACTTTCAAAGTAACTATTTTCAGTTATTATTTGTTGGTAAATCCTATCCTTTGTAAATCATATCAACTGTCGCCAAATTCACGAGCTTGTATCCACAACTCGTCTCTCCCTCCCAAGAGCTTGTAATCTGTTGAACATTTTGACCTGTCTTCTCTATAAACGAAAATCAACAAACTTGACCTCATCATCCTCTTTTCATAGCCCCTTCCGTCCATTTTTCCTTTTTGCTAACATAATCAACTAAAAAGCCCTCAACTAGCCTCTTAAATACTTTCATAACTCAATTTTATACAGTTCAGTTTTTACTTTGTTATAGCTTGAAGATAGCCATAACTGCTACCACGACAGTTTATCTGTCTACAACGGTCTTGAGGCAAAAAAGGAGGCAAGAATTGGCAAGTTTTGTGGGACAGCAGTTCCAAAGTATATCATTTCATCGGGAAATTCGATCCTGTTGCATTTCCATTCAGACAGTAGCACCAGTGGAACAGGATTTCGAATTATTTACGGCGAATCGCATGGTAATTTTAATAACTCACCTTTTTTGGAGACGAACAAGAGAAAATTTTAAATGAGAGAAGCAGCCCCCGTTTTTAATCAAAGAGCATGCGCATGGATTTTAATTATTGTTATGCTTGCTCTTTGACTGGGAGACGGGGGCTGTCACATATACTAGAAAACTTTATCTCGTTCGTCGCTAATACATCAACTGCTACGTTTTCTGCTTTAAACTTTGATTCATGATTGTAACTTTTGGCTTCAAGGCTTTCAAGGTTCTCAGTTCGAGGCTTTTGACTTACCGTAAAAGCTCTGTTACGACACAGGGTCTCCACACCGAGAATATCACGTGACAATTACATTATTGCACTGTAATTGCATCAGCGTCTAGTTCATCAAGACAGGGAGGCTGCTTCGACGAAGGCACCATGAGTATTCAAATCCAAACATGTCATGCATAGCTCCTTTTTACACGTGGCTCAAACTCCCCCCTTGTATTTCTTTCGAGGCTGATCATCCACCCATTATAGCTTCTTTAATACCGAACAGTTTTTCAATAAAAGCGTTAGTCTCCTCAAACAAACAGTTAAGGCTTCTTTGATCAAATTTATCACTGGAGCTGAAATTTTTTCATATGGGTGTAACCTAGTAAGCTTTTTAATTCGTTCTTCTTCAGGCTGTGACCGTGAATATGAAGGATCTCAAGGTATCGTCACATCTCCTGACTATCCAAGCAATTACCCTCGCAGCATAATGTGCAGCTATCAAATAACAGTGCCTGAAAAACATATAGTTGAGCTTGCTATAACAGACATTCAAATTGAAGGGGGCGAGAGTGAGTAGATTTCTCGTTTATTGTATAATTTTTTTCATCAAGAAATGACTTTGTATTTTTTTCATCAAGATATTTTTTTGGTCGAAATTATGCTTCAAGAATAGTAACATAGCAAAATTCCTCTAAGCAAATTTTTCACTTGCTTCTAGAAAAAGGATCATGCCAATTTGACTACGTTGAAATATTTGATGGGGACCTGGAGAGCTTAATAGGCCGCTTTTGTGGTAGTTATTCGCCGGTCGCTGGGAGAATTTATTCCACCAGCAGGACAATGTTTTTGAGGTTTTTCAGCGACCAATCAGTGACTGGACGTGGTTTCAAAGCAGTATTTAAAGGTTAGAGCTTTTAAATGTCAATGTAAGTTATGTTAATGAACGTAAACAATGTCACATCTTACTGAAATAACCGATTTCGTGTCAAATGAAGGGTTCGGGTCGTTGCAGTTTGTAAATTCTCACAAGAGACCCCACACACAGCGAGGGTTTTGCCACGAGTAGCAGAAGTTATCAAATATGCTAGATATTTTCCTCAGACGCACAAAAAACTGAATCTTCAGTGAAAATGACCCGTAAGTGGCCAGAATTTAACTGAGTAAAGGCACGAATGAACAGGGAGGAATTTTTGCTGAGGGTTGGGATGCGACACTCCCCCCTCCCAATTTTTTGCGTCTTTCGGTAAATTTTACTTAGGGTCGGTAGCAAGAACTTAAGGGGAGTCAGTAGTAACCAAATAATGCAAAAAAGTTTTTTATTTATCTTGTTATGTCCCTTATCTAAGGCTGAGAATAAATTTTGAATTGGGCGTTTCCATCATTTGAAGGGTGTGGCACCAAAATTCATCCACCATCTAACCCTCGTTGCCTCTCAGTCTTTGCCGTTTAAATCCGCCCCTGCAAATGAAACTGCAATTTGTTGTATACTAAATTTCAAATGGCACAGAAAGGCACTGGCAAACAGATACAAAGATAAACATTTCTGTTTCTTGTACAATTGTTTTTGAATTTTATTTTCATTTTTCAAAATCCTATACATTATTTCAGCAAAGCTATTTCGGAGGTGTGCTGAAAATAATGGGGACTGTGAGCAAGTATGTTCCGCTATACCTAATGGAGTAAGGTGCTCCTGTTTTGGAGGCTACAAGTTGAAGGAAGATGGTTTGTCTTGTGAAGGTAATGAATGAAAACCCCTGTTAATGCGCGTCTTTCGATACCTTTCTTCGACATAAGCAGTATATTCAACAACTCGAAGGGGGTTGCCCATTGTATTCTTTTTTTAATTCAGTTCACGGTTATGAAAGCAATATACTACAGTTTGATCATTATTGGGGGCTCCAGCCTCCCCAGCTCTCCTGGTGCCGACAGCCCTGCGACTTAAAGCAATTTGGAAAGAAAACAAACGTATCGCAAAAACTTTGTTTATTTACTTATTTGTTTAAAAGTTTGAATTGATTGACAAGTTTTCGAAAGCAAATGGATGTAGGAATTCCGAGCAAGATATCTTTTAATTTCATGTGAATTTCTTAACCTTTGTTGACGATTTCTCAATATTCTCTAGCTGTTTGTTTGCCTTGTTGACACCCAGTAGTAGTGATTTGGCGCTCCCCTTTGGATCGCTTTAGTAGAATTTCGGAGCAGACTGTAAGTAGAATAGAAATTCCATGTAAAAAAGATAAATAGTCGATGCAATTTTTTAAAAATTACCTGACAAATTTATAATCATTTTGGTGCTTCTCACTTCTGTAAACTGGTGCAAAGCATTTAATGATTAAAATACAGCTTTAAAAGGGATAAAGTTACATAATTAGCAAATATATTCTTATCAGTTATCGCATATATGATATATGTAAAATATATTCACTCTTATCACATGAATAGGCCACTGTTTAATATTCTCAGGTCTTAGGCAATGAAAATATTTTCTATGAAGTTAAGGTATATTTCAATGATTCTAAAAAATTCGTACACAGCTTTGTAAAAATGTTTCTTTTCAGACATAGATGAATGCTCGCCAACTAGGAATCCTTGTATCAACGCTATCGGTTGTGAAAATACCAAAGGTTCATTCAAATGCCAATGTAGGGATGGCACTGTTCTCGATAATGATGGCTTAACTTGTGTTGGTACGTTATTTTTTATCTTTACTTTTAGCTAACGCAAATATACGTATATTTTAGATGGCAAAGAAGGGAATATAGAAATGTCTCATAATCGATTTCTCCTTAGAGTCTGTTTGCATATTATGACTGAACTCGTGTTTGCAGCAAAGCAGATTTTACAAGCCATATAGTATAATAGAATCTCTTTGATATGAGAATGATAAAATCTGGAAACGAGCAGAACTCTTCACTACACTTTAACTTTTGTGGAAACTCTAAGCCAATAAAGACAATTTTGGCCATATAAACAAATTGGAAGATACCTTAAATAAAATTGAATGTTTGCGTTAGCATTGATTAAACATTCTTAATTATATGGGTTTTTAACGTAATGATGTGAAAGTTGTTCCAAAGAAAATAGAGCATACGCTGTATGAAATTGAAGGCTAACTTGAGCATTGATGAAACAGTCTTGTGTTTATGAGTTGTACTTTTATTTTAAGATATCAAAGAATGTTCTATCGAAAATGGTGGATGTGGCCAGATTTGCAAAGATACATTTGGAAGGTGAGACGTCCAGTTATGGTTTTTCGATGATGGTTTTTCGATGCTGTTCCTGCCATACCTACATTCTTTTTAGGTTAATTATTACTTGATTTATCTTCTTTGTTTTAAGCTATGAGTGTTCATGTCGAGATGGTTTTCGCTTGCAAGTTGATGGGCGAAGCTGTAAAGGTAAGCAGATCTATAAACAGATTATCTTGATATCTATTATAAAAATTATTTGATGGTAAGTTGTTTTAGGTGTCCTACCGCCAATAATGTCGTCTTTTTTCTAAGTAGCAACTTTTTCTTAAAATTATGTTAATGAATTACGCAGATGTCGACGAGTGCAAAGAGGATATATCTTGCTGCAACCAGAAATGTAGAAATACGAATTCAAGATATGAGTGTAGCTGCTATCCAGGCTTTACGATGGCACATGACAACTGTACATGCCAAGGTATTCCTGATCTTATCATGAGACCACTTATTACAAGTTTCACTTCTGATTTCTATTTTTAATTGTTCGAATAATATTTTGCCTGCAATCAGAAAAAAGGCAATTCTTGATAAATAAAAGCAGCATCGTTTACTTCGTAACTTTGCCCATTTCCTGGGAATGAAAGGCCTAAAATTAACGCGTCGGATGTGATGCTGTGTTAATGACTGTGTCAGATAATGGCCTTTTGAATAATACTTCTGAATGCTATAGGATTCAAAAGATGTCTTATTTAATACAATTAAGCATGTATAACAAGCTATGGCCCTAAGAAAAGTGCGTATATATGCCCAATTTTGTTAGACTATCTACGTAATTGCATAAATCTATCTTTTGCTTGCTATAAAGAATAAGCAAAAATAAATCATGAAAAAGATGTTAATTCTTAATGAAGAAGAGGTTGCAAGATGCACCTTTGATGTTTAGATGTTTGTGCTAGCATAAGGCACCAAAAAGGAAGTATTTCATAGACATGGAAATACTTAGATTAAATTCTTGTCTACCAGTAGATTAAACTTTTTTTTACAGACATCAACGAGTGCCTACCCAAAAATCCTTGCTTCAATGCTGTCGGTTGTGAAAATACCCAAGGTTCATTTAAATGCCTGTGTGGAGATGGCTTTGTTCTTGATCAGGATGGCCTTACCTGTTTGGGTGCGTTATTTCAAGTTTTAATATAGGTTTAAATATCAACAGGCTTTCCAATGTACTGTAATAAGCGCACGGGCTCTTATATAAAGATCAATCAATCACTCATGACAATCAGTCAATCAAATAAAGAATGGATGGGCGGATATCAGAGAGAGCTTTTCAAGGAGTGAGGGGGGGGGGTGCTTTTTTCATAGTATTGAAATTTCAAATTTTATTAATTTCAAAACCAAAACAACAATCTCATAAAGTTCTGAATTTTTGTCAAAATCGATGTCATCTTCGTCATCTTCGATTAAGTTTCTAGATTATATTTAAAATTTCAACATATTTTTAGAAGAGGTGGAGAAGCAGCAGCATGGTAAAGCCTAACACATGGAAATAGAATTGACGGACAGCAAAATTTGCTATTTTCTATGAGATTAATTTTGCATTATTTGGGTTTTTAACTGTTTTGTCCATGTTGCTATTGATGAAAGAAAGAAAATGATGCAACTTCACATTTGTCTACGCTATTTTTGAGTAAAATGCGAAAATTATGTCAACAATCCTAGTACCCTGGGTACCAGACTCACTATATAGTACCAGACTCACAAAATGATCCTAGGTGCTTAAAAGAGGGGTGGTTATTTTATCATTTTTTATATTTGGGTTTGTGATTATTTTGGGGTGGTTAAAAGTGGATGGGTGCATGCTAGAAAAATACAGTAGGTTTCTATGTAATGGGGCTATCGTAACAAATCTCCTAGGAGCACATCCTTAACTTTACTTGGATTCTTATTTAGTTTTAAATTTTTTATCACATTTGTAACAGTACTATATCTACAACTTTTATCCTTTCTTCTCTTCATTGCACATTCTTTATCATGCAAAGTTCTTGCCATATTATATCTTTCATTACTTTCCCCTTTGCTTTGACATAATTACAAATACATAAAAATCTTCCCTTTGTATTTTTCTCGAAGGGGTTTTCAAATCATCAGTTGTTTCCGCTGTGATCATCGTACTTGACAGTATTCATGGAATTTAAAGAATTATCCTTAAAATTTTGTTGTTTATTTGTTAATGTTAGGTTCATTCATCTTATTTCCTGCAAATGAAAATTCTCCTTATTCCTACATGTGTTAGTTCAGTTCATCTGGATTTATGTCGCCAGCATTGTGCTTACGTTTAAAGGCAATCGACAGATACTTAAGTGACTCAAGCCATCTTTCAATCAAAAATTGACCAATCGGTGATTGCGATTTCACTCGCACGCTCATTGATTGGCTAAAGTTGATTGACAGATGTCTTTAGCCACCTTTTTATCTGTCGATTGCTTTTAAAGAAGGCATGTGAATGTTTTCTAGATATCGACGAATGTCAGATGGTAAATGGTGGCTGTGAGCACATCTGTGCTAATACTTTCGGCTCTTACAGGTTCTGTCCTTAACATGATACTTCATTTTAAAATGTAATTACGTATCAACCTCATTGCAATAACTAAAACATTATCACTTGCATTTTACATTTATGAAGAGGTTTTGAATGTATCATTTTTATTATGTTTTGTTCTATAAGACAGTGTTACATGTAGTTCCACTGCATGCGAGAACAAGTAAACAATACACCAACGTTAATGTTTATTAAAAATACTTCTGCTTTCAAGTTACTTGCCTGATCTGTTTTAGCAGTAGATCAAGTACATACTTAACATAATCTTTAGTATTTTTATTCTGATTAACATTTCGTGAAGACAATAATTTAGGAAGAAAATAAAGTTTCATTGTCAAGACAATAATCTCCAAGCGATAATCAAACAAAGAAAACGGCTTGTTAGATTGTTTCTCCTAAAATGCATCAGCCAAATATGAAAATTTTTTTGAAAAAGAAGAAAAACATGGTTTTACACTGGTTACATATCATATTTCTTGCCTCCATCATGTTGGCTAACATTTTTGTCACATCTTGACTAACTAATAAAAATTTGAGAACTTTGACAGTGCTGTGAGCATTTCCGAATAATCCGAAAGTTCGAGATTTCAGCGTTACACAGTAGTTAAAAGACAAACAGTGATATATGCTGTAAATTTTGTTTCATAGATGCAGTTGCCCTGAGGGTTATACGACAAGTCAAGTTGATTTTAAAAAATGTGACGAAATCGATGAATGCTCCTCCGCAAGTTTTTTTTGATGTTATTTTTCCTATTTCATTTCTATTTGTATATGCTACTGCATAGCTTCCAAAGCTAGTTTTTGGAAACTGGGAAGTTATGCATATCGAGCAGTGTCCAGGTCCTTCCTTCTCGATGTGACCATACCACGTGATTCTTTTGCCTGTAATTTTAAAAAGTTAGGGGCTCCCCTCACTCTGAGTGAAAGTTTGGTCTTGTCAGTGCTACGAACTGCATACCCTTGGATCGCTAGTCTACAACCCTAACCACTTAGCCACCTTCACATCCTATTGCTTTAAAGATCAACTATGCCAGCCAATTCTCAGTCTCTAAAGCATAAGCTTCTTGCTGTATCAAACAGACGACGGCGCCGCGAAATTGAGCCTGAGGTGAGGGGGCTGAGAATCAAGTTTAATGATATAGGAGGACCCACCAAAGTTTAGTCTAATTTTTTAATTATTGCTTCTAGAATGGCTAAAAACCATATCCCAGGCTAAAATTAATCAAAACACTATATTGCTCAGGATAGACACTAATTGTTGTTTACTTGGAAAAATTGGGGACGGGAGGAGTCATGTTAAAACTCTAGTGACAGACATTGGGGAAAAGGAAAAAAATGCCGTCAAACGGTGGGAAGAAAAATAAAAACTTTTGTGCTATAAGACGTTAGACTTCCAACAGTGATGTATCACGAATATATGTGGAAATAAAAAAGTTTGAAAATCAGTATATTAGTGTAGTTCGCTTTATGTATTCTATTATTAATTAAATTACCTTCTTCCTTCTCGATAGGGTACGCATAAATGTGAGCAAATCTGCAAAAATGTGCCTGGAACGTACAACTGTTCATGTAGGCTGAACCACAAGCTAGAAAGAGATGGGAAATCATGCAAACGTGAGATTATTTGCTTATTTCACGCATACAAGCATAGAAAAAGCATAGAAAAGGCATGAAGTTCTACAATGCTCTATGTCTGGCTATAAATCGGCAAACATCAGTCTTTGTGCTTTTTGAGCCATGGCTGTTGAGAAGAGTCCTTAACCATACAGGCAAACAAGCATGTATAAAAAACATGTACCTCTCCACCGATACAACAATCAAGCATGTGTGTTTTAATAGCAGAGTTATCAACCTTCATAATAGATCTAGTTGTACCTGTTACTGTGAGTAGTCTTAAGTGCGAAGAGTGAGACAGAAATAGTGTGCGACTCGTAAAGGCGAGGTTGGCATAATGTCAAGAGCCTGTGCTCCAGACCTTTAAATTGAAAGTAGGAAGTCTGAAACACAGGCTGAATGTCAAGTGATATACAGTTGTATACACCTCCAAGGAGATGGGGAGGGGAGTTTGTTGTAATATCTCACACAGTCTTTCCATGATTGTTCTGGGTCTCTAGGGGCTATCGTTTAATCGATGCAAGAGTAATTTAAATAAAGAAATGAAATACATACACCCGGTTTTAAATATTGTTTAGATACACAGCAATTAACCTGTCACTGCAGGAATACTTGAAGTAGTAACGAATTTTTCGCTTCGTTGTCTTACTGCACAGCCATCTCCTTCTCGAAGTTAAACGCAATTACAATGGCTAAATTTCCTAATAATTGCAGCAACTATTTGAAATATATCAATGGAATATAGCCTGTGTTCCAGACCCCTTGTTTTCAAGTTAGGGGTCTGGGGCACAGACTAATGGAAGTAGGTAAAGCATTTCATGTTGTAGCCTTGGCCGTTTATTTCAGACAACTGTTTTGAATTCAGGTTATTTGCTCAAAAAATAAACAATGAACATTTGTTGGACAAGAAATAATTCATTATCTATCAAGAGATCGCTTAAATTTTCTCTGACGTCTTCATAAAGGGAATTGGAAATTCCGTCACTTGTTGCTCGATATCTGATCGGATCATCTTATATTTCAAAATATTTTTTTTACCTATTCCGAATTTCTCCTCCCCAATTAAAAAACCCTTATGTAGAGTGTTATGACGATTTAACCTGATTATCAAACACTTGAGTGCTTTTCGATTTCTGTAATTGTTTCGTTTAATTTTTAACCACCCGATATATTAGCACAAATTCTTGTTAAGAACGAATGTAAAGAAAAAAGTTGTCCAGAAAGGCTCTCTTGCCGGTCACTGTAACACTAAACTTTTTATAAGAAACCGTTTTATTATGGGCGCTTATTAAAGAAATTTGCTTAAAGGCATTGTTCCTCAACTACATTTTAAGAAATATCTTGGTTTTTCTATTTGGTGTGATCTTGAAATATTCATAAACACACAGTTCCGAAAGAGAAAATGGTCAATTCCAGAAAATTTCATATTTCACTATTTCACAATATTTTGCGAAAAAATTGTTGTTAAGGAGTGCCAAAACTGTTGAAAATACGTTGCATCAATATGTAGCACTTGACAGTAAAACGAAGTTCTTATTCAGAATCTGAACAATCAGATATATGTGCACTTCCTTAAGAAATCAACGTGCTTTTATTACAAGACTCATTTGGTGAGGTTTATAGTTGTTCCATAATTTCGATACTTTTTTGGAATTGTCTTATTTCTGAAAAATCGATACTTTCCTCAATCCCTCATAGTGCTCATCATTTGGTTATTCGTTGATCCTTCCTGATTTCAGCCTGCCCAACTTGCCAGGAGTTCACCCATTTGAAAGAAATGGTGTTTAAGCTGCAGGGACAAGTGAAGATCTTGACGGAACAGGTAACAACATGCATATTTGTCTTATACAATAGTGCCGTTGGAACGAAATTCATATTGGGGGGGGGGGGCTGTCCATTGTTTTCCTTCTCATTCAGTACACCGTTACAAAGGTACCCTGGGTACCAGCCTCACTATATAAAATTATTTTATATATAGTGAGTCTGGTACCCAGGGTATTACAAAGGTAACATACTACAGTTTAACAATTATTGGGGATGGGGGGCTCCAGCCATAAAAGTTGCTAATTTTTCTAGCATCGTTTCACGCAAAGATATGTTGGGGCGACCCTGTTTCAGAAGTTGAACAACTTGAGAAGAAGCTTTTTCGAACACAATTATTCTAACTTTAATTTATGACTTATAATTTAGATCTTGGAAAGCGCATCTTGATGATGAAGCTCACAATAAGCAGGGATTCCTGTTTCGACATTATATCATATGATGTCGAAAATTATCCATCATATACAAATTTGGTGTTTCGCCGTGCTTATTTTGTGATTCATAATTTATACTTTAAAAGCAGAAGGTTACGATCTCAAGGGCATTACTCACCAATTAAATGGTTCCAAGTAAATGAGCACAATGTGAATAATTAACCAGGTTCAAGCCATTTTTTGTCACTTATTTCTGTTTACATAGTAAGTCATACATCAACAAGAATTCTTTCACAACTTTAAAAGTATGATTTCCTTTTATATGAAGCTTGCAAATGGTAACAAAAGAAGGAAATCAGGCAACAAAAATTGTTTTGCTAAGAGCAGTGCCGGAGAGAAAGTCTACAAGCATGGCACACTTTGGCAGCAATCAAAATGCCATTCGTGTGGTTGTATGGTAAGTTATTCCCTCTGGTTTTTGAGCTTTCATGTTTTCAGTTCACAAGACTTCTTTTGATATCACATGGTTTTTTATTATAAATAGTTTTGTTTGAATTTTTTCAAATATATTGTTATTTGCAGCATTAATGATATGTAAATCCTCTGAAACCTTACAAGGACATAGCTTTCCTCCCTACAGAAGTCTTGCATGACATTTCATAGAATCTTCGTTATGTACAGGCAGAAACGTTAAAAGAATTTATATGCAGAAAGAGCAAAACAGTGATAGAAAAGTAGCTAAATAAATGAATCGGGCTTTAGAGGGCGAGGACGTGGGGGAGCTGTAGTTTTGTAGTTCCCTCGTCCCCGCCCAAGCATGCTTGGAAGAGCCTCGGCTCGATTCTCCTTCTCTTCCTCACAATTCGAAACAAGCGGCACCTTGCATTTTTCCTTTACCAAGCCGAAACTCGCATGTTTATTACGCATCGTGAAAACTTTTCATTTATTAACTCGTCCTCTATTCTTTCCTCAGTGCATGAAATTCAAAGGAAATTTTTACGCGATTTTTAGCCTGTCTATCAAAGTTCATCCTTGTAGCTACATTTTAATAATTTTACTCTTCAAAATTTAGGATGGCATTATAGTGTGCGAAGAGAAGATAGCATGTGGTAAGCTATGCTAGTTTTTTATTGTTAGCCCATATCAACATTTTTTTGCAAATTGCATCTTTCAATTTGATTTTCCGATAAGATTTACATTAATGACTTTGTTCTGCTATTCGCACCAGTCAGAAGGATTGTGACATCTTAATTTCTTTAACATATAACTTACAATATACTTGAAATTGCACTATTTACTGGTTTTCAAAGCCTGAAAAGCCAGTCGAATTGATATTCTTTCATTCGTCAAGTATCCTAGAAAGAACTTGCATTTAAACAATGATTTTTTTTCTGTGCAGAAGACCGAGTTTTCACCATCAACTGATGCCTTCATCCAAGGTCTCTAATGTGACATTAACCTAACCACCTGCTTTGTTGTTGTGCAGTTCTTGTAATAGAACCGTTGATTAGCTATGTTTTAGATAAACTTTGATATATTCTAGTACATTTGCATATTCATGTTGTGTTTCTTAAGCATGGGGAGGGGGGCACTTAAATAGGAAATTGAAGGTGGTGGGTGGAAGACCGTTTTGCACCCCAGCCTCTAAACATGAAAATTGCCAAAAGCATACTCTTTCCCATAGAAAGTATGCCAAAAAGGCACAATTATGCCAAAATTTAACAGATACAATGATATTTACCACTTAAAATGTAACTGACACATGCTCGTTCTAAGAAAGCCTTAAAAATAATCTTGCATATTTCTTCTTTGTAGATCTTCTTTATTTTGATACCCTGTCCCAGAATGTTGGTACAATTCATAATCCCCTGCCTCTAACCTTTATCGGAAAAGGGTACTCTCCCCCCCCCCGGGTCCTTACGTTTTGTACGGTGATTCCTCGCAAAGGAGATTTCCAAGTGTCTCACTGCCATGAGTTTCTATTTGAAAGGAGCATATGGTCATTTCAGGGTCATGGGTGCTTATTTGAAGAGATTGATGCTGCCTTGAGTGGGGAAGAGCCAAAATATATTTAACAGAATTGTTCAATTAAATTTGTTTCGCAGTAATGGATAGTGCGAATAATGAATGATCAAAATGCTAGCACAGCATATACGGTTACTTGAGTAGAGGCGAAGAAACGCTTCTGTAGCTGCTTCAAATTTCAGCAAAATGTGAAGATTCTTCAAATTTCAACAAAACTCTTGAAGCACTGATGAATACTTTATTGGCAAATTGATAATAACATTGGCATTAATGATAATAGTGTTCTAATATAAATATGGTTGTTATTGTAATAGTTATATAATAATTCTTATATTTAATCAAGAAACTAAATCTACTTTCTTAACAGAGCTTCAATCCAGATAAATGAAATATCTTGAAAAAGATAGATTCTCCTGCTTGACGCAATCAATCAATCACGGCATACTTCTATAATAACTCAATAATTATTGTATAAGAGGTCTTGCTCTCTTGGTTTGGGTTGTAAAAAACGATTTAGTTACAAAAAGTCTTAATATAGGCACAACAGGGGATACTTGGCCCCTTAATTTTTCTGTTTAAAATAACTACATTTACGTATGCTTTTAGAAGTTTTAAGCAAATTTGTTAAAACTGGTATCTTGATATCCGTTATAACTTTGACCCAAAGAACCTTTTACTTCTTTATCAAACTTTTTTTATTCAGTCTCATAATTCTTCATGGGGTACTAAATCTGGGATGTGCTACCAACCAATTCAACTCTACGGCCTTTTTTGTGTCTAGGAGAGAGGTGTCGTCCTAAAATGTTAGGACGAGAGGCTGTGCTGTGCTGTAGGCAAATTCAAGAGACCAAACCCAAGATACATGAATTTGTGTAGAAATCATTCAAACTATTCAATGACACAAAAGACTGATAAGAAACTGTTCATTCATGAGAAATCTAGAATATAGTAAAGGGTTGCCAACACAGAATTCGTCCAACCAAATATGAAATCACTTTTTAAGGAGGCTGGGCCTCCCAAATCTCTTAGAAATTTAACGAGGGGGCTGAGCCCTCTCCACGGCACCACTGGTTTGGGACCAATAAAATGTACCTTACGTAAGTCGACCAACATAGCTGACTCTGCACATGCAAACAGTGACCCTGTATTTAAAGGGCGTTGAATTTTTAATTCAAACAAAATCTCGTCTCTTGAAAAAGCTTACTGTAAAAGCTCTATTAAGCCCCGGGGTAAGGGGCTTATTTATTCTTCAGTCCTAGAGGGGAGTACTAAAACAGGAGGCTCATTAGAGATGGGGGTTTATTTATTAGCCAAATTAAAACACATTTTGTATCCTCTAATGTGCACAAGTAAATCTTTACATGGGCTGTCTTTAATGCACGTGATCTTATCACGTCACACCGGTCAAGCAATCAACTCAATGTGATTCTTTGTTTCAAATCAGGGGCTAAAGAGGGGACTTAATAGAGAAGGGGGCTTAAAAGAAAAGGGAGACTTAATAGAACCTTTACACTAATTTATCTTTGAACTGAAGAAGGACACAAGGAACACTGCTCTTAAACATGAATGTCTCAAAACAAACATCTTGTCTTTCCTTTCGAGACAGTATCCAAAAAACTTTTTCACCATCCATGGTATTAGATGTTTAAATCACTTTAAACTATATTTAAACATTTTGTGCTTAACAATTTTTCATAAGGAATATCCAAAGCTATATTTCATAACATTAATTTGATCTTGATATTTTTTTCGCTGGTGTATGTGGTTTGAATTTGTCTTTTCGTGCTTATTCCATCTTTTTTGCTGTTTCAATATCAAGCTGAAGTTTTTGTAAAAAAGCGCTCTTATCACGTTAACTGGTCACATGGCTTTGTGGCGCTACAGTAAAAACCCGTCTATAAGAACCTGGGTTTTAAGAATCCGTTAGCCTAAAACTTAAAATTTAGCCTAAAACAGTTTCTAGGCGGGAACTGTGGAAACTGAATAAATATTATTACTGGCTTATATCTAAAATTACTCGGCAAAACAATTGTCTTTGAATCCAATGTATATATACAATATTTTGTGAACAGTTTTTTGGCGGTACATAACTTGAAAATGGCTTTGAAAACAGCAAACATTTCACAACATATTAACTAAAAGCTTTTTCGTCTGACACTCCTCAGATAGTTTCATCTGTCATTCCTTTCATCTAGCAGTTTTGGAATCGATCTACAAACAAACGAAAAAGCCGCCATTGTGTAGACAGAAGGAGCTCGTTTTCTCTCTTGGACTCCAGTGGTAATTTCTCTTTAGGCACGCGGCACTGATTGGTCAACTATACCGGTCTTGTGCTTGCGTTTTTCTGATTGGCCTATTTCGATCCACAACTGGGTATATATGTTTCATTGTGTTCTTTCGGACCTTTATTTTAACGTTTTATGCTCTGAGGAGTGTCAGACGAAAAAGCTTTTAATTAATATGTTGTGAAATGTTTGCTTTTTTCAAAGCCATTTACAATATTTTGTCTATTCTTTCGATCATTCCAATAATTTCTCTTAATATTCAGCATTTGCAATGTACAAAATTTTAATTTCAAAATTTATAAACCATGTCTTTCAAATGACAGTTCAGATATTTTGCTATGAGTTTGTTTGAGTACTGTTTATAAATGTAGTATTATTGCATGATTTGAAAATCATGATTTTGCTACATAAATATGGAGCCTATTTTAATAACCTTGGAAGCCTAAATCCATTCATATAAGAATCTGTTTAGGCTAATTGAAAAAACCACGATCTTCTTATACGCAGGTTTTTTAATGTATTCCGAGTTTTTTTATCAGCTATACATCTTTATTGATACTGTTAGAAGTTTTGTTTATAATTAAATAAAATTTATGACAGCATGCACCTCAGAGCGTTGCGAAAAGTGGGAGTCTAAAAAATGCAGGGGCTAAAACCGAATAAAGTGAACTACTGTCAGTAAATAGGCTTTATATAAAGGGGAGTACAATAGAACAGATAATGTTTAAAGGCGATCTGTCCCCTTCATGATGCTCAGGGAAATAACGCTATTGTGGTTCTTCATTCTGATTGTTTATTTGTGCATTGAATCAACGATGCATGAATATGAATAGGCGCAGAAGTAGAGATTAGAAAATTCGCAGCACCTTTCCTACTTTTTCGCTGTGCAATTTTCCGCCTTGTAAAATAAACCAATCAGAGCAGCATTTGAAGACACCTGACTTCTATTTTGGTTGCAGATGGCCCACGTTTTTCCGCATTCTTTTTCTCAAACAATCTCGCCTATAAAACGTCAATAAAATAGGTTGGTAATTATTCATTTCTTGCTTCTCGTACACAATCCGTGTGTTCATATTAGATTCATATCAGATTATTACTCAAACATTTGAGTTTCAAATTGACGTAAACTGGCTTGAAAGTTTCATCGTTCTACCAATAGAAATAAAATAAAGAATATGAAATAAAGAATGGGTAAGAATTTCTTCAAATTGCTGAATTATTGGCTGCTTATTTGCCTGCTCAACAGCAACAGTTTTAAGCAAATGCACTAACAGGATCTTGCATGCTCTTCAAGCTTCGATGGCGACCTTTGAAAGAATGAAAGTATTCTAAATCCTGAACAACTTTTTCTAATCCAGTATCGCTTTTTGCTGTTTTGCTTGCCTTTTTTGACAAATTTAAAATTTTAAGCTTTCTGATAAGAACATTCTTCCGACAATCGCTATATTCTTTTGTAATTTTCGCAACGAATTCGCATAAAAAAATATTTCTTCTCGTGTCGTGAAAAATTCTTCTCGTGTACATAATTTAAGACCATAGAAAGTAATGGGGTTAGAGCGGTAACCCCCCTCCCTCTCCCCTCCCTATACTAGCTGGCATGTTAAAAAGGCCTTGTCATGTGAAAAAAGTATCTTGCTCTGAACTGAGCAAGAACGAGGCGTGTCCTACAGGTCACGTGACCACATCCTGTACACTCGTTTACTGAATGGAAAGTTATGAGGAAGGTGGGAGATTTGCCTAGAAATAAACTTTCTGTACTTAGAGTCAACATTGTAGCCCGTCGGCTAGATTCTTGGCAATAGCGTGAAGGATATTGCTGAAGAAAGTTATATGATTACTGGCCTCAATGTAAAACGTGATTTGTAATCGTTGACCATATTTTAGGCCATATTCTGATTGTATACAGAATGCTGCCGACAAAGGCCCATATACCCCATGTTTTCATGGTTCTGCATGTCACTTTGCTGGTTGTTTTATTTATACAAGAATCATCTTCCAGCCAATGTGGAAGTTTGCAAGAGAAAAAAGGTAATTTTATTTATTTTGCTTATATCATCATTTACTGTTCTATGATTTTATAGGGATTTTATATATCTACCTCTCTACTCCTTACTCTTCCCTTTACCTTCATGACCTGAATAGCCTATATACCTTTAGTAACCATATAAAAATATCAAGAAGAAGGACTGAGATATGGGCTTTTACCTTAAGATTTAAGTTCTATTTATATCCCAGTAAACATTAGGCCTGTAGAATTGAAAACATAGCTTACAAAGTGAACGTAAGCATTATCAGGGACTATGTTCTACAAAACTAGTTAAACAATAACCTGTTTGCTTCGGTAGAATAACTTTTAAGCAGGGAGATTGTGCATCAGCTAGATGAGAGTGTTAAAGATCTTAAGACAAACATGCTATATAATCAATTAAGAACATTGTCTGTGAAAGGCCTTTGACAAAGTTAAAAATTCAAAACAATTGTGATGGTAAAAAACCCATGTGGCCTGGTAATTTCATGAATGTGCCACAGGGTGGTGTCCTAGGTCCTTTTTTGTTTGTATGCTGATTATCATTCTGATTTCGTTTCAACTGCTGTTAAAATATATAAAATATTTGATGACACTTAGTATTTGCAAAGGAAAGATTTAAGGTTTTAGATGAAAAATTCAAAGATCACATAAAGGGGCAAGAATTATCCAATTCGTAAAATCTCCAATGAATATCCAGTGTAGCTTGAAAAATAAGATCACACCAAGGATGGATGCATCATCAAAAATTAATCCTAGGACCTATAATTATGAGAAAAAAATGCTGAGATTTTGTAACCCCTCCCCTACATTCAATATATAATTTAGCTACATATGATCCAGCTTGGAATCAAGAGGAGAGGGAAGATGTTCAACATGCATTTGTGCATGCTATGCATACGTTTATGTGTTTGACTCAATAGCTTTGAACAGGTTTATTAGCAAGGAGCTTCCAGATTTAAGGTGTTCCCTCACTTGCAGTTACACAAAGTTTAGGTTTTACAAGCTAAAAAACCCTCACATCTTCAAAAATTATTGTATATTTCTATTTGTAGTGACTTTGCTTTGGCCAGTTTACATTTTTTTCCTTCTCATTCATTCTGTCACATTCTCTCATTGTAGCACAGGCATCCTCACTAGGTGTTCTCAAGTATTTAGAGTGTTAAGCCAGGAAAACAAGCAGATTTTGTTCACTGAGTTTTCAACTATTACATATCTTTAGCCAAAAATCTGCTCAAATTAAATTCAGATCTCATACTAAACAGGCTAAACTAGAAATAACATAGATATTCCTGTTTTTTGTATTAGATTCTATATTCATAAATCATATTCACTGTTCATTAATTTAGCTTAGGAAATGTTGGTGATAAAAGGGAATGAGGGAGACCAATGATAACATTGAAGGGAATGGTGCTGGGTTGATGCTGGAGGGATTGGCTCAATGTGCAACATCAGGCAGATTTACATTCCTATTATAAAGCACGCTCATGCTAATGTAAAAATAGCATTACCTGCAGAATGGTCTAAATTTCATTCATTGGTTTAAAGCGTTTTACTTTCAGAAGCTAGTTTGTTGACAGAAGTCATGCAAGCATAATAAATCTTATTGGTGTATAATTTTTGGGATGAGTGTTTGAATTTTTCATTAGGTTTATCTTTGACAATTTTGAATCTTGTAGGGGACTTTGCATTCACTGCTAAAAGCTGGATTGCCAAGATTGCCAATCAAGACGACAGTGTGGTAATAGATTGTACAACAAATAATGGAAATGCAACTGTTTATCTTCAGTTTAATCCGCATACTGTGTGGTTAAATTTGACATCAGACAGTGATTTAAAAGTTAACCAAGTTCGCTCAGTGTTTGTCATACCACAGATTGATAATAGGTACCTAGGGTATTATAGATGTGTTGCAACCCTGATGGAAAGTAACATTTGTCTAGTCAAAGGTCCTTTGTTTGTTGCAGGTAAATATGTATATCATATTTTATTCACTCATGCTTTGGTGTACAAGTAATTTGGTCTCCTTAGAAGAAGTATATACCGTATTTACTCTAATATTCCCACTGTGGGATTAGCGTTTCAACCTAACAAAAAAGGCAGGATTATTCAAGAGGCGGGTATATTGGAGAGGCCGGATTATTTTTCAATGTCTTGAAGTCTATTTTGAGGATACCGTTTCAAGAAAAATGTCTCTTAAACCTGATTGTGGCAAGTCAGAGAAAAAAATATGCAATTTCAACATGTATGGGGGGTTAAAATTAAATGGGGGTGGGATATTTATTTTCACAGACAAGACAGAGCAGATATTGTGCTTTATAGACTGTAGTACAAAGTCAAAGAATCAAACATATTTTTATGCTGCGAGACTTGGATGTTTGATAAACTTGCAAAATAAGACAGCTCTCTGCCCTCTCCTGTCTATGACATTATCATGTGATTAAACCCATTCACTCCAAGCATGAGTTTCAATCTTTGATTTGGAAGACCATACAAAGTGTGTAAAGAATAGCAAATGCCAATTAAAAGTTTCAATCCGGCATGCAGGATTACTGGGGAGACGGGATTATTCTAACAATCTATGAAATACAAGCGGGATTACTAGAGAGGCGGGAATAAAAGAGAAGCAGGAATATTAGAGTAAATACGGTAGGTTATATTGAACTCACGAAAAGTGTTGCAAAACCAAAAACTGTGTATCAAGACAATGAAGTTTGAAAGTTTCAAAGTACTTTCTTCTCAAATTCAGTCATTACTGCTATGGAACTACTAACTTCTAAGCATCATCTTATTTTATGTCAAGGCACCTTTTAACATACTGGCTAATGAGTTATAACTTGCTGTCCCACTGCTGAAATATGAAGCCAATTGTTTTTCTCACTGCTAGTGGGCCACTTTATTGCAGCATCCTCTGTTTTCTAGAAATATGGATAGGCCCCTTAAAGGTTTTGCCCCATTAGTAAAATATCCTTAAACTGCCTATATAGGACGCAAAGCCCAAAGATTGGGGGATAGGATAAAACAACATGTTCTTTCCAAAATAAGAAACAAAACTGCCCCACAAAACAGTGATGAAGCCTTTTATTTTGTGGCAAAATATTAGTTTGTTTGTCATTTAGTTTTTATACTTTGGCTATTCATATTGATTTACATTATATTGGATAATATTATATTGGATAAAGGGTGGGGGTAGAAGCACTATCAAAGGGACAAATAGATGTAGATTAAACAGTACACCTAATTAATTATCTTCAATTTAATTTTATAACATGCTTAATTAAGAGAGAAGGGTAGATGAAAAATCAAAACTTCCAATAAAAGTTGAGTTTGTGATGGTTCAAGAAGGAAAACTCTTGAATTTTTTCTCTCTATCTGATTGAAAGGAAGTTGTAAGTTCGAAATTTGGGATTTAATCAAACAGAAAGGCTAGTTATGATATAGGTCATCATCTGGAAAATTTAGCCAATCATTCCTTAGTATAAATTTTGCCTTAATTTTTGCACAGTAATTCTTCCATTCATTGATCTTTACAAAACTTTTATTCCATTTTTCTCATAACCAATGTCATTTTGACACAGCTAGGAAAAATATTGTCATTGAAATACTTCCACGAAGTCCAATCATAGCTATTGAAGGAGAACAACTGAGCTTCTACTGTTTGGCACAAGGAACTGGCTCAAAATCAGATTCACTATTAAAGTGGTATAAGCAAACTGAGAGTGGTAAGGTTCCATTGGATGGTTCATTGATAACAAATGATGGCTACATAGCGGGAGGCAAAGGATATGACAAGGATATTGTTAATATTGAACGGGTGAAGAAAAGTGATGCTGGAATTTACATTTGTGAAAGAGCTGGATCAGCTACAGAGTTTAATAAAACAGAGGTCAGAGTTCAGGGTAGGTGTCAATTATCAGTTCACTGATTTATCATTTTAATGTGTTTATTTTCAGTATGTTTGGCTTTTTTGTATGCTTCCGTTGAAATATATATTTCCTATTTTATCTGCTTCCTTTTTTCTAGGCTTAACATTAAAGTTTTCTTTTTATTTTATCTTGTTTACGTTTAGGGGAAGGGTTTTCATCAGGAAACATTTCTTCCACCAAATGTAACTAACATTTTTGAAGTATTGAATCGCAAGAAGTTACTACACCAAAATTTCTTGCGCTTATATTGTTTTCCTTTAAGGTAGGTAAGAAAATAAGTTTGGAAATAGGGAAAGGCCTGAGTGGAATTACAATGCAATGAAGGAGTAGCTAGGACGTATAGAAATAAAAAAGGGCAAAGTTTTGATCAGTTTTCTGTCTCTTGATATCGTAAATCACACTAGATGCAATGAAATTAATTTCATTGTACAATGCTAAAACCAACCCCATTTCTGTTCATGGAACTAGCTTGCTTACGTAAATGATTTACAAAATCAGAAGCTATGAAAGATTTTGATTGAATACGAACACTTGCAGGCAGGACCAAAGTGGATTTTAATGTTGGTCAAAAAGGCTTTTAGGGTAATTCCGAAACTTATGATAACTGAACCAGAAAATGTTTCGGCTTTATGAAAGACTGCTGAACAGCCGAATAGTCAAGACAGGAAAAGCTGCTATATCCTTAATGAACTAGCAGTAGTAGTAAAGAAATAAGAGAAATAAGTTCAGTTTTTGAGTTTAAGTCACGTTGCAGGAGGGGAAAAAAAATTTCCACCACTGTTTTATACAGTGAATTGTCTTTTACAGTGAATTAAGCTTTTCAAAAAAGCGCTGGATATAGTGATTATTATTATAATACACGTTTTTTGTTTTAAGACGCATTTTAATGATTATAACACGCCATTTACAAGGTTTTTGATAGTGCTGAGAATTTAACTGATCCATTTAACATTTTTGATTTCCTACGGACATCATGCAACAAGGACAGAACGATGGCTGTTAAACTGTTAAAAAAGGTTTATTTGTCAATTTATACACATTTTTCATTTCATTTTAGGTCCTGTTGCACCTGAGGTTACTTTGCAGCCACTCAGAAGGGAAGAGAGGGTCACTGAAGGAAGTCGCATTGAAGTAGTTTGTAAAGACGTGAAAGGTGAACCAAAACCAACTAAGGAATGGAGAAGCCCAAAGGGAGAAGTTCTTTTGAAATGTGATCAGCATACAGAAACATGCACATTGAGAATTAGTAGTGTTTCCTATGACAAGCATCATGGAAAATTTACATGTGTGGGAAAAAATTCTGGTGGCAGTAGCAGTATTGATATATTTGTTAGTGTCTTGAGTGAGTTGCCTTTTTTCTACAAAGTTTCTACTGACGTGTCATATTATTATGAGGTGGTCGGAATAGTAGAGTGGCAGAGCGATGACGTCATAAACCTGTTTTAGAACTTTTGGATATGGAACATGAAATCTTAAAGAACATCATCAATAACCTCCAAATTTTGAAAATTTGTTAGATCTGTTACAGACTGCATGAATTATGGCTAGATGGGTACAGGACTTTTTCTCATCAAACTACTGTGATTTGACCCTGGTTCTATTCCAATTTGTAAAGTTTTCACTAGTCAATTTTCCAGCTTGCCACAACATGCCTTTTGGGGGTAGTTGTCGCCTCTTCATACGGTTTCATGCATTATTTCCTACGTATTGATGAACCTTGGTTTCCTTTGCCTGTCTATATTGATGATTATTACTTTCAGTTGGAGTCCAATTGCAAAAGGGTCCTGCTATTGATGTAGCACGGTTTAAGGATCAAGCAAAACTGACTTGCATGGTAGAAAAGGCTAATCCACTGCCAACTTTCACATGGTTTTACCAAATTTGGTCTTGTCCAGGCAGTGTTTGTAAACCGGTGGACGACCAGTGGACAAAAGCCTTTACCAAAGTAAGAGAAGTTTTTTTTGTTCAGTTTTATAGTCAAATCGAATTTCGTTAGCAGTAGTAAATAGTTTATCAATCAAATCCACACCAAATTCTTCTTGCGTTTGCTATTTTCATAGAACTTTGAAGTATCAAATTTTATCTTGGCTTATGAAGAGTCCCATTCTGTAGATCTTTACAAGAGAAAGAGAATAACCAAAAATCCTTCAATATTGTAAACCGTATTTTCTCGAAAATAGGCCGCGTCTTCTATCTATTTTTGTTCAAAAAACGCAACCTCTATTTCGAGGGCGGTCTCTGTTTACTTTTGAAAAGAAACGGACTTGGCTGAACAAATAATACAAGACGGTAAAATAGCCATCTCAGTAATATAAAACCATTCCACTACTTTCATGGCCTTATCATGTCCATAGTCCATATCATGTAAAATAGTTTTTTGTGCTTTTTCTCTGTTTTATCTACAGGTAAGAGCAAAATAAAATAAAGAACTTTAGTAGCAGATATCAAATTTTTAGATAGAAAGTGCTGATAAATAAATGCGGATTTTATTCGAGGGGGGCTTACGGTTTAATTATTTTTCATCAAAACTGCGACTTTTATTCAATGGTGGGTTTTATTTGAAAAATATGGTATGATTTTTTATCGTATAATATTTGACATATACAAATATGGGCAGGCACTGATTTTGAATGCATTGCAACTGGTGACTTGAGATCAATTGCCGTTAAGAATACGGCTTAATTTCTTGCATTGTAGCTTTTTCTGTCCAATTGTAGGTTTCTGTTGCTCCACCGGAATCAGTTGCTGCAAATACGAGCATTTTAACTGTTCCGCCTTCACAAATAACTGCATTTTACAGCTGTCAAGCATCAAATGGACTTGGCACCGACTTTCGTAACATGACACTGCACAGATTAGGTACGATGATCTTTTATTTGTATTATCGCTGAAGTACCAATTTTTTCGGATTTGCTTCACTCATTCATGAATCTTGGCCCCTTTAATTACTTGATAATTTCAAAGTCTGAGCTTCAAAAAGTTTCTTTATAAATTTTTAAACCTTCTATATGTGACGAGCTTCTTCCATCTCTTCCAGTCCCTCTATTTTTCAACTTAATTGTGTTATATTCTTTTGCGTATAATTAAGGTGGTATTGCTTATGCTAATTTAAGTAGAATGTAACTTGTACGTAATATTTTATATAAATATATGCATAAATGAAAAAAATTAGGTGATGCTGTTTTAGGAATGTTGCTTGAAAATTTAATAGGCATGAAATTATTCTTTCAAATTCCTGTCGTCTTTTTCTTTATAGAAAATCCTCCAACAGTTTTCAAAATTTCTGCCACAAGACAGTCTGTGAATGAAAATGACACGTTCCATCTTAACTGCACCACATCGGCAAGCATCTACAAGTCAGTCAAGTGGGTAAAGAACGAAAAGACACTTGTAGAAGAACCACCAAGATTGAATCTAAAAACTCTAGAAACAAAAGACTTCCTACGAGTCACAGTCATTAAATTTAACACAGTCAAGTTATCTGATACTGGAGATTATAAGTGCATTGGAAAGATGGCTAATGGAACAGAAAAGACCATACAACATATTCTGAATGTCAAAGGTAAATAGCACCGCCCCTGTGAACCACCCCTTCCCCACCTCCTTCTCACTGTCAGGAGCGTTATAAATCACAGTACAGAACTTGGCCACTTTAAGAATGGCACCAACTTTGCGCTCCTCTAGTCATGTTTTTGTATATTCTTCGAAGCATCTTTTGTTATGTACTGTATACATGGATACATACTTCTTTTATACCTTCCCTAGCATACGTCTTGAACAATTACTTTGTTACTTGGTAAAAGAAACTAAACCCCCTTCCATATCTCGAGAAAGCCCCTAATATTTCCCTATCTTCAGGGTCTCTTATCACTTTTCATGCTGGTTTAATTTGCAATATCTGATTTATTTCAGCCTTAGCAGCCCCGTTTGTGAGTGGTTTTGTCGACCGAACAGTTAATCAGTCATTCGAGAACGTGGTATTTCTCTGTAATGCTACGGGAAACCCGTTGCCAAAAATAACATGGAAACTAGGAAACAAGAAAATTGACAGCGTAGGATATTTAGATGACATCAAAGCTTGTAATATCAGAAAGCAAGGGTTTTTCTTTCTCAATGGGATGCAAAAGAACAGACTTGCAATATGCGATATGAGTTATAAAAAGCACGAAGGGACATATACCTGTACAGCAAGCAACATTGTCTCCTCTGCCTCCGTCAGTATGAAAGTCCATATTTATTGTAAGTATTTTTCAAAACTTGATTTTGCTTTACAGTTTGTTCTTCGTGATATCAGTAACCTATCAGAAAAGTCAAAATGCATTACAGGCATCAATGCTTCCGCTTCTGAAGGTATCATGATAAAAGCTTTAAGCCTTGGTCTGTTCAGCAAAGTACAAGCAATTCTAAATAAGTTTCAAAAAGTCTGGGTCTTCATCTCTCAGGAGGAGGCAGTTTTTCCAAGCTGCTTCTAACTCGTCGTTGAAGCTTCAATATAATGTTTGTAGTAAAAACCGTTCCGTTTTGAAAATGTTCACAGTTGAAACCATAGTGTGTGTATTGACAAGAACAAATACTATTTGTTGATGGTCATTTATTAAATCATGAAATCTATTATGCTTCTTAGTCCCATATTCCTGTTTACATTTGAATAAACTTTAATATTCTGATGAAAGATGAAAGTAGTCTTATTTACTTCTCATCTTACTTGAAAATAGAAAAATTTATAAATCTTTTAAAATGTAATCTATTTTGCAGCTAAACCAATGATTGTAAAATGGCACGAGAACGTCGGGTTTGAGCCTGGTTCTAAAGTGAGACTTTTCTGCGAAGCTGACGGTAATCCGTCTCCAAATGTTACGATATTCCGCGTTGTGGATGCAAAAGAAAGTCCTTTAGAGGGACAGAAAAGATACAACAATGGGTCGGTGTACATTTCATTTGAATCGGATAGCCACACCCAAGGCCGCTACTTGTGCTCCGCAGAGAACAAATATGGCGCATCAAAAAGATTTGCTAACGTTGTCATTCAAGGTACGTTTTGGCCAATCTGAGTTGCGTCTTTTTGGTCACAAAAAATATCCTGTCAAGGCAATTTTGTTTTTTAGTTTTTTTGGGTTTTGCCAAAGCAAATCGATTGAAATAATCTTACGGCGTAAATGCTGATAAAATAAGATATCATCCTACTAGAAATATGAAATTTTTATTTTTCAAACTAAACTATTTAAGGAATCCCAGAGTAATTATTTTTAGCCCTTTTAATGCTTTTATTTGAAAGTAGAAATACACCCAGTATATTTTTCATTCTCCGGTCCCCGGGACATTAAGAAGAGGATTAAAATATTGAGTGCTGTTATTTTTGTATCAATATAAACATTTTCTGGAAAGAAATTACCTTACCCCTACCTTTCCAGTCATTCTAAAATTAGTAATATTATAGGAAAGCTGATCGGCATTTCTCTTGTTTTGAAAATAAAGTATATAGTTGTCATTATGTAAATTGTTAAGTGTATATATTTTGAGTGTGATTCTTAAGCAAATCATAGTCTTTTTTTGCTTGGATAGTTGGACGGCAGTAAAAAGCTTTCTTCACTAGACATAATTGTTTCCCAGAGTAAATATTTTAGAATAAAAAATACATATAGAAAGGAAATGAAAGTTAGAGTTGTTGGGTGATAATTATTTTGTTTTAATCGAGAAAAGTCTCTAAGCTCGAACTACCGAGATCAGAACCTGACCATTCAGAGCGTGTTTCTTTTATTCAATGATTTTGTAAAGGGGCTGAATTATCACGAAAACATGGCGCCGATCATATTTCGTGAAAGTCGATAATTATCTGGTAAATAAAATTTATACCCTTATTTCTTCAGGTTTTCTATCCTTCGGCACTTAACTATATATGTAATGGCTATGCCTTATCATTTAAGTTGATATTGCAATCAACATCATGTCGACCCACCTTCTACGACCTCTATGTTGTTTTCTAACGAGTTTTTGTTCTTTTAAGGACGCACTTCTACTGTGGTGAAAGAACCTCTTTCGTCAAGCATAGTAGCTGCCATTGTCGTTTCCTGTTTAGTTTTTGTCGCAATTGTTATCCTTGTGGCATTCCTCTATAAAAGGAAATTGGACAAGAAGTATGCTCCCTACTTGAAGCCCAACAAATACTTCGAGGTATTATTCTCTTAGAAGATATGGATGAGCACCAGAGACGATGTTTTATTTATTCATTGTGCAGAACCCCTATCACTTATATCATAGAACCCATATGTTCTTTTTCATTTGAATGGGAGCTATGTTTCAAATGGGATAGAATTACGATGTGAGTGAGTGAGCGAGCGAGCGAGTGAGTGAGTGAGTGAGTGAGTGAGTGAGTGAGTGAGTGAGTGAGTGAGTGAGTGAGTGAGTGAGCGAGTGAGTGAGTGAGTGAGTGAGTGGGTGAGTGAATCAGTGAGTGAGTCAGTGAGTGAGTCAGTAAGTCAGTGCGTGAGTGCGTGAGTGAGTGAGTGAGTGAGTGAGTGGGTGAGTGAGTGAGTGAGTGAGTGGGTGAGTCAATGAGCCAATGAGTGAGTGAGTGAGTGAGTGAGTGAGTGAGTGAGTGAGTGAGTGAGTGAGTGAGTGAGTGAGTGAGTGAGTGAGTGAGTGAGTGAGTGAGTGAGTGAGTGAGTGAGTGAGTGGGTGAGTCAGTGAGTCAGTGAGTCAGTGAGTCAGTGAGTCAGTGAGTCAGTGAGTCAGTGAGTCGGTGATTTACTATCGAATTTAATTGACTGATTGGGTGATTGACTGGAATTGTTTTTCAATAGATTGACTAGATCGATTTAATGGTTGTTTTGATTGACCAGAGTGGTTGAATGCCTAAGAAAATCATCGAATTTGAAGTGATTGATACATTTGATTAATTGATTGACTGGAGTGATTGGTTGATTGTCTGATTGAACTAACTGGATTTTTTAAAATTTCTTCGTTAGATGGACCCTGATAGGACGTTGTTCGATCAATGCAGTGAGTTACCGTACGATCCAGACTGGGAATTCCCCCGTGACCGACTGAACTTCCTCAAAATGATCGGATCTGGTGCATTTGGTGAGGTTTGGTTGGCAGAGGCCCAAGGCATCCTTACACTGGAACCGAGGGACAAAACAAGCAACGCCGCTAAGAGGAGATCGAAAATTAGAAAGAGTCAGAGATACACACATGTACATGGTAGTGAAAAGAAGAAGAACGCGCTGACGGATACAGTGACCGAAAAGACTCTAGTAGCAGTCAAAACATTGAAAGGTCTGTTTACCATTTCAGAAACCGTTTTCTAACTTTGCATCAGATGCAGGAAAACAAGGAGATTACATTCGCGCTTTGCAAAAAGGAGCTTAAGGGTTGATTTTTAATAACAATAGTTCTCGTTGCAGTTAAGATTAGGAATGCTGAATTGGTATTTTCAAGCCCTTTGAGTTATAAGTTAAAGGCAATCTGTCACGACGTTGATTGATTATAAGAACAAAGGATTTTTTATTGTTTCTAGTCCCCCTTTTAATTCATCGCATTGTAAAAAATATGGCGGAGCGCTGGAGTCGTGTTTAGGCTATTGTTCCAGCTATTGTTCTCGTTAACCAATCCACAACGAGACAGATTTTTTATTGTACCTACGAATATAACACATTTTGTGAATCAGTTCCTTTCTCAATGGATAGCTGAATGTTATACCATGTGCGTTGCAGCCTCACTCTTGAATCCAACTTTTACTCACGCAAACTTCACAACCTTGTTTATCTAGTTGCAAGGTAAATCTGAAGTCTCTTGTTTGGCCATTTTTGCAGTTGCCTTTGTTTGCTTTATTCGTAGGAGACGCTTCTGACAACGAATATAAGGACTTGGCTTCTGAACTGAAAATTTTGATTCATCTTGGGGAACATAAACAAATTGTTAATTTGATGGGTGCTTGTACACGGGGAGGAAAACTTTGCGTTGTTTTGGAATATTGTCCTCACGGAAGTTTGCTGAACTTTCTACGAGATAGAAGAGACATTTTCCAACCAACATGGTTCAAGAATGAACCCGATATGGCCAAAGAACTGACGTATATAGACTTAACAATGATTGCTTATCAAATTGCAAAAGGAATGGACTTTCTGGCATCGAAAAAGGTTTGTGGCTATCTTACTTCCCCCTGCATTATGCGGTACTTAATGCCCTGCTGCAATGCAAAATTTTCATGAGGCGCATATAGCATGAAAGCTTTAACCCATACTGCTAAACTGCTCCAATCCGCAGCACAAGATGCCGGACAGTGACCTCTTGTAAAAATTTCGATGCTTCAGCCTAGGTCGATGCTAGCAAATTGATAGGAAAGGCGTAGGTTAACGCTAGCCAACAGAAACGAAGGCATGTGTCAGCTAAGCTAACCAGTAGGAATAGAGGCACGTGTCAGTGATAGCCAATAAGAAATAAGGCGTGTGCTTATGCTACCCGATAGGAATAAAGGTATGTGACGGTGCTTGCCAAAAGGTGATTAGCTTTGCATTTACCGTTAATTTTATTTTTTACCGTGAAATTATCTGAGTGTCAAAATGAAATGCTTCTTTTGCCTGTTAGCGTACCTTAAATCATTGTGTTCGCAGTTTTAAGTATTCTTTTTTCTATTGCTTGATTTTCAGTGTGTTCATAGAGACATCGCGGCAAGAAATGTGTTGATTGGAGTTGATTTCCTCGTGAAAGTTGCTGATTTTGGCCTTGCGCGAGATATTTATAAAGATGAACTCTACATCAAATCGACTAGTGGGCTTCTCCCCGTCAAGTGGATGGCGCCAGAATCTTTGTTTGATAAGATCTACACAAGCCAGAGTGACGTGTAAGCATATATCTCTTTCATTTAAGGCACTATGTTCCGACGCATTTCGCTGGCCATTTAAATTTCCCATTGGTTGGACTACACAATAGATCTATTGTTACGTATCCAATCGGTGCAAAGCCTATTGTTAACGTTATTCATTCACAGTCGCTTAACTGCTTAGAGCGGAAATAATCTTTCCTCCTGATATTACTGTTTTTCAAAGTTAATATTCAAATTTAAACTTGCTTCACCATCGCAAATTTTTTAAAAGATTCTTGACGTTATTTTTGTAGCAACAGCATAACTAACAAGTGATAAAGTTTTCTTAGCAACTCCTCTTGCAAGTTGAAGAAACTAATCTTGTATTAAATCAAGCGAAAGGACTTCTCTCCAAATATTTACGATATCTTAGCGTTCTTAAAGCAACTTTCAAATAATGTTTCTTCTCATAAGTGTATTTGTATAAATGCATGTACCTTTAACCTTATAATAAGAATTGAAAGGTGCATAGATAGTTGTATTTGAAGTTGTTCGCCCATTAACCTTTAATCTTGTTTTTTCGAGCACGAATATCGTTTTTCCTCGTTTCCAGAATGCAATTCTTAATGACCAAAGTTTCCCCTGCGCAGTATTTTGTGCTACCCCCCCCCTTCCCCCCCCCAGGCACTCCATGTCAATTGCAGTAGCCTATGACATGCTTCTCTTGGCATATGGCTTTATCAAAAGTCTTCAATTTGTTATCGTTTTCCTTCTCCTGTCCTCAGGTGGTCTTATGGAATTGTCTTATGGGAAATTTTCACCCTTGGAGGATCTCCGTACCCTGGATTACCGACGGAAGATTTATTCCCATTTCTGGAGCAGGGCCGTCGAATGGAGCAGCCGGAGTGGTGTCCGTTGGAATTTTATGCCCTTATGAATGATTGTTGGGAAAAAAATCCGAATGACCGGCCTTTGTTTTCACAGCTTGTTGACCGGATCGGACAAATTATTTCAAACCGCTCTGGACAGGTAGATAGCACCTGAACTTCATCGTTTCATAATTTATTTTTTATCTATTTTTAATTTATTTAATTATTACTCATTTGTTATTCATTTGTTTATTTATTTGTTTTTTCCAAATCAGCTTACATTTTAAAGCTATTCATTTTTGTATATTTCCTATTCTCTTTATTGAACAAATTGAATCTGAGAATGTTAAAATTCCAGACAACGAATTTATTCGCAACTAAAATTCACAAAATTGAGAGGCATTTAATGTGTGCAAGCCAAAATTCACCAAAATCGTCCTAAGTTCGTTTCAATTTTCCTATGTTTTAATCTTTTGAAATATTTTTTATGATAGCTTGTTCATATGCAAATGTTTGCCTTTAAGGACAATCCTTACCTCCAATTTGAATGTGAAGACGGCGCAGCCAAGCCAAGTGACTCAGACTATTTGATTCCAATTGTAAAAAAGAAAAGCTCTTTTGATGATGATGATGATGATGACTATATTTCTCCTGTTGTGAACACGTAAGTCGGTTTTGGCGTTTTTACTGTATAATTTTTTTCAGTACTCAAGAATCTAGTTTCGTTCTTTGATAACTTGTGCTAAACTTTGCAGTTTGGAAAATTGAACTTGTGTGTGATTTCGAATTCTTTGTATCTTTGTTAAATCTTGTCTTCACTTTGCTCGCTTCGTGTCTTCTCGTGTCACTTGCTCGTAGATGTACATGCTCGAAACGTCATATTTTTCAGACTTATTTTTGTTCAGTTTAATTTTTTATTAAAATATTGACTTATTATATTTGCAAGCATGCATGAATTGTTTTGGGGGAGGGGAGGCATCTTGTGTACCGCTGTAGGGAATACTTTGTACCATGGGGTATTGCATGAGTCTTTTTGGGAGGCATCATCGTCTGTACTTCAGGGAATACTTAGTACCCTCTGGGAATACAGGACTGTAAGATACGATTAGTACCTTAAGAGTTTGTCATGAGTTTAGCCCCTATGGAACAACATGGGATATCTTGGTGTGGTTTGACTAAATTTAGAAGCAAATGAGTTTTTATTATCCATTATTATATGTTAATTCGTTTTTAATTGTATTATACTGAAGATGACTCTGGTTAGAGTGGAAAGGTTTGAAATTTTTATTTGACTGAATTTCATGTACCTGGAATGTCTAGACTAACATCGTATTTTCCATTCATTTTGTCTAAACTACACGGACTGCCTTAATTGGAAGGTCAATTTACTGCTATTTCATGGATTTTTTTTCTAAACTACCCTTCTTAACTGGAATGTCAATATTCTGAATTTTACCAAATGGATTCACGTCAATAGAAGTTTGAATGCTACTATCGCGATGTCTTTTTGTGGCTGTACTTGTTATTTGTCTGATCATTAAACTGCGTTTCCCAAAGTCAAATGAGTTTGTGATTTATAACAACGTCTCCCTTTTCCTTATTGCAGCGAGGGAAAGAGGAATCAGGAAAGCGCCGATGCTCATTTGTACCTAAACGATGATGCGGTGAGAATGAGTCTGTTGCACGATTACGATTCGCACGCATCAGATTACAACAATACGGGCCTTTGCAGTGACGAAATTGCGGTCTAAGTGCAAGGCTGGTTCTATGGATCTCAACGTATGGACACTTACCGTAAATCCTCGAATTGCCCGCCCCCCTCGAAAAAAGCCCCCCCCCTTAATAAGCCCCCACCCTAGAACTACAATTTTCCAATAGCCTCCCCCCTCGAATAAGCCCCCACAGCTACCGTATATTCTCGAATTGGACCCCTCAATTTGACGGTTTTGCCATCTGAGGTTGCCTATGGCGTTTTATTGAATTACCGCGACAAATTCGTACTTTTGGTAGTAATTAATTAAATGCTCATAAAGAAATTCCTACTAAAATAAACAAGGTATTTTAATAATGTCTTCTTTTTGTCTACAATAATTTTATAAGCGCCCCCCTCGTACAAGCCCCCCCCCCTCAAATAAGCCCCCGTCCAAAAACATCAAAAATAAATAAGCCCCAGGGGGCTAATTCGAGGATTTACAGTATGCCACTGCTTCATGCATTCTATAGCTTTGCATTTTTATAAGGCAGCCAGTATTTATGTTTTTTAAGCAAGTAAGCACATACACCAACATATGCCATTATGGTTTTTTTAATTTTCAGGTTAATGTTAGATAAATACTTGACAATTTAATATAGGTTTTGATAATATTTTTCCTGATTCAAGAATTTTTTGAAAATTTTTACAATATCAAAATTATTGAGTATAATATTCCCAGTTAACCAAAGTTCTTTTCTTTCAGTAAATTTTTCGCTTTATTTACTATATCTATTTTAAAATCTCAAAATATGATCGCTACTCTTTTTATATAAGAACTAGATAATTTCATCCGAGGCTCATTGCTATCATTTTTTGATAATTTGTGCCCTTTAGTGTTCTTAAAGCTGTTTTTTATTCAAAAAAATATTTATCTGCAACTACATGCTGAAAATTGTTTCTAAAACCATCCAAAAGTAATTTTGCATGACATTTTCAGCACTTTTGGTAAGCCAATAAAATCTGCTGTGGTTTGTTGATATGAGAGTAAATTTTCAGGAAGCATTGATTATTCATCTGAGGCTAAGCATGTTCTAAGTCTGTTCTTGTTTTTTGACAAATCGAGCCTCCATTCTCTTATAAAAAGAGGATGTATTTAGGTTGCTATGAAATCCCAATGTTTTATACATAGAACTACTTGAGTTTCATCAGTAGCAGAAATTCATTTTCAGGTGGAGGGGGGGCTCAATGCCCACAAAATGAGCAAATTTACCTACAAAAGTAAATCTTAACCGACAATTTAGCACTTGCCGCCCCCCCCCCTAACATCCCCGTAATTTCCGCCTCTGAGTAGTATAATCGCTGTAAGTATTATAAGAACTATTTAGACTTTTTCATTTGATATTTACTTTAATCAGAGTTATAATTCCATATTTTCTTTATATTCCTCTTGGAGCCTTTATTTAATATTCCAAGAACTCCTCTTTTTGATCTTATTTTACATTTTGACGAAGCACTTCTTCCATATCATTTACTTTTTTATTTTTGTATACGCTAATGCTGTTTTTGATGAATTCCATATTTGGTAATGCCCTCAAGGGTTTTACATGCCACGTATCTTTTACTTGTTATTAAAATGTTCACTTGTTATCAAAACCTTCACTTCACTTTTCATGACTCTTTTTCATTGCATTCGTTGAACCAACTTTTACTGTGTCTGGAGATGTAACAAAGAAGTGAAAAAACCAGATCGGGAAAAAAATTATTCGAAAGCAGCACCAGTGCTCTCCCTCTCAACGCTATATGGTTATCCCTTGGCTCCAAATTGTGTAGATCGTTCTCTTATTCTCGTAGTATCAAATTGGAAAGTTTATAGCCAGCGTGGGACTGTTGGAACAAAGCTCTCTGAAAAATGTCTTGTTACAAGATACAAGTGGCGGAAATGACTCTTTTAGAGAAGGGAGATTAAAGACATTTGACATGCACAGAAGCTGTTCACGTGTTTTTCTCTGTGCGCAATTTGATTGGTTAATCGCTCGTGGTCGAGTGGCTGTAAGCCACTTTTATCTGTGCCAAATGCCTTTAAGCGTAACGAATATTTCAAGCCTTTTCTTTTTCAAATTCTCAAAAAAATTCTGAATTATTAGTGACCAATGATATTGTTGGTGACACCATAGTACGCAAGCGAGACAGAGACCGAGGAAGCCTCGTTATGAAGTGCATGTGGTCTCTCTAGCAAAGCGGTATATATGGCCTACTTTCACGCTGTTACATAATGTTGCGTGACAGCAATTGTAACGAAGGTTCTTGATATAACAGAGTTCAAAATTTACGAGAAATGAGAATCCATCATATTGAATTTTTGTGTAAGGACTTGAAACTGCAAGTTCAAAGGTTTTGTTTATTGTATGGATTCCGAGTCTATGGAAGATGGAAAGACGTTATCTTTCAGCAGAAAGAGAAGGTAGTTTTGAAGAAAGATCGAATCTATTTTGTTTTGCACGAAGATGCGAAAGCTGAATGTGATTATGTTGATAATATTGCTCTTGAGACTCAGAATGTTAGTGGATTGTGTGGATTGATACCGAAGGAAAACATTTTAGTGAAACCGGGGCCAGTCGATTGCATCATAACTTCACAGTATGAGAAACAGAGTTCAATTGAAGGAGCTGTTATTCGTTCGCCTGTAGGACGTGTAAAACACACTTTAGTCGATAAATCAAATTATAGAGGTCTTTTCTTGCCAAATTTTACCCTTTATCAGTATTCAGAGGAAGATAATTTATTTCAAGAGAACAAACCTTGCGAAATTATTGATGGGGCGGTTTTGCCTAGCCATGAAGTCGTTGATTTAAAGAGCTGCTCTAATGACACACTTATGCTTGATCACATAACATTTGCTGTCAATAGCGGAACTTCATTTGATTTAATTAAGTGGTATACTGACTTTTTGCACATGGAAAGATGCAAGGTGAACAACAATGAACAAACTGATGGATTCAAAGTTGAAACATTAAACAGCGATGGAAAACAGTTAGGATTACGTCTAACTGCCATGCAATATCACTTTTGTTCGGAAATATCTATGAAAATTACATCTCGAGACGGAAATGGGATTGAAAACCCCAAAATTATTTTTGCTGAGTCTCTACTGGGTCAAGGTAAAATAATAAAGTACTTGACTTTACTTATATTTCTGCAAAGTTTGCTAATTGTGTCAATTTTTATGGGCGTAGCAGAAATGCAAAACATTCGGTCCGCTATTTAGCGAGCGACATTCGATTAGACATTCAGTTAGACATTCGAGTATACATTCGGACTTTGATTGCTTCTTACAAAAAAACCATAAAAGATAATAAAAAGATATTTCATAGTGGGAAACTTGGCTGGATTCTCTGTCGATTCGTGTATCTTGTTTATATTAGGACGCGCTATGCTTTAAAGGGTAAGGCAAAACATCGAAAATTTTTGTACACGGCCTAAATGTTCGCGTAAAATAGACATTCGCAGTGAAACATCACAACCTGATTTGAACTGATTTCAGGCGCTAAGGAAGAAACAAGTTAGCGAAATCGACTCAAAACAACATGAAACGTACCTTTCCTTCAACTTTTCAGCAAATTCAAGGGAAAAACTACCAATTTCCAACATCATGTTCAACTAGCAACAAGCTCCGAGGAAACCCCAATTTGAAAACTTGCAAAAACTATCTCCCTAAATAACGTTTGCCAGGCTGATCGGAATATGATGAAACTTGCTAGGGTTGCTAGAAATAATGTACTTAACATGTTTTTTTGGGTCTGGTTGCGATTTTCTGGTTTTGTGCGAACTTCTGAAACGACCCTCTATCGAGCTCCATACTGAAGCCTTATAACAGCGATCTCGAATGTCTATCTCCCTAAATAACGTTTGCCAGGCTGATCGGAATATGATGAAACTTGCTAGGGTTGTTAGAAATAATGTACTTAACATGTTTTTTTGGGTCTGGTTGCGATTTTCTGGTTTTGTGCGAACTTCTGAAACGACCCTCTATCGAGCTCCATACTGAAGCCTTATAACAGCGATCTCGAATGTCTATCTCCCTAAATAACGTTTGCAAGGCTGATCGGAATATGATGAAACTTGCTAGGGTTGCTAGAAATAATGTACTTAACATGTTTTTTTGGGTCTGGTTGCGATTTTCTGGTTTTGTAAGAATTGCAGCCAAATAAATTATTAAAGCTGCAAATTTCGTCAAAAATGTCAACCAAAAGCTATTAGGGGAACTGACGTCGCACAATATACATCTTTCTTAGAGGCGTAGATTGGGGGTGCGGGATGAAATGTAGATTCTCCGACAAAAATCTCAGTCCAAAAGAAATTGAACAAAATCAATTAAAACAAACTCATTCATACAAAGTCACGTTTCATTATCCATAAAGCTAAAATAGCATTCTAGCCAGACTCTGTAGCAAGCCTCTAATATAAATTCAAATATAACATAAACAGATTACTTGGTCATACTCGCGCAAATCTAACATATCTGTTCTTGTTTCCAGAACAACTTACTCATTTCATAATGAAAGAATATCATCTCTCCTTTAAAGAAGCGACTGCAAAACTTTACTCTACCGAACAGCCTAGAAATACGGTGTTCTTTAATGCAATTAAACACTCATAGAACCCAGTGACTTTGCTTTCCTATTTCCTCGAATCCTCGGCAGTATTGTAAATGATCATCTGTACAGTGACACATTTGCGAAAAATTTTTTTGGACCACGCCCTTCAGACACTTGCAAAAGCGGGGAAACGCCCTTTTTGCAAAATTTCTCCCCCCCCCCCATTATTTGATTATGTTAGCTACAGTACAATTGTTATTGACACAAGCATACAGTATTCTACACCCCCCCCCCAATGAGTTTTACATCGTTTTTGGACAAATCTCGAGGATCTTTTTTTAGAAAAGTAGGGGGGGGTCCGGACCCCCCTATTCCCCCCCCCCTGGGTAGGCCATGACTTCACGCATTTAACAAGTTGATCTTTATGGCCATAGTCCTGTTTTTTGTCTAAAACTTTCGTATAAGTAGTCTAAATCGATGTATATAAATAATTTAAATGTTTATTAGTAATCGAATATGTTAAACAGGTATTTTCACTACAAGTTGCGAAGGAACACTAAAGTATAGTAAAATATAAATATATAGACCCTTGAAACAATTAAGTGTTGTAACAAGTTTTATTTTATAATGTAAGTTGTAGTTCGATAAAAATTTTTTTTACCATTTTAATGTACTGTCAATAAATAACTCGTAATTATGCAAACTGTCGTTTGTCGCCTTTTGGGGTTCACCATAACTGATATAAAAATCTCAACCAGAAAATCTCAACCAGACCCAAAAAACATGTTAAGTACATTATTTCTAGCAACCCTAGCAAGTTTCATCATATTCCGATCAGCCTTGCAAACGTTATTTAGGGAGATAGACATTCGAGATCGCTGTTATAAGGCTTCAGTATGGAGCTCGATAGAGGGTCGTTTCAGAAGTTCGCACAAAACCAGAAAATCGCAACCAGACCCAAAAAAACATGTTAAGTACATTATTTCTAGCAACCCTAGCAAGTTTCATCATATTCCGATCAGCCTTGCAAACGTTATTTAGGGAGATAGACATTCGAGATCGCTGTTATAAGGCTTCAGTATGGAGCTCGATAGAGGGTCGTTTCAGAAGTTCGCACAAAACCAGAAAATCGCAACCAGACCCAAAAAAACATGTTAAGTACATTATTTCTAGCAACCCTAGCAAGTTTCATCATATTCCGATCAGCCTGGCAAACGTTATTTAGGGAGATAGTTTTTGCAAGTTTTCAAATTGGGGTTTCCTCGGAGCTTGTTGCTAGTTGAACATGATGTTGGAAATTGGTAGTTTTTCCCTTGAATTTGCTGAAAAGTTGAAGGAAAGGTACGTTTCATGTTGTTTTGAGTCGATTTCGCTAACTTGTTTCTTCCTTAGCGCCTGAAATCAGTTCAAATCAGGTTGTGATGTTTCACTGCGAATGTCTATTTTACGCGAACATTTAGGCCGTGTACAAAAATTTTCGATGTTTTGCCTTACCCTTTAAAGCATAGCGCGTCCTAATATAAACAAGATACACGAATCGACAGAGAATCCAGCCAAGTTTCCCACTATGAAATATCTTTTTATTATCTTTTATGGTTTTTTTGTAAGAAGCAATCAAAGTCCGAATGTATACTCGAATGTCTAACTGAATGTCTAATCGAATGTCGCTCGCTAAATAGCGGACCAAAACATTCAGAGGGGCTTAGTATGGATTTTGCTAAACGTTATTGTTTCATTGAGATAAAACTGCCGGAACAGCCTGAAATGCAATAAATGTTACCTTATCAGGGTGCTGTACCTTTCCAAACCTCCCCTCTCCCTTGTGTCTACATCATTCTTCAATTAAATCAAGATTAATATTAATTTCTTTCTAAAACAATGGTTGAAAGTCAAGTTCTCATTTACAGAAGTCAGCTTCTTAATTTGCAAAGAGATCTAACAGGATATCAATGGTTTGAAACACACGTTTTCTGAAACACTGTTTGAAAGAAAACATTGTCTGATGAACTAGGTTGATGGAGAGATGATTTGCATAAAGAATGAAGAATATAAAATGATGTAGGTTTGTAGAAAACATACAGTAATGGATTTTACAAAATTAATGCAATGACTTAAATTGAAATGAACATAAAAGAATGAAATGACCTAAATTGAGTCACTATAAAACAAACATTTGACTAGTATATACAAATCTGTACTACCCGAACATCTTTTTTAATTTTAACAAAGTGCTAGTACAAGTAACAATGTGTTGTCTTTATTTAGGTCCAAATCAAGTTGATACATTCTTAAAGGAGAATAGTGGACCTGGAGTTCAGCATATTGGATTACTGTCAGGAAATATTTTTTCAGATGTCAAACAGTGGATATCAAATGGTGTAGAATTCATTAATCCACCTATCCATTATTATAATGAAGTAAGTTCCAAATGAAATTAATTTTTTAACTTTGTTTTGAAGAAATAATTATCAGTATGCCACTAATATTAAAAATTCTAACATAAACAGTGTTTTAGTAGCAGGGGGAAAAATGTAATATGGCTATATTCAGAATAGTAATCGGAAAATTGCTAGCAAAATCAGCTATCACACTTCTGGGTTTTCAAAGGTTTATCATATCCTCAATATTCAGTTAAGTTTTGTATTGTCATACCAGTTATTAGCATTTGTTCAGTAGCCTGGGTGCAGACTATTCTTTAGAGGCATCGCTAAGTGGTTGTTGGATTTGTCAAAAATTTAAGGTGGAAACTGCCTAGTACTGACACTTTCCTCTAATAACATTCAAAAGTGCTTACAAGTGGTTAGAGTAAAGTCATATATTCCATAACAAAGTTTATCTCTTTGTGCCCATCCTCTGGTATTCAACTGATATGACAGCCCTTATGTTTTTACATGGTTCTTCATAGATAGATGAAAAAATAAAAAAGCTAGATGAAGAAAATTTAAGACAATTGTTGGAAGAACATGGAGTTTTGCTTGATACTGAAGAAATAGACGATAAAACTGAATTTCCAAAGTAAGTTCGAATTTTGAAAATTTGTCATACTATGTTTATCAAAATGTTAATAAATTGCGGGGCAATTATTTTGCAGTAATTTTTTTTATTTTTGGAAGCCATACCTCTAAGAAAAGTTAGGAGTTAAAGTTGGGGATGTAAAATGGGGGTGAATGGCATGTGAAATCATTAAACACTCTATCACTGCCATTGTATCTTTCAAAAAAAAAACATAAAGTTACACACCAGTTCTGAACACTTGCATTATTTGAAAAACACTGTGAGATGCACTGTGACCTGCTGTTTATTGTGTGGATTCTGCTTTAGGGTCATGAAATATATTTGACTATTCTTAGGTTGACAACAAATTATTCAAGATTAAAATAATCACACCAATTTGAAGATTTAGCAACAAAAATTTGGGTGAGCAGACATGCATTTGAAAGAAAATTACTTTTCTGCAAATGCTCTTCCCCTTTTTGTTGTGTCAGTGTTGGGAAAGACAAACCACATTTTTGTAAGGCACAATCATTATCATACATAGGACTTCAGAATGTGCTCAACAATTGAAAAAAATGTTTCCATTTCTACAAAAACACTTATTTCCAAAAACCAATAATGAAACCATGGTGTTTTTGAAAGGGTAATTGACCACTAAGTACATTTTGTAAAAATTATAAACATGAAAATATAAATTCAAAAAGCTCATAATAAAAACCTTGAATCCTGTACATAAATATTATTTTTTTATGCAATATTTTGTCTTGCTTTGTTTTAGATATTTACTTCAAGTTTTCACTAAGCCAGTTTTCCTAAAAGAGACCTTCTTTTTTGAACTGATCCAGCGACATGGAGCGTCTGGTTTTGGAGCTGGAAATATATCTGCCCTTTGGCGTGCAGTGGATGCTTATCTCAGAGAAGGCAACAAATTTAAAGAATAATAGATAATTATATTTTCAAATTGACAATTTAGCAGATAATTTTATCTTTCTACTGTTGTTTGTTGTGAGCATGAATTCTTACATATTTCTATTAGTTGTCTTATGATGTAGCATATCTGTTAGATATCTGTTAAATAGTTCCATTTTGCTTCATCTGCCTTCAGATTAAATTGATTATTATTTTATTGCTTTTTATACAGGATCATCAAATGATAACTGGTTTTATGTATGTACAGTAATGACAAAACCTTGTTTATTCAAATCAACTAAATATCTCATGTACTTTGTTCCTTGTTTTCTTTACTAAATTTTCAATGGAAGAAAACCAGCAACATACAAAGTAACCTTACAGACTGACCATTTGCAATTGTTGCTAGAGTTTTACACTAGCAAAGAATTTGTAAACTAACTTTAAATCATGCTTATTTTCCTAAAAAATTTTTTTGCGTCTAGTTGAAATATTTACTGAAAACAAATGCCAACAAGCTTTAAAATTCTTACATTTGGCAACTTACTTTGATATTTTATTTCATCTAAAAGAAGATGATTAATCTCAGAAAATCTTTTCATTTAGTTCAACAGGCCTGTTTTACAAAGAATAGTTCAAAAATCAAGATTTTTTGTGAAACCACTTTAAATTAGAAATCAGCAAATTCCTTCAAGAACTGTGTGCTTTTTGTGCTTGATTTGGGACTTCAAGAAATGGAAAGATTGCAGCCCCAACAGCAATGGTTTCAAATGAACTAAATTCAATTTTATAACTAACAATGGTTCAGTAAAGCAGTTGCATTGAAGATTTGCTAATACTCTGTATAAAATGTTCTTTTGCATGAAAAATTACAAAAGATTTTGATAAGTGTTATTTGAAACCAAGTTGGTATCAAAAACAAACAATCTGTTCAAAACAATATTTGTTGATGAATAATAACAGTAGCACAACGTGATTTTGAAAACTTTAATTTTTGTATTTCAGGCTAAAAGGTAATGATACAGTCTTTGACAAAATCTTCTATGTACAATTGAATTAAACCATAAGGCTAACAATTTCTGGAAAATGTTTTTTTCATTATATTGACACTGATAGCGTTTTTGATGATAATAGTATTTGCAAATCTAGCCTCATTCTGAAAAAGGAGAACTATGCAAACCAATTTTTTACGCTGAAAGCTGTTTTTCCAGACAATGGTTCTTATGTAGGTTTGAAACAGTTTCTTTGTTGCGATAAATAAAACAAGGGTCGGTACAGGTTTATGTCTGAAATATTAAAACGATTTCTTAAAAATGAACACACTGAAGGCTAAGCCTAGCATGGGAAACAAATGGGGCTGACTTTTGGCTGATTAACAAAGATAGATTTAAAGGGACTGAAATCAGGTAGTTTGGTTTATTTCATCTATTAACAACAGCTGATCTAAAGAACAAAAACCAATTAAATTGTTAAACAATGTTAAAACCACCAAAATTTCTTGCCAATGCTAAATTTCTTCTCCTAATATTTGCTGCTGAAGTTATAAATTCAACCAGTGATTCAGAATTTGTTCAATATGCAATTGTGAATAATTTTAACTTCATCAATCATATAATTGCAAACCTAAAAATGAATAAATGTCCATGCTAGCCAATCGCTTGGTTTGGATCAAAGAAGAATGCTGACAGGGCAAATAAAATGAACACCACTCCACCAATAAGTGTAACTGCAAGAAAGAAAATAATCTTACTGAAAGTGCTTGAATTTGTCTCGTAATCAGCTTCTTATTTCAGAGAGTTTTTGTAATAATTTGAAACAAAATGCTGCAGGTTTACCATGTGAAAAGGGAGTGACCTGTTGTCCTAATCATACTTCTACTGTCATTATAAGCTTCTCACGCAAAAGAATGTTTTACTTCTATGTGAAGAATGTAATCATAGAGCTCCTAAACATAATCCCAAGGTAGAAAGGAAAGATAAAAATATAACAGAATGCCTGAAAATAAGAAAAAAAGGCAAATTGAGATAATAAATACTTCAAAATATATCTGATAATTTGACATTGATAATTGGATTAAAGTACAACAGCACTGTAAAACAACCCAGAAATATGAAAAGTAATTTTTTTGTCTGTTGCAAGAAGTAAGTTAGCAGAAACTTTTTTGATGTACAAACGAGGTAAGACAATTGTCTCTCCAGCCACATTTCTTTGTGTTAGACAAAAGTCTACTCAATCTTATCAACAAAGGCTGACACTCCTAATTGACAGAAGAAGTTTGTATCTAGCTGACACAAAAATATTATCGTAAGAGTGTGAATATTATCAATTTATGTTATTCAGCCATACCTGTACGAACAGAAATTCTCTGTGCAATTAATCTGCCTCCTAATACAGCCAAACCTGTACAAATTGCATGACCGATTATGCCTCCAAGGGTCACACCAAATGGATCCTACAACAGAAAAGACAAAATGTAACACCAAACATTGGATGGAAATAAAGATAATTGATAACAGATACTTGATATAGATCAAAGCTATATCAAACCATTGGTCATATAATAATTTAAAAAGGAAAGTTGACTATCAAGAGTTTTTGGAATAAAAAATTGACTTTAATCAACAACACTTGGCTTAAACTTGGAAGTTGAAGCAATCAGACTCTGTCCCAGAATAACCAATAACAAAAACAAAGAACAATAGTGACAAAATAGTGCTATGAAGTACATAACCATTTTTTAAACTAGAAAAAAATTTATCCAACATCTGTAATATCAATGTTGAATGGCCTAACATGGTGTTCACATGAAGTGTAGCCAAATAGTGGTTCTTTAGGGACATTATCCTTAAATGGAGTCCTGAATCTATGAATGGAGAATCTATGTTTCAACAATTTGAAACAATCATATAGAGTCCTGACGCCATGAGTTGGTGCATTATTAGTAAATACGTGTTATTCTTTTTGAACAAGAGTTTATAAAAGATCTACTCACTATTAAAAGACACCTTGGTGTGTCCTCTAAATGATGCTTTGAATTATTCTTAAATTGATTTAATTTGCTTTCCATACAACCAACATTAACAAGTAGCACAATGTGCAAAAGAAATGTAGGCTTGTCGCAATAGTGGTTCACACACCAAAATCAAGTGTGCCAGCACTGCTACAAAGACTATGGGTGTAAGGATTTGTTTATTTGCAACCATTTAATTAACAGCATAGAACAGCTGATTTAATTTACATATAATTCTGTTTATTTAATACTTTAAATCCTGTGAAAGGGGATCTCTAGCAAGGATACAAGCCATTGGGCTGGGGAGGGGGGCTGTAGCCCCACAATGTTTGAATTTTTTAAGAAATCAACAACAATCAAATATTATTCTTCCCTTAGTCCAGCAGGAATTTTGGTACAGGATGGAACTTTTGTCTGGCAGCCCCCTTAGATTTTTCTTCCTGTACAGCCCTCACAGCTGACCCTGGGTGAATTTCCAGAGGTGCGCCAGTATGGCCACATGTGGAAAATAAAACGCAGACAGAAAAAATCCCTTATTTCAAAGGGCATTGATAACTTACAAGTTTTTTTCAAAGTCTTAATGCTCAAAGCCTAATGGGAAAATATTATTGCATGTAAACCAAACAATGCTAGGAAGTAAAAAATGTTGAAATAGCATCATTCGCGCATATTTTTGGCAATCCACAGCTTTTAGCGCCTCTTCTTCAAACGTAAAAATGGAAGGGTTGAAAGTCAAGATTTGACTAGTGCACCAGCTCATTGCGGCAAGACTCTATAGTTGGGAATATTCAAGGTAAATAGTTTTAGGTAAATAAATCTCTGGGAAAACTGGGATGGATATATTCAGACAGATCACTTGGATTCAAAAATACAACCCCTTGGAAAACTGGGATAGAATTGTCAATCTCTTGGTGATGGCCCTGATAACATGTCAAATTTCCTTGCAAATATCTTGAAAATAATAATTATATTAAAGACAAAATAAGAATTGCTTACATCTCTTGATGCTAGTATAATTGTTGTCAGCTGTGATCTATCTCCCCATTCGGCAAGAAATGTCATTGTAAATGACTGCAGCAGGATTGGGGAAAACAAAAAACTGTACCATTTCTTCCTCTCATTTGCATCGCGGATGATTCCAGTTTCCATATCTTGCACCACAGAAGACTTTTGTTGTTTCTCAAGCTATGTAAATAAATCATTGGTTGTCAAAATGTAAAAATCTTTTCAAAAATTATATCATGGTACAGGTGCTGACCAAATTTGATTCCAATTAAGTTTAATGAACCTTAAGCAACTATTCCAGCTTTAAAAGCAGCTTGAAAATTAAAGGTTGCCCATAAAAACAGGTAGCTCTAAGTAACCTCAAAGAACACATTTTGTCTAAGATAAACCTAAAATTATAAGAAAGGAATTTTTAGCAATGCCCTAGAAAAATTACTCCTTTGATTGATCCAAAAAAGGGACCATTACCACCAATGGCAAATTCACTTCACAATAATAATTCTAAATTATTACTGGCCAAAGATATGATTACCTCTTCATCCTTTCTTTTCAGCTCAACAGAGACTTCTTCAAATTCTTCTTGACCTTGGTTGGGATCCATATCATACCCTTCCTTCAACATTTTTAACCCAAAAAATGCAAACAAGGCAGTTGATATATAGAATGTGTATTTTCTTGGAATTACAGTGGTAGCATAGCCAAGGAATGAAGCTAGAACAGTCATTAAAGCTAGTGCCCCAATAGCACCAAGGAAAACTACTGATCTACGATGTCTCATTGCCATTATAGCAGCAATAAAAAATGTTTTGTCCCCTAGCTCAGATACAATAATTACTGATATTGAGGCAGCAAATGCATGTATAAACCCTACATTCCAAGTCTTTTTCTCTTCTTTAAGCTTGTTTTCATTTTTTCTTTTGTCCAGCCATTCCTAAAAGAATTTTTTAAAATATATACTGAAGCAACTCCACATACATTCAGTGAAACTCATTATGCAAATGTAAGTGAAAGTTACGGTATTCTTTCTTGTATTCCCGCTGCTGGTTTATTGATTAAACCTCCTAGTTAAATGTAGGATTTTCAAAGAATAGGAAAAGGCAACCCAACACTGATTGAATATTTTCTTTCACTGATGATGATGAAGAAAAGTCCAAATAGGAAATGAAAATCTCAACTAGATGTTGATGAAACAAATGATTTTATTTTTGCAGATGTGATATGCTCATTAAATTTGTGTGAAATCTGCCAGATTGTGCAATTTTTCAATATGCCCAATTCTTACTGCCTACTATTAACAATAATTTTGTTTCCAGCATTCAAACATTATAATAATTGTGTTCCTTTTTGTATTGGCCAGCCCTTGATATCTTGATTTCTCTAGTTATTTTCTATGTTTTTTCTTTTCTTTTTTCAACTTTAATGCTGGAGAGCTTGGCTCAATTTGGAAGACATCTACATTATAATGCTAAAAATCAGGATAGCAAAGCTGATTCTGTACGCCCAATCTCTTAATACTGCCAACTTCAAGGGTGCCTACACCTGGGGGGCTGGGAGGCTGGAGGGGCAGCTGCCCTCTTTGAAGAGGGGCAGAGGGGGCAAGAGGTGCCCTGAGACATAAGAACATATTATAGAAGCTTATTGATAATTGATGACTACTTTGACCACTCTTGTTATGTTAATTTCTATAAGAAAATATTAGAAAGAGGATAACACCAGCACAAAAATGCAAAGGTTAAAAAGTATGTTTGTGACAAGATGGGTCACAAGAGAGAGAGCGGCAAAGGTAATAAATGATTAACAAAAGACTTGTTCCCTCAGAAGTACTTCAGGTCCCTAAGGAGGATGAATCGGCATTAAAACTTAACAGGCAATCAAAATTTTATAACCAGCCTCTTTTTAACAGCAATGGTTTTTATAAAAACCAAATATTGTTAATAGTGACAAGGCCAGCTAATACTTATTTTTATGTATAGGTAATTTTGTCAACATTTTCTCTACGTTTAGAGAGAATTCTTCAATCTTCAATAGTTAACTCCTAAAGGCTTTACAACCAATCTGGAGTAATTCCTAACATATCATTTACAAGAAACGTGCAGGCTTTGTTTTGATCACATATAAATTAGATTTATGAAATTGAAAAAAACAGATGATTAACAGCTCCTAACAAAATAATCTATAACTGAAAACATAACAGATAAGGTTTTTTATTTCTGAGGTTTACAATGATTGTTCGTGTTTGAAATAAACTTTCATTGTTAGTATGGGCCAGCTTACCTGTTGTACATGACCGGCTTCTTCCAAATTCATTTTCTCCCCAAAATTCTTCTCTTTATCCACAGACTCGACTGCTTTTTGGATACCGCCATCGATTTCCTTTGATGCGTCAAACAAAAATAGCTCACTTGCATATATACAGGGCAGAACAACTGGAAAGAAACTACAAAATAAAACGCACAGTCTCAAATAGTCCCTCATTTTGCAGCAATTTTACTTCCAAGTAGCTTGTTTGTTCTACGTCTCTTGTTTTTGAGTTGAAGTTCTTTCTACCATTAGTCAATCCTAGCTTTCTAACTACTACGATTTTTCTCATATATTTCAAAACGATCAAGGGCCTACATCTGGATTTAAAAGTTGTCACATTCCTCTGAGAGCCGCCGAAACTTTCAGCTTTCACCTCGTTTTGAAAACAAGGCTGCAACGTAATCACGGACAACAACTTGATCTTCTTTTTGATCAGAGATCAGGGATCGGTCCGGCTTTGTACACAAATATATACCTATATGAATATATAAAATGGAATTAAATAAAGGTATCAAAGTATTAGCCAAAAATGAATTATTATGAAGGTTTCAGACATGTCATTTAATTTATGTACCTCTGTTCCTTTCACTATTCTATGCATCTCAGTGGCAACCTTTCTTTTATGAATATAACATATTCTAGTCCAGTTTAAATTTCTAAAAACATCGTTGTTTAAAATGTCTATTTTCTTCACTTCTTTTGCCTTTTTCATCTGTCACATTCAAGTCCTTTTTATAAGATTTAGACCATGTCCCTCGTATTAGCATACATAAAGCTATATTTGGTACTATTGTGCGGTAATTCATCTTTTCAAATGTCCAGGTATTAAAACTCAAATGTTTCTTAGCATTGCACTTAATGTAGTATTTTTCTATCGACCTTTTTCTTTTCCTGTTTCCATTTCAGATTTCCATCTATAGGATACTGAAAGCAACTTTCATTCTCTCTTTGAATCCACCACTTTGTAAACCATTTCACAGGTTGTGAAGGGGAAACGATCTTTCAGTTTTGTATGTTAATTGCTTCTGGTTTCTTTGAGGAACACCAAAGGGCGACGTTGCTTTTTGTCAAGAAAGGACGTCAGATTTAGAAAATGAGAGAAGAACACGACGTATGTATTTATGAGAAAAATAGACGTAATATTTTTACCGCTAGAAAAAGCCCGTTTACAAACAAGTAACTACTCTTCCCCCTTCCCCGAAATGTTCTCATCAAATTTAGACGAAATACATAATCAATCTTGCCGAGAATTGGGGGCTGTATCCCCTTGTCCCTGCGTGTCGCCGCTATTGATACAAATAACATTTACGTCCGATAGCAAGATCGATAATACTCTAAAAACCAAACAGCTGGATACATTTACTCTGCAAGAAAATCTCAATAATATAAACATTGGTTTGTCTTCTCAGCGCCTGAAAAAATTAGGCAGCACTATCAAAAAACTCTTTCCATAGGTAGACTAATAACGGTTTTGAAGGGTTTATGAAAACATTCTTGCAAAAAGCGATTGGCTGCATGAAACGGTTTTGTGGAAGGGGCATTAGACACGTTCAGACTGAAATAGTTTAGTTGAAAATTTTCTAATTAAAATTTCAAATCTTAATCTTGAGTTGAAGTAATAAAATGGTGAAATTTTAGGTGGGTACTAATTTAGAGAATCAGACAAGAATAACGAGAGATAAGAGGGGGAGTGGGTGACCAAGAAATAAAACCCTAATGACTTTCAAGAGGACAGGATAGTAAGAAAATGTAAAACCATTGAAAGAGTTTTGAGCTCTTTGAATGCATTACTTTTACTTTTTGTTAGCTTTGGCGTGCTATCATCAATATAAACTAGACAGGATGGGAGGGGGGCTCAATCCTTTGTTCTAGATTTAAGTTATTACAAAAAATGTGGCTATTTCTCTCTGTATATTCATTTCACCCCTTTTCAAATATTTATCGAAAATGGAGAAATAATATGCTTCTTTACCTTCGTTCAGGTAAGCCATATTTTTAGAAAGATTGTAGTTTATAGAAAGAAAACTTATTTCAAAATAAAATGTTGAGGAATATTTGTCTCTACACAAAAGTCCTTCACACTAACGCAAAACATTAAAAACACTATTGGAACGTCATTGTGATGGTCTTTTAACCAGCAATCAATCTTTGAGGGTAAAGCCTTAATAGAGACAATTTAAATACGGCGAAAACAGCATTGTCTGGAGTATAGCTTTGCCAGTATCGCTCTCTTCCAGTGTTTGGCTTACAAGATTCCATTTTATCAATTGTCTGGTGCTTTGCAGTACTGAATTCTTCGGGAGTTGCGTGGACAAGATTCTAATGAAAATACGAAGAAACAAGGTTGAGAAATTAATGGTGGTTTCATATAGTGACAGCACTACAGCAACTTGGTGCAAAATGAGGCAGTGCTCTGTTGCTTGAAGATGAACAAAAATTTAAAATCGGGCATTAAGGGTCATCTGAATTGATAAACTGACAAAAAAGAAGAGAGTTTTCACTCCAGGGTCGAAGATAAAGAAAATTGTCAAAAGGGGGGGCATATCCCCAGATTTCCCGACAAAACTGGTGGTCCTAAAATGAGGTTGTTAGCAATTAAAGAACGTGACCAAACTGCTTCCATTGAAATCTTAAACTGCTCCCATTGATATTTTAAACCATTTAAGAATGCACAGACAATCGTTTTAAGCATTAATGGAACACACAATTTGCATGTATATGTATTCGATTAGCACAATTCATAAATCTTTAAAGTTTAAACATTGGAGCAATAGATGATATAATAAAGAATCATTTTTGTATTTACCGACAAACCTATTATTCGATCAAATATTTTATTTAAAAATCACAAGAGCATATTTACCCAAAATAGCCGTGTATCTGTGTTTGAAATTGTCTTTGATCCATCTATTGACAACTACTTGATAAACTGCACCCCTTACTTCTATTTTGATCTGCCAAATAAAGGCAAGCATATCGTTGCTACTGGAACCCACAAAATCATTCTCAAACATTTTGAAATGAAAATGGCTTATAAGAAGTCCTAGTACCCATTCCCTAAAAGTCCCTAAAAGTCCCTAAAAGTCCCTAAAAGTCCCTAAAAGTCCCTAAAAGTCCCTTAAAGCCACAATCCGAGAACATCTTCTTTCACCTTGCCAACTGGGCATGCTGCTTTTTAATGTGACAGTTCAACTAGCACTTGAATGTAATCAATTTGAATTTCTATAAATCATTTCAATTATTTTCACTCTTTGTCCTTTTTTGACTCAAAAATGATTTATCTGCTATTGGTATTTCTCAGTACATTTAATTTAATCTATTTTTTACTCTGTTATGAAATTATTAATAAAATTTATAATACAACAATTTTGTCCAAAATAAAGCGCAGGGAAGACATTTCGGAGCAAAGTTTCATATATAAAACAAGGGAAGCTTTAGAGACAATAGACTGGTCTTCCAATCTATCGAAATAGCAAGCTACGGATAAAAAATTGAAAACTAACACATACCCAAGAGAGAAACCAACCCTGAAAAAACTCATATGGAGAAACTCGTTGAATAGTAACGTATTCTATTCCAGGAAGTTCTTTCTCGTTAAATGACAACTGATCTTCGCTGTAAAAACAAATAAGATATAATACATTGAGTTGTTCTAGACATTATTTCGAGAAACATAAATAAATCGCTCTCCGGGAATAGAGGAAGGAATCAAATTGGAGGAGTCGAATTATAATTAGGCTGCTAATAAATCGACAAGGCCTTGCACTTGAACTTGCACTTGTTTTGAAAAATATCCAGTTTCCTTGCCAAGGTTCCTTCTTCCCTGAGAAGCCCCCTAACAAGCCCTTATAAACGTGCCACAGATCCGGTTATCCCTTTTTCGTTTCTGATAATCAAATATCTTAATCTGGCCTCGTCAAAAAGTTTGGTTAAATGCAGCGATGGGCCTAGGCAACTTAGCTTGTGGGTTTACTTTTTTGACCAACTATTTTCCATAGAAAATTTTATAAAGTAAGAGCAAATAATGGCATGAAAGTATAAGGAAATAAAGTTTGCGGAAACTAACATTTCTGGATTTCGCGTTTTTGAGTGAATTCATGAACTTTTTGCGAGAAACCATTTATAGGTTAATCTGCAAAAATGAACTACAGCTTCTTTTGAGCTCCTCAAAACAATAATTTCAATTTACTGAATTTCCTCTAATCTATAAGAATTTTATAAGAATTGCGTGGCAAATATGGCTGGGGCCGCCGAGAGGTTTTAGAGGCTCTGGTGCAAAATGGAAAGACGATGCCTCTGCGAGAGGAGCGAGAAGAAAAATTTTGCAACCACATCCTTCAGATTACTTAAAATGCATCTCAGAAAATTTCTTGCAGTCATTCTTGCAATCGTTTAAAACTTTTTAAAACTTTAGGCATACTTTTGCTACACTTGATCAATTCCATTCTTAAAATGGAATTCATTACTTTATGTGGCCATCTGGACATCGAGTCCCTGGGACAATTTGCCCTCTTGTGGTGGTGAATATGGTAAAGCATGCCAAATACTGTAAAGCCTTGAGGTTTTTCTAATTGGAAGGACTTCTGGCTCAAATAAAAATTATCACAAAAGATCAAGACCTATCATTAGTGAAGCTAGATAATTGTTCTTAGTGTATTGTAGCGACATATGTAGTATTGTAGTGTTTTTAGGAACGTCATGTAATGGGCACTGTATCCGGAAAACTAAGATGGCTACTAGCTAGGCTCGTTCCAAGCTTGAAATATACTTCGGCTTGAGATATACTTCAAGGTAACCTTGACCTATCGAATAACGTGGCGAATATCAACATGTTAAGTTAAGTCAAGAAAAAATAAGTGAACTTATATTTTATTTTGGTTAAGCGGAATAGAAAACTAACCTTCCCCTCTCCAATATATTTGCCTTTCCATTTACCTCAAACGCTACACTGCTGTGGTTTCCACTCCAAACTGTAAGTAAGTATACAGAATCTGTTCCAGCTAACAGTCCGCGTCCGGTCTTTATCGTCAGTTTATAATCTGTTAAGAAAGGTAAATTAGAAATGAAGCCCAAGCTTGAATCAGAAAGGCACAGGCTAACAAATAAGGAGCATATGCTATGTAGCGATTTCATTGAATAAGATCGTAGGACCTACCGTGGAAGATGATTGACAAAGGAAGGTTGTATGTTTATAAAGAGCATTTAACTCCAACGGACATCAACGTTTTAGGAATAAATAAATATCTTGTACAAAGGTCGCTTACCGATTTTATCAGCAACTGTTGAAATGCAGAATGTGACTGCTAACAATGCCATACCACTATATATCGGCTTCATTTCGTGTGACAAATTGGATCCACGGCTTGGTTTCTTCTTTTAGCAAGCCTCGAAGTGCTTGCTTGATGAGCTTAAACAGCAATAAGGTGTCCAAGATGAGGAGGTAACAGAATAATTATGTACACGTTGCTGTCGGTAAATTGGCAAAACGACAAGGACACTGGGAATAAAAGCATGAGCATCAATGACCAACTCCGGATAATTGACAAATAGTAACAGCATAAAGCAGGGTTAAATAATTATGGTCCGCTACCGGCTATAGTCGATTACTCTTCATTATTTCAAACACGAGAAAGATGAACAAATACTTTGGGCTAATTATGCCTAACGCTCTTCAGTTTGAGTCAACATTATCTTTTAACGAAGCAAAGCTGTCGATGACTTCTTTAGACAGTTTAAAAAGCTGTTTGAAACACCAGAGCACGTTTTCGTATTTCAGATGAAAGCGAAACTCTAAAGTATCTCTAGCAAATATTTTTTACAAACCAATTAATATAGTGTTTGTGCATATATTACAGTTTACTTTTAGGAAGAACCTTTGAAATGAATTTTCTGACGGTTTAGCTATCTAAAGTTTAAAAAACAGTAAATTAAATTTAATTAAACTCCAGCAAACATTAGCAGGTTGCAGTCCGGGCATTAAGTATACACAGGTTGAACATCCAATATTGGAGATCAAATTTTTCAACATGCTGTTCATACGCAATAAAGCAGTGTACTTTGTTCCCGAAGACTAAGCATATGGTGCAAGAAAAGCGGTTGACTCTATAAATTCACCTCTAAATGTGCATAGCCTATTCGAAGGGAAACCGGCTGGGGGGGGGGCAATCATTTGTTTATATAACGAGAAAAACAATAGCTGATTGTTTAAAACAATGGAAATTCACTGGGGCTATAGGGGCGATTGCCACCCCCCTCCCTAGTTAGTATGTTAAAAAAGGCCCTGAAAATGCGATCCACGTTTTCAATCGGATTGCATTCCACAAAACCCAAACTCTTCTCATGAGTTTCAATTTTCTGTGCATGGTCCTTAAGATAGGCACAAACCCAAGGACAAAAAAACAGGGCCGTGTTTGTGACATCATATCTTCCTTGTTTGAGAAGGGACGAAGTTTTTGTGACACCATACCTTCCTTCTCCCGATAGATTCTTGGCTCCTCGATCAAATCGAAAGGAACTATTAAAACACGACTCTTATCCTGTCTTTCATCAGAGACACTTTCACGTTGTACGCTGCCTTGCTGTTTCAGAATGACGCAATACTTGGTTCCAACGACTTTTTTTAATCATATTAGCAGAGAGCTAATTTAAGAAGAAAGAGCAAGAATTCATTGCTACGATCATGTTAGCTCGAAATAGTTTAACAATATTCTGTAATTATTTCCTATATACATATTTGCAAATTGCTCACATTAGTTTTCTGTATAAAAACCTATTAACTCGTATATTACTGTCTTTAAAGCGACTTCTTGCAGTCAGAAGTTAACTGTGAATTCCTCTGACCAGTTCAGTATAAAATGGTTCTACAAAAGAAAGAAACATTTCTTCTCAAACACAATCATACAATATTATCATCCAAGTCACCTAACTTCCTTTTACTCTACATGACACTGAATGCATCTAGAATTTCGGTCTGCTTGGCAATATCTTGATCATTTCCTTCGCTGTCATATTTCACATATATTTCATATCTCCACAGCAAACAAAACAAAAATATAAATACGGCAAAAATTTGAATCTCAATTTTTCAGGTTTCTGTTTGTAACTATCATTTTGCTAAAAGGCAAGGTTAACAAAAATTACCACACTCAAAACGTTGCTTTGGAAAAAACGTCCAAGAAAATATTAAGAATTGCATAACAAAACTTAATAACTTCTCGATGTTAAACATCTAGATGCTTCTTTACTAACGCACTGTTCACTTGTCAACTCTGCCAGGTCCCAATAAACATGGTAATGAACCAGTATGGAGACATAACAGGAGATTGAAAAGAATTCTTGCAAGTTTAAAACACTCACCTTCATCAGGGCTAATAAACCCATGGCGGATAAGAAAATCAAGAATCACAAGGGAACAGTTTGGTTTAAACTCATCAGTGGCAATCAGGGCTTTGACCTTTGGAAAACGAGTCCGGTTTAAAATATTATAAGTTTAATTTACTAGCTTAATGCATATTTTAACATCTATAATATTGGTACCAATGAGGGAGCGAATGGGATATGATACAAAGCCTATTGAGGGAGAAAATTTTGAAACAGCACGCAGGAACCTAATTTTAAAATAGATATTTCTATACCAACATTTGCTTAAAAAGGTTGGTTGAAAAAAGAACGCAGTGTAATTGTTTAGATATAACAAATTTATAAGAACAGAAGCAAGATTAGTTGTGTTTGTATTTGAGTTTGTGTATTGTTAAATTGTGCTTTCACATGTAGTGGAGGACTTTAAAAATACTTCCAAAAATTCACCTTTCTGAAAGTTAGTTTGGTATAATTACTTCTTGTTGAATTTGAATTATATAATGTATCCAAGGATTACCTCTTCCATGGTTAGAAGATAAAACGCTTGAACTTCTCCATCAATATTAACAGGTTGAAATGACTCTGGCATTTCTAAATCAAACACGAACTGAGTCTCTGGGAAGATACCTCTGTCGTCTTCATAGGTATAACTAGAAAAAGAAAATGGAAATAAATAAAAAGTTTCCACGAATTCTTAATTTTTTTAAAATTCAAGGTAAGAAAAAACTCGAAGTAGCTCTCTTGTTTAGTACTGGGAAAATATGACGATAACCGAAACAAGTCGAGCAACATCATTTAGAACAAGGAAGTTTAAGCTATTTCAATACTAAATTAAAGGCAAGACAGCGGGAGCAATCGCAAAAAAATAAGGCTTTGGTATTTGACTGCCCTAAAGACTCAAAGTAATTGATGCAGGTTTAGGAAATGAACCCGGCAATGGGATAAGATATTTCTCACCTCTCTTATTCAAGGGGAGTTTACTGAAATCCAGAAAGGCCTAAATGAAGGTAACATGAAACAGGTTCCTAACGCTAAAGCATGGTTTGAGTCAATGACTTAGGGCATCGTATAGTTGTACCTTACTGTTCCAGCTGGTCTTGCCTGTCTTACTAGTTCTTCAGGGATAGCAGCTTCTTCCAAGCATTCCTTTACCAAAGCAGACTGGACTGTCATCCCAGAAGCAAGGCCTCCACCGACCTTTAAGGAAAAGTTGGATCAGATCACTAAATGGTTGCATATGGCTACCTTACCTTAGCTCAAACTAAACCACCTTGGCTTTAATTCCTAGTGAGAAGGGAACAAATCTACTTAATGCAACTTTTGAACTTGTACCTTTGAACATTGAACTTGTGCGTTGAAGAACAAAGTTGCGTGTTAGTTTCATAGTATATCAGACAAAAGTTCATAAATTGTGATTGAAAATAAAAGAAATTTCAAATTAATTGAAGTTGCAAAACAAAAAAATGTTGTCTTGAAACGGAAAGTTTAAAAACAAGAAAATTTCTCACTGTGTTATCAAGTTTGCCAGGCCAAGTAGGCTTCGTATCGCTTCTTTTGCCGATCCACATGTAAATTTCATTTTGTGCATTCCTTACATAGCCATTAAGATGTACACCATATTGATGAATGCCAAACAGACCTTAAAAAAATAAAATCAGTGCATGGTTGGCCCAATCGTTGAGCTTTTAAAGGATGCATATATCATATTAGTTTGCTAAACTGTTTGAATGAAACTACGAAAACTACGAAGGAACTGGTTCATTGGTTCCAGTGAATTCAATATTACATTCTAAACTTTTAAAAAAGATTCTTCACTAGCTATCATTGGAAGCCTATCACAGTTTTATGATTGACTATAAGTTAGACGGTGGTTCACAGATGTTGCAATTATTTTTCAGCGAAAAGTAGTTTCTGCAATTTGTTTCAGGTTTTGGTCGCCCCATAGGAATTTTAAGAAACATTGCTTCCACTGTCTCTCCAGCCAAAAATTGTCATCCTTTGTTTTTCAGTTAATCTTGTAAATTAATCTTGCTAATCATAAATTGATTGTTTGTTTTCAAAGATTGTGTAAAGTTATTTAGTTACAAGTACTTGAATTTCGACAACTGAACTGAATTGTGAGGAAATAAATTTTTGGCTCAGTGACACTGCTCTGAATAACGAAAATTGTTTCGTTTTTGTTTGCTATTACTCAGAACAGAAAATTTTTTAAACATTATGATTTCATAAATAATTGGAATATGCAACACAAACATTTTTATCATGCAAAGTGTAGCAGCAACAATATTGGAAGTCAATAAAAAGAAAAACATTCAGAGAGGCTCTTTAAGTGAAGAAGACACTTCAGTTGAGGCTCACAATTAAATAATTACATAATAAGCTGACAAAATCTTAAAATCATGATTGTAGTTTTATGCTCTTGTTTCTATAGTTTGGGCTTTGGTTCATTCTTCTTGTTCATTCTGTTTTACAGCTTTGAGCCTTCTAATAATTGGCTCCTAGTACTTTGCAGGTTGCCACTGAACAATAAAGATGTCCTGTGAAACTTCAGGTTTGGAAAGACACAATCAAAGTATTTAAGCAAAGCAAAAGTAATTTCAGTGCCATGATGAAGTAAGCTATAAAAACACTGCTGTATGCCTTCAAGACATACATTTACTCACAAGCTGCAGATCTTTCCAGTTCAAAAAACAATTCACTTCCATATGATGAACAAACTGCATATAGCTGCAGAAAAGTAAAACAAAGCAATAAACCACTAAGCAGTACAGATAATACCCAATGAATTAGATATAACCAGACCTGCTGAGTTACAAGCCAAACAACAGGGACAATATGTTCCGTACAATACCATATTGGGGATTGCAAAGCCATGACACAAGTGGGGCAAAAACCGCAATAAATACAATGGGCCTATATCATTGAGATTTGAAAATTCCTCTGGAGCTCAAACAAGGTCCATTGCCAATCAACAAAATTCAGATTTTCATTCTAAATGTATTTTTCTCTATTTCAAAGAAGTTTCATAGCCAAAGAAGAGTGGCTTCTATTCAACATCAATTTTTTGCTGGTTTGTTACACCTGAGAGATTGGAATTTACTATAGAGCAATAGAATCCATCATAGTGGTGCCAAGTCTGTGAAAGCCTATACACAGATGATAACACAGGCATAAAAAGCCAAGCAATGAAAAAATGAAAATGAATTTGTAAAATGAAAAAATAAGTAAATTTTAGTACTTCTTTTATTTTCATGAAGCCATTGAGAAGAATGTTAAATAAGTAGAAAAATTTGTATAGTGCTTCATTTTTCCCCATGTCACTAAAAACAGGACACGATACATATGTTTCAAAACATTCCCCTGTTTCAAGGGTACATGGATGCACATAAATTGTAAGGAACCATTTCAATTTTGTTGCATGCTGGAGATGATAACCATCCAAATTTTAAAGTGAATGGGGTCTAGGTTCAGCTCCGTGTTTCTTACTGTCTACCAAGTCCAATCCATAAACCTACCTGGTGTCAAATAGTTAACAAAATATAATTGTGTCTCTTCAGCAATCAACAAAGTTGCTTTGATTTGATCCAAGAATACAGTAGAAATAAAAATGAAAATACCTCATCTCGCCAGCCATTTAAAGTGGTAAACATATTTTTTTCACGAAACTCTCTGACTAAAGTGTTGACTGCATTGGTTCTTTGATCCGCTGTTTTTAGCTTTCCACTCAATGTGACAAACTTAATGTTGTCATTTTTTTCATCTTTAACAAAATGAAATATATCTTGATGATTTTGCAAGACATCCAGAACAGCTAATGGAATCATTCCACATTGGACATTTTTAACCATAAATGGTCTACATAGATCTTTAGATGACCCTAAGAGTAAAAAAGAAAATTCCAAAAATATTTTAAACTAGTGATGAAGTTAGTGCTTATTAGGGAATTCTTCAAAAGGAATTCTAAGTATCCAATGTTAAACCATCAAGATGGAATGTTAGGCAATATTAGCCAATATTCAGCATGAAAGTGGAGGACAGGCTTTGATAGTATAAAATGAGTAACACAAGTCCATTTTATGACTAATCCATAAACATGTCTGGAAATTCCTTGTACTTATATGCACAGTTATCCGTTCAAAGATGACCAAGTATTTCTGGGTCATCTTGTGATAATTTGTCACAAACTTCACCATATACCAACTGGAGTTCCCACAAATGTTTTAAGGCTCTTGTGCAACCACCATTTTTTATAACTTCATAGCCTATTATTTACTATATGGCAATACAAAATACAACCCATTTATCCTTACAAAAAAACAGATACCTAAAAGCGTGCCTCCAAAGAGACTTCAGGACCTTTGAAATTTGTATTTGTTAGCAACTAAAACACATTTCACTCCAATCATTACCAGGTTGATGAAAATTGTTCAGTTTTCTCACAATGCTGACCATGCACCTGGACCAAATTGGTATATTTCTTGTATAGTACCCTGTGGCTGGTATTGCAACCTGCTCACCACCACTGCTAGCACATTGGCCTTGTCCATTTGTGACAACATCATCTTCCCCAACTTCAGCATCACTATTTGCCCCCTCCTCATTCTTGACAGCTTTGCTGCTCTTTTTGCGTTTTCTCTGTCTTTTCGCTTTTTCATTCTAAGAAGCAAAACAAACAATATTTTATGGAAACAATGTACCAGTAAGAAATATTTCATCATCAGGTTACAGACAAAACTCTAGATAATTGTTTTCAATTATTGAAAACATGTTCAAAAAGGATATTCTACTTGACTTTGCATCCTTTAAAATTAATATTTAGTTTGGTCTGGAAATGTTTGATGTTTTAAATTCAGCCTTATATGTTTAAGCTGATTTCTTTTGGGATAATGTTTCATTATATGTAGCTGGATATTCTAAACACTTAAAATTAGAGACAACTGCAGTGAAATATGCCTGTGTTCAAGGTTACGAGTCTCTCTACAACTTAATAAACTCTTTGTGCAACCAGTATGTCAAAAGGTATCTTCAAGCACAGCTGTTTCAATATAAAATTCTATATTATAATAAGGCTAAGGCTGCATAAAATAAAACAATAAGGCTATCTGAAAAGGGTATATACATGTGATGTTGGATGGAACTGATGGTGGTCCACTGAAGGCAGTGGAATTATAACCCTCCTCCTCATCATAATATTTTTGTTTTCATTCCAGTCTTGGTGTAAGGCTTTTGTCATTTTACGTTTATACTTTTCTGTGTTCCCTTTCGACTGAAAAGATTAAACAAATATTAGCATTGAATCAATATAAAACACAGCATTTAAAATTAGCCGGTAGCAAATACTTGTGTGACAAAGCAGATTATTGGACTTCTCATGGTCTCCTACATTGCTTCAATTTACTTAATGTGCTTGACATATATTTAACATTTCTCACATATAAAAAGTAAGCACATATAAAAGCTAAAGCTATTTACTTCAACCTAAAAAGATGTTGAACAAAAGAAGTTTATTTATAGTTGACTTTCTGGTAGAAAAATAGACAGGTTTAAACATAAATAAACTCTACCTTGTACTCAGGAAAAAAGACAACATCTCTAAGAACTATTTTTGCTGGACAGCCAAACTTTTTACAAAAGCGAGGTGCCCTTCTCTTTACAACCTTTAAGTCGATGTCAGACTTTTGCTCCTCAACCCCTGAAAGCTAAAGCATATCATTCCCATTAGTTTCCACCACATTCTATGTTTCATAAAACTTCTTATATATTTAAAGTGAAGTATATGGACATCAAACATTTTACCTATTGGCTTTCAAGTTTAAAAGGGTTCTAAAAATAACTCAAAATTATAATTTAAAACAAGAATAAAAAGAATTCCTGGTCTATTAGGGACACAAGAAAAGTGAATGAGACAATAGCATAAGTTATTACTAACAAAATGTTTTTTTAAAAAATAAAACCACTTAAATTTTCTTTATACAATCTAAAGTTTCCAAATAGTTTTAAGGAGACTATTTTATATATAAGACACTAACTTTTCGCAGCATCTCAACAGCTTTTAAATCAAGAAGTCTCTTCTTAGTAGTGATATTTCTGTCCACACCAAATTCACATTCATATATTTTTTGCCCTGCTATGATGTATGGGATTCCATCATAGGTGATTTGCTGCTCAGGTCGGCTTTTCACTTTAGCGTCTTCAAAAGTTATCTTATATTTCTTTATGTCAGTTACTAGGAAGAAAAGTTTTTAAATACATTCTGCATATGTGTATATTGTATCAACACAAAAAGCATTGTTTTTTCATAAAATATTGTGTTACAGCAGATATTTTAATACTTAACAGCTAAAATAAATTATAGGTGAAGCTATACAATATTTAAAAAAAAACAAGTTGGTAGATGAAAGTCAGGTAACACAGAGCTAGACAGAGCCGCCCAAAATCCATAATTAGAAGCAGCAGCCATTTTAGGGACTGTTGGACCCAGGGCCAAAAACATCTGCAGGGCCTTTGTTCTTTACAATTTTGATCTTTTCTTGGGTGCAGTACCCCCATACCATAAACGCAGAGCCTGGGGCCATGGCACCTATCATGGCATTGCAAACTACAGAATTGTCTATCTTGAAATACCAGAACATAAAAAGGAATCTGGTATTTCAGAGTATGTACTTTCTTGAATCAGATATGTTTAGGTAGGAAGTAAGTGATGTTATGGGGAAATATATTTATAAATGTTTTAAATACTATGTCAACCTATTTTTCATTATATGTTTACTGACTTTTATTCAAATTATCCATAAACAAATTTGGATATGTATGTGTTTGATGAAAGAATACAGAGGGTACAGAAATCATAAACACTAATCGGATAAGCTTGGTTTTAAAGCATATGAGAGTAGTATATTTTATGGGTTAATTAACATATCAACATATTATCTGATCTTGTTGGGGTTACTAATAAGTTGTCCTGGGCTTACCCATCGATATGAAAAAACACTGAGTACCTCCCCAGAGAGCTTTTTCTCCCAGAGTGACCATTAACAACTAAGGTATAGTTTTCCAAAAGTGTGAAAGAGTTCCCCTTGGTTTTTTCAGCAAAGGCCAGAATGACTTGTCCCTTTCCAAATCAAGGCAAGAAAGGGAAGCAGTCATTGGTGGTGCCACATCTAGGCCATCAAAATGAAACTTACAGGGCAACAACCAAGGTAGTTGAGGGAACTGTTATCCTTCATTCAAGTCTTTGAATAGAGCACTGTTTGTAAAATTAGTAGGACAAGGGGGTTATAAAGCTACACCCCCAACCCTCCCTTACTTCTATATCTTGGGTGTGCACTTGCCATACTCTGAAGTCTGGTTCCAGATGACAGTAGCCCATTAGAAAAAAATCGAGCAATGAAATTTCGTACTTTCTCTGAGAAACCCCTTTGTTGTTTTCCAGGAGGTAAACCTGGAATTTGTTTTTTCCATATATTCCTTTACAATTCTGTCGATTTCTGCAGCATCATCTGCCCAAACAATCGTAACCTTCCCAGCTGAAGAAGGGCTAGTTTCATCCTCACGAAAACATTTAACGTTTTGATGATTATTCACTTCTCCAACTGAACTCCAACCTAAATTGGAGGGTTCGATTGGAAGATCAATAACACGTTCTGTTTTCGCAGTGTTTGCCGAATTGTCACCGAAACCCCTCTCCATTGAAATGGCATTTTCAGGCCAAGGAATGTTAGCTTTCTCAGTATCGAGTTCATTTAATACTTCTGGTTGTACTTCGTTAGTTTCTGGGTTTACACTCTCAATATTTCGCGCAATCTTTCTACTAGAAGGTCCGTCATCACCTACAGGCTCGTCATCGACTCTGGTGACAGGAACTGGGTTCCAAGCAAGGTTTGGCGTCTCGTCGGGCAGATCAACAACATCGTGTGCCTTCACTGTGATTGCTTCACTTTGTGGCCACGGGACGTTAGTTTTGTCAGCTTTCTGTTCACATAATACTGCCTGTTGTTTTTCTGTATTTTCTGTGTTTACCAATTCCATTTCCCGCCTTAACTTTAACCAAGAAACATCTTCGATCTCAACTATAGTGTAAAACACATCCACTAAAATGGCGCTCTCGTCGACAAGGAGGGTGGAATGCTAATCTAATCTTGATTTTGATTGGTTACAAGCATTGAATAAGTAAATTCTTCATTGTTCAAGAATAAAGACAAATGCCAAACCCTCGTTCAAGAAGGGTCAAACTGTAAATTGTAAGTGTATAGTGTGTTAAGAATAAAAGTTTTTAATGTGTTAGACAAAGGGGTTATTCGCCACTTTCAGGGCCAAACCTCAGCCACTACGTCCTTGTGTCAAGTGCAAATGGGATATTGTTGATGGTCGTTAGTTATGTATGTGTCCAAGGGGCGAACTGCCCCCAAATATCTTATCCACCGGTCACCCCTTGAATAAATCTCAAAATATATGTAAGAAAAGAACCATTTGAGTCGCCATGAATCTCGACAAATCCACAATACACAAATACTCATTACACGCCTTTTATAAAGATCCTAACTCAAAACATAGTTCTAAAGTTCCTAATTTCAGGACCTCTATTAGTCGAATTGCGGTACCAATATCTCCACATGAAATGTAAATAACATGAAAATAACATAGATAGAAGAAAAAAGAAATTCTGACTTTTGCTTTTAACTGTAGCCAAAAAACAAGGCCAAAAGACAAAGAGGGTGAGAAATAAAATTAATTTGCGTAAAAGTACTACGTAAATGAAGAATAATACCTTTGCATTTTATATAGAGAGAGAGGCAATAACTACACTCCTTATTATAAGAATGTTATAAATTTTGCCCAGCCTTGATTTTTTGAAGAAATTTTCGTTTTTAAGCCCGAAGATGTTCCTAAATATATCCATACCTTTTCGAATCCGGTATGGTTTCAGGAAACAATCACTTGCTTTCAAATGGAAAAAAAATCTTAAAAAAGCGAAAAATGTCAGTATTGCGATTCTTTGTTGTGAACATTGCGAAAAAAGCACTTGCTGAAAAATATCAACTCTCAGCCAAAGGTCACCGTTTCTTTCTTTCCTCGACGTCTGTCATTAGAGTTTAAGCTGTTATTCTGAGAAACGTCAAATTGTCTATCCTAAGCGGTAAAGAATTTTTTTAAATTTGGTTTGGTAGATGCTTTTATAGCCTCTCTTTTAGTCTGATTTCAAAAAATTTCATCGGCGCCGGACCCAACCATGGTGGGTCCTCCTACGTCACTAGACTTGATTCTTAGCTCCCCAGGTCCAATTCCACGTTGCCATTTTTTAAAAAATGTTATCCATCCAATTATGAGAAAGTCATTGTACTAAGGAATATATATAAATATCTTCTATAGAGCTGAAAATACTTCAGTAAAGCCAAAAATCTTGATTTTTTTTATTTTTTAAGTCGTTTACCCCTCAGACTGTTTATATAACACAAACTATTATTTCCTTGGTGGTACCATGACCCACTGCACACGTTACATTGGGCCCCCCCCCCATATTTTTGCGTGATGCGTTATTGGCCATGTTTTCGTGCAAGAAATCGTGAAATCTCGATTTTCTATGCGTGATTTCGTGAATTAAGATTTCTACGTGAAGTGTGAAACATGTGTTTTCCTTGCGCTATGTCGTGAAAAGTCTTTAAATATCCGTAAATTCGTGAATGAAATTTTGAAAGATAATTCAAATAATTGCTTCAAATTGGTGCGTAATAATCCAATAATAGTTAAATCTCAATTTATATTTTGTTGAGTCATATCACACACGAGTCTCTATAGTCACCATTAAACTTCCTGTCGTTTCTGACATTAAAAGTTTGAAAGTAGTGTTGTTGTCCTCTGGTGTTACATTTACTGTTTGCGTGAGCGTGAAAATCCAATTTTGCAGTGCGTGAATGCATGAAAAGCGTGAAAAGTCAAAAAATTGTGCGTGAATGCGTGAATCACAACCACTATGAGGGGGCCTCTATTTTCATTCGCTCTGCTGAAACTGGAGAACTCGACTTCGATCTTTCTTTCTTATAAAAATGTGTGTAATTCATTTGGTTCAATATACGAATTTTTATGAGCACACTTGGCTCCAGTTTCAGAAGTTTCACATTTCTTCGCAAAATTTTAGCCTCTCGTGTTTCTTATTGTGTTTTCAATTTTGTAATGGAATTTCCTGTGCATCCTATTGTCCGAACATAACAAGTGTTCGATCAAGTAATTAATGCTACTTCTGCTTTTCTGATGCTATGCTTTCATTTTTCAGTCTTTACTGGCATTTCATTTTATGATTATTGTTAAATTTCAGTCCGCCTTGTTTCTTATGTTGTTATCATTCAGGGACGAAAACAAGTTGCAAATTTTGGGGGGGCGTGGAAGGATGAAAATTCCAATCTAAGTAAGAAATTTTTTCATCTGACCAGTAAATCTACTATACCTACCAAATTGTATTTGTAAATAGCCCGAACACCATAGTTCTATTTTCTTTATAATTACCAAAACTTTACTCAATAATTAGCCTAAAGCATAAAAGCCTAAATCTCTAAATTTTGATTAACATGAAACAGACATTTAAACTTACAGTAAGATTTATACAACATTTAAGCAAAACCAGTATTAGATATATTTAATGATTAGTAGTATTCTTTCAGATCAATTGATCAATTTTATCTAAAATATATTTTTTCACGATATAGAAGCACCAAGAACTTGAGCCTTTAATTTTTGTTCTTGATCGAAGAAAACTACTAACAATTTTCAGAGGGCCAAATGCCTTTTCATTCTTTACAATTGAAATGATGATTTGAGAACAAACTTGTGCATATGCCTGATTCGAAAGATGAAACACGTCTTATTGATCAAATACTTCTACTGCAGTTTTGCAGTGTGTTCTTGCTTTACAGCAGTTTTGTCATAGGAATTTATGATAAGGGTCAAGGGCGTTAACAAATAACAGGGGGAGTTTAGCATAAACTCGTTTTTTATAAGAAGCGTTGAGAATTTTTAGCACTAAAAGATTATTAATCTTTTATTGAATTAAGTACTCGTAGTTTCTTAAAAAACTCCCACTCTAATATTTTCTGATCAATACGGGAATTATTATTCCAAACTATAAAGTTTCAAGTTTCTTATCCGGAAATTCACCTTGCCTGTTTGTAATTTGTTTCAACTCCCGTCAGAAAGAAAGCAAACGAGGCAATTGTGCAATTTGGATCCAGTAGAGATGGGATTCACAATAGAAAACGATAAGTGGATGGGTCAGCTTCAGCCTGTGAATTTCAATGTTTAGAATTTTTACATTCAAAATAAAAAAACTTCTTAAAATATAAAATTCACATGTTTGGTCCTTAGAAAAAATTCCAAGTCAACCGTTAAGTTTTCCAACTGTAACTGGATTTTCCAAACTTTGGGGGGGCGTTACGCCCCCCACGCCCCCTATTATTTACGTGCCTGTTATTATTTTTGGGCAAATCGCAGCCTAATGTTTCTTGCAAGGATTATTCCTATAACAAGCGCGTGTAGCCATCTTTTCAACCTCTTGGTTTACAGTACTTGCAACAGAAGGCTTATAATCCCCAGCTTTCGGAAGTGCCAGCATTTCTGGTAGTATTTTTCTGTTGATTTATTTAAAATGCAATTTCCGATATTCCGCACATTTGGATAAATCATAATAATGAAAGCTATTCATTGTCAATTCCATTCAACTTTAATTGCAAAGAAGAATTTGCTAGCCAACAAGCTGTCTTTTTTTATTTTGGAATTGACAACAAGGCAGCCAAGATGGCGAAAGGTCTTGATTGGGAGACAGTGAAAACTAAATTGGATGAAATAGCCAATCGCTATCGAGCAAGATACGATGTGGATAAAATTTATCCGGACAACATTTATACGAGGCTTAGCATATATCTGTCGGGGAAATTTTAAAAAATAATGAAAGTAGACAACTTTATTTGAGACGAAATGCCCATGATAGTGAACAAATTCAATTATGTATCTTAATTCGTTTATGTCTGATTAATGAATGATAATTTGTCATGGCTAAGTTCGTCTAATGAAATCGAGGTTAAAGGGGAATCAAGGAATTCTATTGTTGACTCAGGCTTCTAAAACATCAGAGAACCCGACGAGAGTTACTCTTCTGCCTACTCTGTGATAAGGGCCTGATGGAAGTGTCTCTGACTCTGCAGTTAAAATATGCACCATTTAACCAACACAACACGGTCTGCTGACTCTTGATAAACCACAAACTTGAAAAATTCTTGGCGGGTTTACTGTACCACGGTGTCTCTAACAATAATTTTATTATTTGTGAAGATTAAGAATTGTGCGCATGAAAAAGAAGATTTTAAAAGAAGATCTTCTTGCAAAAAACTGAGCATCACTGCATTGGCTGATTCACTTCGCAGAGCTACGAAGAGGGATCATTGCAACCCCTCTCCCCCTCCCCCCCCCTCCCCCCACATTGTCACAAAAGCTGTGATCGATACACCACTCTTTGAGTGTTGTGCAACTAATTTTGGATTTGAAAGAAAATGGAAACGATAATTGATACAAACCGAGTACCGGAAAGTCTAACGATGACAAATGAACATTTGGATAGACAAGAAAGCCGTTCCAACAATTTTTGGGAAAAACTCTCCATTTCATAGTTAAAACTCTGTAATAGTTTATTGTATTCAAACAAATAAAGACCGAATCTTCCATATATTTCCTGTTTAAAGATAATTGTTTTCAGGAGTTTCAAGAGACAAATGATGAATCATTCTCAAAATTCTAGTTCTACGACTTCCAGGCAAATTTTGAGTTGTTAAGGACAAAATGAATGGACCAGGGATAAAACCTTGAGGAGACCTACACTATCTTAGGGCCTGTTTACATGAAGGGGGCTTATTCGAGAATGTGGCTTATTAAAAACCTAACGTTTGTAAGGGGGCTTATTTGAGAGGTAAATTATCCAAGAGGGGGCTAACTCGAGATGGGGGCTTATTTGGATTACTATGGTATGTAGACCACTGCTTGTCACTTTCATCTGAAAAACTTTTCTAAGTCTATTTTTGGGATTAACTTCGTCATTGGCGTGGGATTCAAAACGCTTTACGATCTTTGTGAGCTCGTTGGGTATGACAAACAAATATTTGACCAGTTTGTGTCAGCATACAAGAAACATACTTTAATAATCATTCTTTTCATTCGATTAGAATTTTTCAAAGTTGAGCCAGCGGAGAAACTGCTATCATTTCAGCCCTTCTCGATATGCGTGTAGTTTTTTTGTTTAAATCACAAAACTTCCAATTTTTTAAGACAGTGAGTCAATGTACAATTTGACATTATATTTGCCATTTCCAAATGCAAGTTGTGGTAATTTGGTTTTTCTACAGAGAGACACGAAAATCAAGAAATATCTCACAGAAAAAAAGTTAGCAAAAAAAATTAAGAATAGCACTGAACTTTATCCAGCTTTTCTTAATAAAAATTTTCTAAATGATTCAAATTATAAAAGATATACCTAACAAAAAAGTCCAAACCATTACAATATCATCCAATATTTGTGAGTAATCGATGACCTGAAAATGATCAAAAAACCATTATTGAAGATAAACAGAAGCCTTCTTTAATTGCTCGAAGATTCAAAGTATGAACGCCGGGTTCAGCATCTTGAGTAAGAAGATCCACCTGAGTTCTTTTTCCTGTATCATTTGGTCTTCCTTCTTGGATGACAATTGGGCTGCTAGGTCGCTGATCCAGCCAAACTTCAGCTCGACCACCGAATCGCGTATGGGTTGTGAGTGCAATTTCAAATTTGCTTCGGGTATTCCCTTTGATTGTTGCATTTGAAGCTTTCTCCTCGGGCAATGTTATTTGAAACTTGATTACAGCACCAACCTTTTCTGCTTTCCAACAAATTACACGATCAAATCTAATCGGAAAGTTAGTGGCATACTCGAGTTTAAACCCATTTTCATCGAGAACTTTTACGCTTAGAGTATTATAGATCGACTCTTTAAAATCGGGGGCTATCAAAGTCCAGCAAAGCGGGGTGGGATGCTCCAACCCGACGAATAACGGAGCCGGAAGATTATACAGCGATGCAAAATTTGGCAAGATCCCATCGTGACCATTTGCGTATTGAAGAACTGATCGCATCACGTGTCGAAGGTGAAGTATGAGCAGTAAGGCCATCTGGGCATGCGCTAAAAGCGACGGATGGTATTGGTCTTTGCAAAATAATGTCTTTAAGGTAAATAAAGGGTTTTGATTAATGAGAGATTCGCAAACCATTGCCCTCCAACTCAAGGATGGTACTTTATAAAAATGAGCAATTATGTCCTCTCCCTGATCCTCAAAGTTAGGGCAGTTTTTCTTCGTCTTTTTGTAATCAACTCCTTTGAAAAAATTAACATAAATTATCGCAGGCTTGCGTGGAAGTTGCAGGGCCATCCGCGTGAGTCTCTCAAGGGGTTTCGCTCCCTTGGTCGGTGTTTTTAGATAGCGATTGTAGTCATTACCCGATAACTCCCAAATAACTATATTCGAGTCGTTTGATATGTGACATTCCAAACAGTAGGAAAAGTAGTCTGTACCGATTGAGCCTATTGCTATGTTATTCACTTTCATTTGAGCTCCAGTTAGTGGCGTGATTACCTTGTTCCACCAATCGACAACACCCTTGTAATATAGACCCGCTATACTACTTTCATCTTTGTACAAACCACCACCTGCACTTATTGACCCCCCAACAACGCTCAGAGTTATATCCTCGCCCTTTAAAGCCCTCTCCATAACACCTTTCAACCTGTCAATTGAGCCAGCATTCACCAAGCCACTTCGCAACATAGTGGAATTTAGGCCCAGGGCTTGCAAACTTTGATACTTGTAGAACCACGATTCTAAAGGATCCTTATTCAAGTATTCTATCATCGCACCGGCTTTTCGTGGATGAATCACCCGGCGAACTGGGATTTTGGTACCACTTCCTCCGCTATAATTAGAGCTTTTTGTGGATTTAATAGATGCACTCGAAGCTTTTGGGGTAGGGGAAAACTTTCTCGTGCTTTTCAGTGGAAACTCGCCCTGAGTACTTGCTCTCGCATTTGTTGGCCTACCCCCTGTCGGCCTTGTCTTTCTCCAGCTTTTCATGTCGTCTGCAGCTTCGCTGCGTTGATAGCTTTCAGAACCAACTGTACTTTTGTTTGTTGCCTTGTTGCTTACTTTAAGTCCCATCATCCCTTGCTTGCTACCTTCTTTCACGCCCTCCTTTGCTTTCCCATATCCACCTGCATTTCTTTGGTTAGTTGCTTTACTGTTATCTGAGTCCTCGATTGCTTGGATCATTTGTCCAGTAGAAGAATTCCAATTGTTTATCTTAGATCTACCCTCCTTGAGATCATTCTGCCAGCCATTTTCAATAGCATTGCTTTCCATCTCTAGTTTTTCTTTCAGTCTCTTCAGTTTCTCAATATCAGCTTCTATCGTACTTTTCGCTACATTTTCATGTCCTCGAGTGGTCTTTACTGCAATTGAAGGAGCACGTTTTTTTATATCAGATTTTGTCCCTGCGATAGATCGGGACTCTGCCACCGTCGGCACAACATTTCTTGGAATGTGGTTTTTTTCTTCCGACAAAAACGTTTCAAACTTTTTGTTCATCTTATCGTACGAAGCTATCATCTTTGAAAAATCACTAGATGTACTTTTTGGCGTTGATGCCTCGCTTATTCCGTTTGTATTGTCCAGAATAATGGTATAACCAGGCCCATCTCCACTTGAATTTTCTCCAGTGCTCCGAGCATCAACATTATCACTCTCTTCATCGTCTCCATCCCCATCATCTTCTATAACTACAGTAACTTCATTTTCATTCTCGTTCTCCTTCGCCGGACGGTCAATTTCACTCCGCCTTTTATTCAAGCTATCGAACAAACGCTCCACTTCAATTGTCACCTTTTGCAAATTATTTTTCGTGTCTAATACCTGGGGCTTTGTATCTCTCTTGAGCCTTGGGAGTGATCCTAATGTTGGCATATAGATTTTATTTTTTACATAAATACGATCGTTTGTGGCAAGATCAACTTCTGCTGCGGGCTCCTTCTCAGCGTTCACCAGGTAAGGCAAATCTCCTCTTCCTTCAATGAACTGCACAAGTAGCCCGACAAGCAACAATAATGTTTCCACTTCCATCACAACATATCACGGAATCACAGAACTGTGTAAAACAGTAGCCATTCCAGGATAACAGATGGCAGTCACTTAGCCTTTTATGCGTTTAAGCTCTCTCTAAAAAGGAAATGTTGCTTTTAGAAGGCTTCTGCATAACAGAGGTTCCGAAGTTAATCCTCGGTACAAAATAGCAGCTGTAATGTTAAAAAAGGAATTAAGTGATTCAACTAAAGCAATTTAGCTTTCATTTATTGCTTTCATTTAACTAACTATAATAAGAAGAATTGCAACGAGAAGTTGTGTCAGCTTGCATTTCAAATTAGGGCCTAACAGTGAATTTTTCTGATTGCGAAATCGTTACAATAATCATATATCTAGGCAACGGTAATTCAATGAAATAAAATTCAGATCGAGCAACTGAAAGGAGTTAACTTGTTAACTATTTATTCATTTGTTATTTAAGGATAAGTTTGAAAGATTATAGAAAATTCATGTCATGACACGCTTGCTGATTTTATGCAATCAAACGCATAAACATGTAAAGCAAAATTAATAGCTAAAATAAAGGCGGTGCCGTAAATTGGTCTCACCTCTAAGCCTTGCTTCAGTAAAGGCAATTCGATGTAAAAATACAAAAAAGCCATCGCTGCCTTTAAGTAAGAAATTCATGACATTATAATTGATTTTGCATTGCAGAGCATAGCCCGGCCTCAAACATAGCAATGCTTCACCACTCTACCGTGATCAATACCGCCACATGCTCCCATTCAAAAAATTCAACTCCATATGCAACAGGTAGGAAAATCAAACTACTTCATAATTTCCGAGCTGAATGGCAAGTGTTTTAACTGGTCCTATCAATGCTTACAACCAAAAACCTTTCACTTAAGTTCGATTTTTGCAAAAAATGGATCCCTATATGACAGGTGTATAGTTAATTGTAAATGCACAATGCATTTTAGATTAAAGCGATGTGCAGAACGAAATCTAAATGGGCAGAAAGAATGGCAATATGAGTAAGATTGTTATTTACATGCAGTGCCATATTTTACGAACAAAAAACACCAAGCAATAATCGAACTAACAACTTATAACAACATAGAATGCAAACTGCAGTGAAGCGATAGTACCAATACGAATGGGTGTACTAGAAGAACTGTGTACTACTGTTCAACTCATTTGTTCTGTCCAAATCTGAAAATTCTTATTTTTCTGATATCAAAATCAGCTGAGCAGCATGGCTTAGCGAATATATTCATATATCTTTGAAACTATATATTTAATCAACAGCCAATTCTGTACAGGGTGAACCTATACCTTTTATTACCGGTAAGCGGTAACAAAACTTTTGCTATTTTGCATGATATAGAAATATTTTAGATGACCCCAACGTATGTCAATTGAGAGCTGAATCAGTTATCTAGTGGGACCATCCAATTGCCTTAATTATGATACAGTGATGATAGCAATAAATTAAATTGGCAGCGAAATACTTAATTACTAATTAGATTTTTTTTAAGATACTACGACCTAGTTAAAGTTTCAAAAGTAAACAGTATCATAAATTCAGCGTAGCATTGAGCAGCCTCAGTTCAAAGGCCATTTGCATTCTCGTTTTCAATTGGCATGTATTCTGGATCGTCCTCAGCATATTCCAAACGTTGGGGCTTGCTTAATTCAAACAATCCAGGACAGGTACGGTCGCGCACGTAGCTATCTGACACGGTCTAAAACAAAATTAGGTTACATCAAGTACACACATTTTCTGGACGAGAAAACTTCAGACAGAAAACATAAAAAAATACAATTTGAAACTAAACAAAGTTAATGAAATAGAAATGAAGTTCGCAAAGAGAGACAATCGATATTCAACTTTTAGATTTTTGTCAAACTTGACGTTTTCAATTTTCTATATTTTTAATAAAAAAAACAATTTGTTACCTGCAGAAATTGGGGGTTAGCACCTCGAACAGTTCGGCCTTCACTCACTGACAGATATTTGCTGACTTTTTCATATCTTTTGTGAATAAAGGACCAGCTGGCGACCGTTATGAAAGGCAAGGGACTTGCACAGGCAACGATCCAATAGGCCTGCTTAAATGTGAAGACGCCAATCATCATGAGCTGAAAGACCAGTACACCAATGCCAACACTACAATATAAACAGTATGTAAAGCCGGGGGTAGTCAACGAAAAGAGGGCAAACAATCGAAAAAAGTCAGCCTGGGAATACAATAGGATGTGAATGAGTCACAAAAACTGTGTTGTATTCTTCTGCCTACTAATTATAGACGTCAAGCAAAAAAAGTCATTAAAGATGGAAAAATTAGGCTATTTAAGGAACCGACTACCTCTTACATCTAATGGACACGCACCGCTAGAATTTTTACTTACGAACTGGCTCCTGATACAAAAATGTTTCTAAAGTTTAGAAATTTTCGGAAATACGTACATACAGAAAGTGCCAAAATTTAAAATATTAAAAGAAAAAAGGATACTTTACCTTGAAGAGACGCGCGGCCATAGACGCCCACCAAGATCAATCTCTTGCATATAAACATGAAGTAACTGATTCACCCAAACAATGTATCGGTACCCAAAGTAGACGATAACAGCGGGGATAATGACAGGCGAAATTACGGAGTATGTTATTGCAATGAGAAATATCAAGACGTCATTTGCGAACTAGAACACAAAGATCAAAGTTTAAAACTTTGTACACAGAAAAAGATGATTTTCATCTGGCAACATTATTCATGTTGTTTGAGAGAATCATTTTAAGGACGAAAAATATCAGTGAAAAAGAATTTTCTAATACTTGATAAATATTTCGTTACTGCTAAACTTTCATTAAGTGGATTGATATTAAAATATCCTGTGAATTGGTGCCTTTTGAGAATGACTACTATGAAAATTAATTAAAAACAATCAAAAGACAAATAAAGCATATTACCAAGTTGGCATAAGGTGGGTCTCCTGGCTTCCACGCTTCTAGCCGTTCCCTCGATGATTTTGCCCAGCTAACAACGAAAAGGTCGCACTTTACCAAAGCATATGATCGCTACATCAAAGAATCCTAACTCTAAAATTTTTCGAGCCTTGCTTTTATTTCAAAACTCTTTTCTTACCAGAAAGCTTCCACAAATCTTTTAAGTGACTAGACAGCAATTTGGAACATTAGAAATAAACAGCAACAAAAAATTATTGATTTTCTATTGTTGATAATTATTGATTATTGATAAAAATGAATCCCTATAAGTCGGACCTATAACAGAGGCAAAGCAATAGCAAAGCAAAGTCGGACCTAGAACGGAGGCGGGATTAAACTGTATCTAATTGCAATATGTAACTGAGATGGCAGGCAATAAAGCAATAATTTGTGTCAATGGTTTTTAAATTAAGCAAAGGACTGTGTGGATATGCAGGTTGCTCTAAATGAAAGAATAATGACTTTAGTTAGAAGTGAAGTGAGTCCTTAAAAAACAAAGACAGAAAATTAAATATGAACTAAAAATTAACTTAACTTACCACTTAAGATAGAGTTGAACCATGATCAAAGTAGGGATTCGTGTCAGTTCATATCCAGTACCAACAAATGCCATCAAGCTGACGTAACATAAATAGAAGTTAGCTTGTCTTGGAAGCGATATGGCCAATTCGTCTGTTATTCTATGTGGAGCCTCCATTATTTGCTGAATTTTTGAAAAGAATGACCCAGCAAGCATAAAGAAGAAGAAGGTGTTGCAAATCTAGAAAAGAAGACTTGAGTAAAAAAAGAAGACTTGGCAAATTACATAATAATTATTTTTCTTCAATGGAAACCTTAGTGGCCTGGGTCCACAGCAAAGCCCTAATAAAGGAAAGGAGGGAAAGAAGAGGGGTTGGAATCAAATTTGTTCAATTTAGCTTTGAAATAGCATAGGCTATAAAAAAGCTAAAAAGGAAGTGATAAATGGGTAAAGGGCTAGGGCTATGAGGCAGAGATTGTGAATTTGGCAAGGGGACTTATCTAATCTAATTGGGGACAAAATCTCTGATCTTCTGGGAGAATGCCCAGGGAAGTATCTGCAAAATATGAATAGGTCAGAAACACAATGCCAATGAAAAAGAGGTTGGGAAGACTTCTTGCAAGGTTATAGATGTCATTGAGGCAAATGGCTTTTGGATTGATTGGAGATGAAAAGCCAATGTGTTTGAGACCTATGTTTTGGAATAGAAGAAAGAGACAATTCCAATAAAGATTGGATAATACAGATGACAAGGTTAAAAACAAATTTATAACATTTATAAGGCAGCTAAAATCAATAAACACATGTTTTGAGGCATTGTACAACTGAGGCAAGACAAAATCATATTCCATCTTTCATTGGCAGCATCATAGGTTCACAGTTTTGTTATACATATATAATTATACCAAAACTATCGAATTTATTGCATTTATAGATTGTCAGGAAATAAAAGAGAAATGATTTTGAAAGAAACCCAAAACTCACAAGGAAAAGGGTCAAATAACTGAAGACAAATAAATTTGTGCCAGACTTGGAGACGATACCACTGAACCTTCCAATTCTTTCCAAAATCTAAAAAAGATTAAAGCATAATCTTAAACACTTTTAACCATTGTTGTTTGAAGCTACCTAACTTTTGAAGGTAGTTTTTAGGACACTTAGAAGCTGTGCTTATGAAGCAGCGTCTTGTTTCTTCCTCTCAATGTGTCCACACCTTGTATTTCCTATGCCTGAAAAAGCAGAGAGCTGGCCACTCTCTATACTCAAAGTGGTCATAGCAGGGACTCAAATACCAGACCCATAATCAGTAGCCCGTAACCCTAATCACAGAGCCATCCTCACACTTCCTCTGAGCCATCCTCAACTCACGTGTTTGGTTCGATATGGGCAAAGATACAAACTTCAGGAACAGAAATGATGGCATGTCACTGCTGTTGATATGAGAAAAGTCTATCTGGTGAATGCATGAGCATGAATGAAACTCAATGTAACAGTGAAAATGCCTCATATTTAATCAAACCTCTAGAATAATTACAGTGACCATCCTAGTCATACAATTGTCACATGTTGCCTATTTTCTAATCAATAAACTTATTTTTTTGACAAACTAAGAAACAGCAAACTTACATATGGCAGGAGAAGGTTGAAAATGGCAGTCAATACAACAGGTACCAAGCCCTGGAGCAATGCTTGAGTAACCATTGACAGGTCGGTAGCAACTGCAAAATATAAGTAAAATATCAGGAAGGTAAGAGAAACAACTATCATTTACAAACATTAAAAAGTCAATACCATGTTGTGTATATCATAAGAATAAAACTGTTATCTTTATATATAGCAATGGTACAATACATACACGAATCTAGGAATTTCAGCTTCTTTGCTAAAGTCTGTAAATTTGTCAAACTGGCAATGAATGTGACCGGAACAGCCCAAAGTATGATTAGACCAGCAACCATTAGATATGCCAGGAATCTTCGAATAGATCTGAAGGATAAAAGTCAATTACTAAGCCATGCCAAACATATGCATTAAGTCTAGAAATTTGAAACTTATAAGAATCATGCAGGTGCGTATTGTCTCTTCTACTATGTCGAAGCAAAGAAATGCGAGTTACATGGCCCTACCTGTTCCAAGCTGGCAGGGCTAGATTCTCCCACAATACTTCAAATGCGTCAGGTGCAGGTGATATTTTGTAGCTCCCAGCTTGAAAATCCCAAATAACCTGAGCAGCAACTGCTTGTGAAGCAGGGGTTTTAAAAACAACAAACCCTGATGGGACTGGACTGTGTGGGGCATCTTTCTCTTCATGAAGCAATTCTTGAACAACCTGCATTAAATGGCATACCTAATCAGTGCTTTTTGGCATACCCATCAACAAAAAAAGTGACGCCTCAGCTCATGCAATAAATGTTCAATTAAATATCAGAGCGTAGAAAATTATATAAAATAGCTTTTCATCTTTTCATCACTTGCTAAATAGATTGCTAAGCATGGTAGAAGGAGGAGGGGGCTGGAAATATCAAAAAATTTGCATATGCACTTGGTGAATTACACCCTGATTTAAAAAGCAAATATTTAAACTATAGAAGATAAAACAAAGAGCTTTTTGATTGAAAGAGGTTTAAATAAAAAAATTGAATCTTCAATACATAAGTGAAGCTTTTTACCTGAAGCTTTTGATCAATGATACCTATCTTACTCCTTAATGGAGATACCAGCTGGGTTTCACTATCTAGATTTCGCATTTCTACAGCCTGCATGGAAATCAAAACAAAAGTTAACAAAAGGGTGATATCTAGCAAGAAAAAAAATTTGATACAAGCAGTTTAAGAAGAATGTTTCAGCTTAACAGTTTGTCTGAGCTGTCCAAGCTTTTGAGCTGTCTATTCAAAACTGTTGCCAAACTTTAACTGCAGTCAAATATATGAAAAATGGGGATTTTTATTATGATTAATATGGAATTAACAAATATTTTACAATCTGAAATTTTGGGGCTAAAAAAATTGTTCTTTATAACTGCATAATTTTTTGACTTAACAAGATAATTCTAAAATATCCGAAAACCTCAAAAAATTTCACAGAAGTTGACTTCTGGTTTAGTATACTTACATTAAAAAGTATCAGCACAACTTCAAAATTTTGAAGACAGTACATGCATTTAATTTTGATAGACTTTTTAAAAATCTTTAGTCATTAATCAAGAATGGCAGCTATCTCCATGAAATTTTTGCAAGACATTATCGATGTTTCAAAGCCATTAATGTACATCCAAAAAATTGAAAAAACATCAACCATAAAATTTTTTTTAGGCCTTGAGACCTAAATATGTGAGTTTTGAAAGTCAAGAACTGAGTTTAAAGAAGTGTTTGCAAATTTATTCCTGTGAAAATAATGCAGATAGTTCTTGCTAAATTGCATTAACTGTCAGCTGCTCAACGAGTGCAGTTTTTACCATGTGCAAATTAAGTATTTTCATACAAGACAGTAAAATGTTTATCAAGGCTTGGCAGACTAAAGACGTTTAGGACACTGAGAGACTTAAAGGTCTTTCTGAAAGAGCTGCAAAGTAAGAGGTTTGAATCCTTACCAGGTATTATGCTGTCATGTAAAAAGAAGCTAAATCTAGGAACCTTGATAGGTGCAGCTAAATTTAAATAAACAAGTAAGGTCACATTTAAGTGGCTCTTGTTACTGTTATGAGAAGTGGATAATTTTCGGTTACATTAAATTTTAAAAATGATTGTCAATTTATTGTTTAAAAAGGCCTCTAAATAAAATTGTCTAGAATGAAATCAAATTGCCTTTCAGTATGTCACACAATCACAATCATCAGACAGCTATTTTATTATTTTATAGTATATACATCTTTGAAAATGTATCAATAGATTGACTGGAAAGTTTATGTGGATACATTATGCACCTTTGTTAACTGATGCAAAAAAAGCTAAACAAAAACTATTAAATTAAGGACATTGAGCATAAATTTACTACAGCTCTGTTATTATACCTGTATATGATCTCGTTTTCTAACCAGGTTGTTGTGCTTTTCAATCAAATTCTTCCACCTCTTAAGATTCTTGACCAGATAAGAACTGTAAACCTTCAAGGCAAATTAACAGTATAGACTTATCCAATAGTTGTTTAATGCTAGATGATAAAATTAACGGAAACAATGCAAAAAACAAAGGTAAGAATTGAAAAAATAAATTAAAAAAAAGGCCTGTTAATTCATATTAACAATTACCAATATTCTCTCACCTGGTTTGGGAACAAGGAGGCAGCAAAATTTTCAAATTTCATATCTTCTTGATTCTGTTTGACATGAAACAAACAAAGTTAGATGCCATACAAACATAATTGATTATGACAATAAAATTTTAAATTTTTGAAATATATGATCAAATTTTCTTTTTGTCAACCTGCCACAATTCCCAGTTTTTTTCTAACTGTCTTGCAACTTTGATATGAAGAAAAAACAATAATTCTTTATACTGATTCAAGGATTACTTGCAAAGGTTAAAGATAATAATGTTGATATACTGAATATATTTGAATAAAATATATTTGTTTGATATAATGAATTAAATACAACAAATTTATGCAGAACTTTGAGAGATTCAACTAGCCCTTTACAAGTCTGAAACTTCTAACATCCCTAAACCCAAAACATAGTTTTTAATCCTCAAAAATCTTAGTGTCTAATCTCTGTCGGATCAAGCCCAAAGTCAGGCCTGTGGAGTAAAGATGGCAAAAACCCCATACCTGTTGCAGGCAATGCTTTGAATGCTTTGAAAAATAATAATAATATTTCTTTGAGGTGGATAAAAGAGAACTTTAAAAGAAGTATCTGCCAATTTCAAGAAAACCTCAATGATCCCTGAAAATGTATTTCATACCAGCTGCATGGACCAGTATGTAGAGCAAGGCACTTTTCAACAAGATCTTTGGTGTGCAAAAGCAAAATGCTCTGTCTGCTGTTGGTATGCACAATCAGATGATCTGGCATGCTGGTGTGCACTAACAAATTTGCATTTGTGTAGTTGCATCTGGGAGTACCACTTCATTATTTTGAAGGAGCATTTTTGACCTGTTTTCTTTGTTCTAATACCCAACATAGATGCATTATCTAAATGGATTTTGCCCCTTTTCCAAGAATGTAGAGGGGATGGTCTTTTCCCTGTTTTTGAATAAAAAGCGGAGCAACCACCCAGACTGAAACTTTGTATCTTGCACGGACAAGTTTTGGGCCCCTTTGATTTGCCACACCCAAAACTTTACTAGAGTGGACAGAGGTTCCTGGACAAAAATCTCTCAAGTGTGCCCTTGCGATACTCTACACAGAGACTGTTGTAAAGAAACAATATGGTATGGCACTCACCTCCTTTGGAATATCTTGCACCAACACCACATGCCCTTTTGCACGTCTTTTGGTCAAGTATATTTGCCTATACAGCACAAAAACTTCCCATTCCTTCTTTATAATATACAGGAATACAAGCGAATATATCCAAACAGCAAGCAAATGGGCCCATAACTTCGGTGACTCTAATTTCACGTTTGACATTGATATCTTGTCAAGGCCTTCTTTCAATTTCATCCCGCCGTTTACATTCAGCGGAATCAAAATGAAAATCCCGTATGGCAGTGTAAATATTGCAGCTTTAAGCAAAAGTCTGAGGAACCTGAGATAGATTAAAGCATCGAGACCAAGATGATTGAATATATCATCATCGTTGATCATCATGGCAGGCGTAACCCAGGCAAATAGAGTGCTGGGTAATTTTCCTTGAGGTAGGCGTTGATCGGGCATCAGCAGAAGCCTTGGCGTATATATCCTCTTCAGCTTTGTTCTCAGCCATGAAAATAACAAGACAGTGATGATAAACAAAATCAAACAAAGTATTAATACAATGATGAATGATTCTGTCGGTTCGTTGAGGTTCTTATCGGAAAAAACAGCACTCCCATTATTCAGGGCTGGCCCCTTCAACTCATGGTAAAATCCAAATGGGAAGTCACCTTTCTCAGAATTAACATCTCTGTGCATATCCTCATCCATTTTTACTACTGCGATCTCTTTCAACTAATGAACTTCTGCCATCTTAATATTATTAGCATCAGGCTAGTTTCACATCGCAGTTTTGAGCACAAAATCATCAGCCTCCTTCTCATGCGTCACAAGAAACCTGTCTGCTGTCTGTTCAAGGATCCCTCGTCCTGTCAGACTTGATTATGCAATGATTAAGATTATGTTTTTTCCTTTAATTCAGGGGTGTTTTGGCCAGGCGGGACACCAGGAGATTTCCCGCTGGGCCCCTTTCAGTTTAGTTTGTAAAACCCAGAAAAATATTTAATATGAACAAAATCCTTGGTGAGAAAACGCCTCACTTACATGTAGACTCAAGTTCACAGTTCAGAATTAAGGGAGGTCCGGGGTCCAACATACAGTATAACCTCGTTATAACGTACTCGGTTATAATGTACTTTCGGTTATAACGTACTGTTGTACTTGATCCCAAAAAAGGCCCGTACTTAACATAAAGAAAGTACTCCGCTTATAATATACTTTCGGTTATAGCCTACATCTTCTGTGACCCTTCTAAACAAATTCCATTTGATATGACATACTTCGTGCGTCTTTTTTGGTAACAATCTACTGTGTTGTGTCTTTTGTGTCAAGGTGCCGTGTGTCATAGATAAAAATGATTGTTTGATAACGTTATATTGTTTCCTTGATTGATTCAAGTGCCGTCCAAGTTTTACAACGATTTTTCGAGTTTTCAGATTTGTCTAGTGCCAACGAAACATTGAAGATGTGGTGCAAAATTGTTGCTGCAGTCAAGAAAACTTAGATATTCAGAAATGCTTTTCAGACTTCTTCTAACTGGGCCTATAACAATTTAGTTGAAAGTGTTGTATTCTAGTTACATTGTTTACAACTTGGTTATAATCACTTTTTCCTTACCCTGGTTACAACGGACTATACTGTATACAAACAGGCCTCTGTGCAAGAGATGCGTGGAATATGAATAGGGCCGCCGAGAGGCGGACAAGTAGGGGCAGGGGCGGACTGGCTAATTTTTTTGGCCCGGGCAAATTTTGATCAAACCGGCCCACAAAAATAGCAAAAAATAACTTCTCGGAAAATGCCAGTAAATGTTAGTCTGTAAGGAACACAAGTTTTTAAATTCAGTAATTTTGTGCATGGATGAATGCTGGTTAACAGAACATGTTGAATAAGTCATTTGCTGACTAAATTGTAAATAAACAAAAATTTTAACTCATTGGTTTGACTTTCTTTCTAAATACAGTAACTTCTATGTTGATAATGTGATCGTTCTAGATGTCATCTAACAGGTGTTTTCTAAGAACTCCAGATTTGGCTGCAAAAAATTACCACGTAATCTGTTCTTTATATATTTAAAGTGGAAAAGCTTCTATCACACTCAACTTGTGACAAATAATTTTCTAATCCTCTGGAAAACCACAATGATTTTAAGCAGCCCAAAAATATCGATTTGTCCATTTGACTTATGATAGTGTAAGCCTAATAAATTTACCATAACTTGTATGAGTTTATTGAAAGGAGCAAGAGCAAGACCCTGCTGTTTTTTGTGACGTTTGTGGCTTTTGCTTGATAAAAAAGCTTTGTATCGTAGCTGAATCCTTTTTAAGTCTCGCAGCTTTTCCTCACGAAATGTCTGTGCACCACCTTTGGTTGAAGTCTTCTTGCTCTTTCCTTGTTCTACGTATGTCCTCTTCATTACTTCACATCTCAGAGCAAATCGCTTAGTGAACTCTAATTTTTGGACTTTTAAGTTTATTACATTTAGCAATAGCTTGTGCTTAGGGAAAAACATGAACAGCTTCAAGCAAAAGCCCCAGCAAAACGACTGGACATTTTCACTGAACATGGACTGGACAAATGTTCAGCGTAAATGTTGCGTCGTTTTGCCACCTTGTCCAGTCTTGTTCAGCGATGTTGAATGTTGTTCAGTCGATTTTGAAGGCAGCCAACAATGTTCAGTGGACTGGATCAAATTTCTTTTGCTCACTGATGTTGTACAGAAATTGTTCAGTCGTTTTGCCACTCTACCGAACATTGTCCAGTTCGCGCACGCGCAATCGATTAATGGTTTGAATTTGGCGTCAATTTATTTCCCATATTCAAATCTTCAACAAACTTTCCTAGTCAATACCGCGAACGAAATGGAAATAACGTGAAAATTCAATTCGACCAATAGCAGAAAAAGGCATTTCATTAGTAACGATGAATCTTCTGATCAGATTAGCTTTAGTTCCGATAAGGAAAGCGATGTCAGAGAGCACGAGGACGGTAATTTTGATGAACCTAGCAGTCCTAGCCACTTTTCAATAATACACTCTAATTCATACGATAACACGGTTAGGGCTATGAAAAGTGTATTTTCAAAGGTAAAGAGATGCCCTGTTGCCAGTTTTCCCACCCGCATTCTTCAAGAGGGAAAAAGTTCACTGGACAATGTTCAGTCGTTTTGCCATAAACAATATTTTCTTGATGTCCATACTCTGAACAAGTGAGCAATGTCCAGTGTGTGACCAGTGCAAATGTCCAGTCGTTTTACCGGAGATTTCTTTATGTGTCGCATTGAAACAGGGATGTTACAGTATAATATGTCGCCAAAAAGGAAATACCGTCAAGAGAAAATATAACAAAGTGTCAATAACATGCTCCCTGAAGAAGTGTGTATATTTATTCTTTCCCACAAAGTCTCTGAAAATTCAAGGCAAACAGATTAACGCGTGGGTATACTTTTTTGCCTCGCATTCACTTTTTAAACTAATTTATTTTTTTGCACTTTTATCAACCGGCCCTTAAACCGACCGGCCCTTCGGGCGATCGCCCGAATAGCCCGACCAGCCAGTCCGCCCCTGAGTAGGGGTAAACTGCCCGAGGGCCTGGAGGTCTAGGGACCCTCTTAAAGCAAAGAATTCCAATTTTAGAACTGAACGCAATTCCAATTTTAAACAAAACGCAACAAAGTATGCCTAAAAAATTGTAAAACGTTGCAAGCGTCTGTAAAACATTCTGAAATGTGTTTCAAGCCTTTTTGAAACAGAGTTGTTTCTCTCCTTCACAGCATATAATGTTAGAAATTTAAAATGGCATGAGCAACGGCTTGATTCAAGTTGTTTTACTTGGCATCTAAAGGAAAAATATCTTGCTATGGAAATAGTACGCACAGTTTTTCTTCAAAAATGACACTTTTCACACTTTTTCTAGTTAGGGGGCCCCGTGACCCCTTGGCTCCACAGTCCTGAGGGGTGGCTTTCAAATGAAACTCTTTTTCTACTAATTTGACCATACAATAATGCCTATCCCTAATTATGCATCAGAAGTCTGGGGAACAAACGAGTGGTTAAAGCTTGAGAGGGTACATCTAGCAGCATGTAAAGTGTGCTTATTATGTCTAACGGAAAAAAGACAAAAATTGTCTGCAATCTAATTTTATCTATTTTATAGCATTTGATACTTAGTCTTTATGATAAATAAGTAGAAATAAGCAATTACTTTCTAAAAGAGCGTTTCCCGACGTTTTAAAAGGCGTGGCGTTCATATTTCTTCGGTCGTGGCCTTTTCAGGTCCCCCCCCCCCCAATTTTTGGAGTGGTGCGCTGTGCCTGGCCTCAACCAGAGCTTATATCCACGATAATTGATCAACATTTCATTTACATAAAGGTATACAGGGCCGGCGAAACATATTTGAAAGTGGGGGGGGGGGCCAAATATGAAGGTCTTGAAAGGGCTTAGGTTAGGCCGCCAACCGGTTGGCGGCAAGAAAATTTTAGGATTATTGTATTTTAGGGATGGCCAGAGACTGTATCTAAAATGGATTTTTACTGCAGGAAAATCCGAGGCAATATCTTTAGGCTTTGTTTAATCAATATGTACAAGTTCAACAAAAACAGGAGAACTATCAACTAAAATAAAAGCAAATTAAGCAATTTGTACACTTGGGATATTGATTTGTAATATCTGATCTTAAATATTTCGGAAAAAAGGTGCTTTTAACAAAAATCAAAAATAGTTTTAATAGAACTTACAATTGCGTCTAGATTTTCTTTTTTAGTAGGAATGGATTATCGATACAATCAAGTGTTGAAGTTTTCTTGATTTTACTTTTTTAGAACAAATCTGCCCATTCTTTTTTTCTCATGTCCTCAAAAATTTTCTTTTCGTCAGTTTCTTTCCCTTCCACATCGCTAGCAATTTCTTTCTTTTTGCAATGCTCCTGAGAAATTTTTTATTAACAAATAGAACTTGTGAGCCACGTTTAGGCAATAGAAAAAACGAAACTCCTTCAATTTGTGCTGGCACCAAGTTATTCTGGATCAGGTTTCTCGATCTATTTCCTAAGCCAAGCTGTTTCTCGTTGTACAACTTAGACAATGACCGATTTCTTTGATCTTATTTCCCATATTCATATTTATATGTCTTCTATGGTAGAGTCATAACAACCAAGCTAAATCTAAAGGCAGATGTAAGGGATTACTAAACACAGTTACTTACAGAATGCTATACTACATTTATTTCCACTTTTGCCTAAAATTTTCCTTAAGCTCTGCAGAAAAGTGGGAGGGCCATGGCCCCCCCGCTTTTGCCGGCCGTGGTATAACAAGCAAAAGTAAAAAACCATAAAGCCACCACGAAGTCAACAAACTGCACCCCGAATGTATGAAGGCCAACCAAGCTTCCTCCACGTAACAATCTAGTTTCAAAATTCAAAACAAGTGTTTATTGGCGTAAGCAGATACAATACATCATGCGAATGCTATCAAAATATGGGAATACTAGCTCTGTGGTGGATGAAATGAATGATCTTGCGCAGAGTTGACGTTTCGTCCCTAAATAGAGGTGAACCTCTAGAAAGGTTTCTCCTTCTCACTAAAGAAGTAAGATGAAGAACAAAAGCGAATAAATAAAGAGATCCAGCCCAGTTTGAGAGTTACTGTCTAGAGTTACTTCCATGAAACCAACATTTTTTGCCATCAAACTTTCACAAAATTACTTAATTTACTATTTTAGCTGTTGCACTTCCTATGCTTGATTGCTAAACTGTGTTTTATCTTTTTCTTTTCTCTACATTATTTTGGTTCCTTATTTAAAGTAAAATTTTATAACTCACTACACTAGAATGGTTGTTCAAAAATCTGCATAACCAATTCGATTTCATGTAAAGATTGAAATAAATAAAACTTCGGGACCTAGTAATGGAAGAAAGCTTGAAAAAATTTGTTACTAAGCCCTTTCAGCAATCTTAATGTTTTGGTCTCTCAACTTTCAAAGACGTTGATGATTGGATATCGCCCCTCTTAATACAAGCAACTGTCAGTAGAAGAGAGAGTTCCTACGTTTCGAACTTAAACATAGCCATCAAACCCATGGCAACTAGGAGACATAGGGCTTGACGGCTGCATTCCCCCTCCCCCTCCTGATTAGGCAGAATTAATCGAATTTCAGACCCAGTCGGGCAATTGTACCCATACAAGGAGCCCTTAAACGTTGAGACTACGCTACGCCTATGATCATTCCATATCATCGAAAATTTTTACGCTAAGCCCTCATTTGTTTTTTAAATGACTCAGAAAGAGGGACTGTATATTCTAAATAGAGTGATCCAGTTCTCGATTTAGATGTATCGTAAAAAGCAAACACACAAGTTGATACCAAAGAATTTGATAGCAGAATGCAAATTTGTACTTTTTTCTTCAGCATACATCTTTGGATACTTTAACAAATTTTAATAGTCGCAATCTGTGGGATTTATTGTCCACTTATGATTGAATGTGAAATTTTGTATTTTTAGAAATATTACTGTCCTTCAACAAACTTTTGTCTTTCACCAATTTCATTGGGTCACCATTACTTCCAAATCCAATGTATCCTTGACCCTTTTTGGAGAATAACCTTATCTCGTTTTCATTCATGTCAACTATTTCACAGAGGAATGTGACATCGTCTTCTGCATCGTGAATATTGTGGTATACTTTATTTGGATCCTTTTTCTGTTAAAGAAAATTATATAATCAGCCAATATTTCTAATAATACGAAGAAAATCTATTTTAGCAAAGAAACTTGATAGAAAGCCAAGGTGCATAATACAATAATGTTCCTTTGATCTTGTCTGCACGTAGCTTAATCTAGTTACGAACTTTGCATAGAAGATGAGCACCCCTTCTCTTCACACACACGGTACCATTTCCCAATTAAATAATACGCTGTTTCCAATTTATCAGTTCCAAAACACGAGCTTTTCATATTATCGATCATTGAAAGCTCATAGCAAATCCATCTGAAGGTCTTGCTTTCATTTGCCAAATTGCAATTCCCGCCAAATCACATGTTGGAAAATTAAATTTCTGTAAATGTCACGCCTTGGCCTCCAATTGCTCTTAAAAAACAACGCGATTTGAATTGAAAAATATCTAAATTAGCATAAATTTGCAAAAACTGCTTAACTCACCCGACATGTAAGATTGCCATCATTATCAACAGAAATCATTTGGTTGTCACTTTCGCGCAAGAACATAGCAAGCCTTGTGGTGTCTTTGGCAGCAAATAAATATTTGAGGTTTGCGTTTGCTGTAAATGTGAGAGAAATGATTGATGATGAAATAAAAAGGTTAATTTGTAAGAAAATGGGACATGAGGGCATATGTTTAGGGGAATTTTGATTTTGTAGCAACACAGTTGTTATTTCACAGGCAATGCAAAACAAGAATTAGCCTCTATTATAACCTGGAAACTCTTTCCTTTCTACAGTTATGCCTTTTTGTAGTTAAGAAAATGACTTAGGATTGCCTAATTTGGTTAAATCAGAAACTATGAATTAAACAGAATTTTTGATGTAAAGTAGTTGAAACTTTAAATTTGATGATTAAAGAATAACGAATCCATCATATTTAAAGTTATGACTGTTATCGTATTAAATTTAAGACTCCTGGATAATTGTTAAACCTTGTAAGACAGATAGATTTATTTAGAAATAGGCAGCATGGATCTGATAGAAGGCTCACCAGACTCTACTTTTCCACGAGCGTTGACCTCCCCATTTTCTATTTGTACAGCTCCGCAGGCGAAGGTCAATATTTTGATGTGGTCATGTTCCCATACAGGGTCAAATTCTCGACGCACTGATGCAATTTCGCCATCCTATCATATAAACATGTTGCAAATTATTTACATATGTTGTTCAGAAAGGGACTTTGCCGTTTGAAGGATAGAGTTACTGGGGACACCATTGCTTGAAAAGGATAAAAAGAAATCTGAATATTAATCGGAATATTCACTGGAAACAAAGATGTTAATAGCTTCGGGAGGGGGCAGTAACCATTCAGGTCAGGGTAAAACTTGACACTTGGAACTTATTGGAAACTAACTCTTGTTGCCTTCTAGATTGGGGAGCAAACTGCAACGAGTGCCAAAGACTTAATGAGTTTTATTTTGCATGATTGCTGCAAATGACGGGCTACAGCACGATAAGCCTCTTTTGTGGTGGTATGTTAACAACAATAAATGCGTACGTACTCAAGACTGAATCAAGGCATATACAAATTTTTGGTAGTAAAGAGAAGTTAAAATTGCCTTAAAACTCTTGTTTGATGATGAATGTGTCCATCGTGAATTGCAAGTGTTGTTGAAATCTATCTATAGTTAGTAAGCAGCAATGACTTGAATTTTGCATACGATATTATGTCAGCCACTGTGCATCTGTTTTTCACAGATGTTTTTAATTGAAGCAATATCCAAGTTGCTCTCGATGGTTTTGGAAAAGTTGCTATAATTATATTTGAAATTAGCTTTCCACCCAACGCCAACTAACAGTCGCATTCAAGAAAATGCATGTAAACTCGCATAGCATTATCTCTAAATGATACGAGCACAACAACCCCTACTTCCTTAGGACCTAATTTATATAATCCCGTTTTTTTTAACCAAAAACAATCCACAGATATAAAAGTGGCTTAAGCCATCTGCCAATCAATTTTAGCCAATCAATGAGTGTGCAAGTGGAATAACACTCACTGATTGGTCAATTTTTGATTGAAAGATGGCTTAAGCCTCCTGAGTATCTGTCGATTGTCTTTAAGTTTGGTATTACCTTGTGAAGAAAATGCGTGAATATAGAAAAACATATCAAAATGATTTCAACCAAAATGAACAAGAGAACTTACCTCAATACCATGATACATTGTTAGTGCAACTTTTTTGCTTCAAGCTGATTCTTGGTTAGTTCTCTTTATTTACGATGTTCTTTGTTGCTGTGTTCAGTTTCAAGCGCTGCTTAAATAAGAGAAAGACGGAAACAGGATTAAGTTTCGAAACCCCTGAAATATTATTACATTTTAGCAACATGGTAAAATTATTGTAACTGAATGCGTAGTTGCTTTTTTTGGTTTACCAATTTTTGTTTTTGAAGGCTGTTTCGAAGCTTGACTCCCACAAAAGGTCGTGCCTATTAGCCACTGTGCGGCAGAGGTCATTCCGCAGCGGTTTTCCTCTGATGCTTTTTTGGTCTCAAGTACTCAGTTACTGCTTTTTACATCCAAAGAATATACTAAAATGAAGACGGGAAACTAAGAATAAACAACTCTCAAAATTAATTGCTCCTTAAAACAAGGCGATTGAGAGTTCAAATTATTCTGAAATATATTGGTATGCCAGACGAAATGGGAAGTCACCTTTCTCAGCACTAACATCTGTGCATATTCTCATCCATTTTTACTCCTGCGATATTTCTCAACTAATGAAGCACTACTTCTGCCTTCTAAATATTATTAGCTTCAGGCTAGTTGTCCACATCGTACATTTCGAGCACAAAATCATCAGCCACCTTTTCATGCATCACAAGAAACTTGCCTGTTCGAGTTTCTTCGTCTTGACAGACAAACTTGTGTTCTCCCTTTAATTTTTAGCTTTTCCCAAAAATTGATTCTAAAGTGACATTTTGGCAGATTTTTCTGAAGTAGTCTGATTTAAATCTCTGTCTTAAATCAGCGCAATGATTCCTTTCTCTTCATTATTTCTCAAAGTTATTTGGTGTACTGTTTTTGTGGTAGTTGTTTTTTGAGTTTTTTTTTTAAATTAATTGCCTTGCAGTGCACAGCTGCTAGGGATTTGTCGTTTGCTCCGACTAGTCTCTTTTTCAGAGGTGAATATGTATTAACAAATGAGCAGAAGATACTTTCTCTAAACCAGACTGTTTATGAATAACAAGTGGAAATAAGGCAGCGTGAACACTGGACCGGTTCCATTTGGAACCGTGCTAAAATGAGCACGGTAAGGTCTTCCGTTTACAAAGGACCCGTCGGAACCATTCCCAATGAAACTGCTAGCCGTACCAAAACTGGATCGCTTAGAAAAAATTTCCATTTGGACCGGGGCAATTTCCGGCGTTCTAAAAGGCGTGGCCTTCATATTTCTTCGGTCGTACCCTTGCCCCAACTGTAGAATGGTGCCCTGTGCCTGGCCTCAACCACAGCTTATATCCACGATAATTGATCATCATTTACATAAAGTTCTAACAAGCAAAAGTAAAAAACCATAAAGCCACCACGAAGTCAACAAACTACACCCCGAATGTTTGAAGGCCAACCACGCTTCCTCCACGTAACAACCAAGTTTCAAAATTCAAAACAAGTGTTTATTGGCGTAAGCAGATACAATACACCACGCGAATGCTATTAAAATATGGGAATACTAGCTCTGTGGTGGATGAAATGAATGATCTTGCGCAGAGTTGACGTTTCGTCCCTAAATAGAGGTGAACCTCCAGGAAGTTTCCTGCTTCTCGTTGATGAAATAAGATAAAGAGCAAAAGCGAACAAATACAGAGATTATTCCCTTTTATGAGTAACAAATCTTTATTGTAGAGAGAATTACATAAACAAGCCTATTCGAATGACGAGATAATCAGGCAATGACGAGCAAATGACAAGCTAATTTCCGATAAGAAAGTAATTGCAGATATTTTTAACGACTATATCGCCAATATAAAACTTCTGTTTGTATCGAAGAGTTAGCATCAAACTTGGTATCAGCAAATCAAATCAGATAGAGGATCCTATTGAGCTCGCTATTATTAAGTACAGCTTAAGGGAATAACAGAAAACTTTAGTTTTTCTTGTAAATTTGAATTTCGAGCTTGCTGTACCAAGGAGAAAGAGCTTCAAATTGAAAAATTAGACCCAAAGAAAGCATATCTAATCGATAGTATTCTAGGTAAAGTTCTGTTAGGAAATTAAGACCTGTTGTTCTCATACTTGATCAGTACGTTCAATGCAAGTCTATCTAAAAGCTCTTTTCCAAACGAACTGAAAGCTGGGGATTTCATCAATTTTCAAAAAAGATGACGCTTCCTGCAAGAACAATTTCAGGCCAATGACTGTTCTCTCCAGGCACGCGCAGCCATTGGGCTAGCAGGGGCTATAGCCCCCCCCCCACTTTTTTGCAAAAATGGCTACACATTTTTTGGAAGGTTTACTCTAACGCATCTTTGCATAGTTTACTCCCATGTAGTAGCAGTTCTTCTCGACTGGGAACAGTTTTTGTTCATTTTCTAGGTGTTTTATTTTGTTTTATGATATGATGTATTTTCTAGCTTAGTTAGCTTGGTATTTTGTTACTCTCAAGCTAATTTTATCTATTTTTATGGTTATCGATAACTTCTCTGAACCAGACTGTTCTTAAAAATTGAGTAGAAATGAAAAAGTATTTTCTAAAAGGGGCGTTTTCCGGCGTTCTGGAGGGAGTGGCCCTAAAAAATTTTCGTAACACTCATTTCAGCTATTCCACTTTTAGACTGGTGCGCGGTACCTGGTTCTCTCAAGTCTCTTAAGATTTTCGAGCAACTCGTGTATAAGCAAATGATGCCCTGTGCACTCTGTCTCCCTTGCTTTGCACCATACGAAAATAATTTAATACACAACATGCCTTTCTGAAATTATTAGAAACTTGTAATTCTTAGGTATCTTAGATAATTCTTAGGTAATCTATTCATAGGTATCTCGCAAAGAGAAGACTAAGAGTCAAAGTCAATGGTTCTTTAATACTTGGAAAAAGATTACCTAAGGTATGTCCCATGGCTCGGTATTAGAACCCTTCTTTTTAATAATTCTATCGATGATATGTTTCTTCTGATGAATGGAACCGAATTATGCAACTGAGCAGACGATACCACTTTATACGCTTGCGACTCTGAAGTAGATAACATTATACAAAGATTAGAGCGAGATGCAAACCTACTTACAACATGGCTCCCAGAGAACTGTAAGAATTAGATGGCACCCTATTCTGTTTTGGGCAAACAAAGAAAGAGTTAATATAGAAATATACATGTAATAGCGAGACTCGGAACAGAAGAAAGTAACGAGGAATAACTGCTAGGCAACAAAAATTGAGTTTCAAAAACATGTCCTAATGCTAAGTAAAACGGCTAGTCAGCAGCTTCATGCTCTAGCTCGTATCTCAGTTCTCATTGAGTCGGAGAAGCTACAACTGTTGACGAAAACACCAGTTTAACTATTGTTCATTGATTTGGAAGATCAAAATTAATGCAAAGGTTTTATGAATAGAATACAAAAACAACGTCTCTAGTCTTGAAAAATTATTGGAAACCGATAATTCGGTAACGATTTATCAGGAGAACCTGCATTTGCTTATGGTAGATATATACAGAACGAAATCAAATTTAAAGCTAGCCTTTTCATCATAAATCGTATTTTTATAATTGTATTCATTTTATAGCAATTTGTGTGCATTTTGTTCAAATACTTGGCCACAATTAGCTTTTAAGCTATATGTTTTTAACTGCCAACTTGAAATCAAAGAATTAAGAACAATATTCCAAGAGTAAAGCGTAAATAAATCCATCTACTAGCGTTAAGCGAATTCTTCGTCCATTTTCGTACTCGTCCTACTCCATATTTTCTACCATCTGTCACCCAATCAAGTGACGTAATAAAATTCATCAAAAGCTTTTGCTCGACATCATTTTTGAATTAAGTTGCTTTTATTGTTGCGCATGAAAAATTTTAAAATTTAATGTTTATTTTTGAAAGATTCATTTTGCCTACCATTTTACAAAAAAATCAAGTGCAATAAATGTTTCGAGACCGAACACATCTGTTTAAAAAAGGAATTTTCACTGTCTTTTCAGAATAATTTGAACTCTCAATCGCCTTGTTTTAAGGAGCAATTAATTCTGAGAGTTGTTTATTCTTAGTTTCCCGTCTTCATTTTAGTATATTCTTTGGATGTAAAAAGCAGTAACTGAGTACTTGAGACCAAAAAAGCATCAGAGGAAAACCGCTGCGGAATGACCTCTGCCGCACAGTGGCTAATAGGCACGACCTTTTGTGGGAGTCAAGCTTCGAAACAGCCTTCAAAAACAAAAATTGGTAAACCAAAAAAAAAGCAACTACGCATTCAGTTACAATAATTTTACCATATTGCTAAAATGTAATAATATTTCAGGGGTTTCGAAACTTAATCCTGTTTCCGTCTTTCTCTTATTTAAACAGCGCTTGAAACTGAACACAGCAACAAAGAACATCGTAAATAAAGAGAACTAACCAAGAATCAGCTTGAAGCAAAAAAGTTGCACTAACAATGTATCATGGTATTGAGGTAAGTTCTCTTGTTCATTTTGGTTGAAATCATTTTGATATGTTTTTCTATATTCACGCATTTTCTTCACAAGGTAATACCAAACTCAAAGACAATCGACAGATACTCAGGAGGCTTAAGCCATCTTTCAATCAAAAATTGACCAATCAGTGAGTGTTATTCCACTTGCACACTCATTGATTGGCTAAAATTGATTGGTAGATGGCTTAAGCCACTTTTATATCTGTCGATTGTTTTTGGTTAAAAAAACGGGATTATATAAATTAGGTCCTAAGGAAGTAAGGGTTGTTGTGCCCGTATCATTTCTAGATAATGCTATGCAAGTGTAAAATTTGCTGCTGGTATATACATTTGTAAAACTTCTGACACCATTCGTTGTTTGAGCGATTGACCGAGCGAATAAACGACACGTTTTGACACACAAAATCAATTCCTTTTGTTCCATCCAAAGCTAAGACGTACTTTTACACAATATCGAAACTTAGGTACTAAACAGCCTTTCACAAGCACTGTTACGCCATTAAATTATATATATATGAAACGAAACCTCGAGTGCTTTCACAAGCCACTCGGGTTGAATGCCATCAGCCCTCTCTTAGCCTTTCCATCCATTACCGTTCTGTGTGTGTGTGAGTTAGTGTCTACATGTTTGATAGCGGTGGCCTTTCGCAAGCACCACGCTTCTCTCTCTAAGTAACTCTGTTTCTCCGTACTCTACTTTATATAACAGCATTACAATATGCAAA